GTTAACTTTGAATACTTTAATTGGGAAACTTGACGGTGTAATAAAACGACATGGGACTAGAAATTCCTACGTCCCAATTATCCGTTTATAGTAGCGAGAGGTGGGGAGCATTACCCAGTTACTGATAAATATAACACAACTGATAAATAAAATTATCACTCCATTTTTTTTAATAAACGGGTCTTCAATAAAAATATTCAAAAATGATTAATTTATTAAATCTGAATATCGTTGCGGCTGAGATAAATTGGTACAGCTAAAACATATTTGGATCAACAATTATTAAACTGATTGAAAAATATAACAGATATCAATTTTTTTAAACGTTTAAACCGATTATATTGTACTACTTTATGCAGCAAGCCTTCAAAATTGAAAAACAACCTAAAAATAAATATTGCTCCAAACGTGAATACCGAGACCCCAAGGCTTGAGGTCCCCTAGGCTGAAGTCCACCTTGCAGTGATATCAAGATTCGGTTAACTGAAATTTCAAAAAATATTTGTTTACGAACTCGAAACACAAATGATGTATGGAGGCGACTGACCACTCCGTAAAGCTGTTCATATTTAACATCTTATTGTGCTTCTTTTGTTGCACATACAACAATTTGCTCCGAGCTCACAAATAGCTTTTAGATTTTAGGGCTTTCCTGTAACTCCGCTTATAATTGGGATTATTCAATCGTCGGTGACGAAATTTAAACTTGTTTTGATTGAACTGAGGAAGGCATGGTATTTTGTGCCCAGGCAGTGCACCCACTGCAAATCGCTGTATAGTATATATACATAGCAATTTTATTGGCCAAACCGACAATATGATTGTTACTTCTGGTAGAATTATTGACGATTTTCACTGGAAAACTGCTATTCACCGAACCATCGTTATTTTAATGGATGAGTCAAGTATTTGTGAAAGCACTTCAAATGGATTAGAATAATGCCCTAACCTAAATTCCTGATAAGTCTAAATATGTTATGACAGGAAACAGGTCATTGACTTCAGACTACAATTTATACTTGATTCCAAGTCTAATCTTTTGTCTGAGTAGTTGCAGTGTAAAAAAATTCTCATATCAGTAATTAGATATTTTGCAATATTTTTGAGGTAAAGTTGTTTTAGAACGGTTGGGTATTTGCCTACTTGTGTTTTTATTTACTATCAATATTATATTAAACCAAATTAGTCCTCATGCGATACCTCTAAAGATTTCCACTAGTGTAAGATCGTAAGAAAATTATTCATTGACATTGAATTTTTCCATTCGGTTTACTTACAAATTCAATAAAATTACTTAATATCGCTTCTTGTGTTACGGGAAACCCTTTTCTGTTTGTATACACTGATAATTAGGATTGAAACCCTTCGCTACACGCGAATGATCTCCTACTATTTTTCAGTATTATTTGGAAAACAAAAAACGCGATAGAATCTACTTATACTGCACGATGATGAAGCATTGTTTGAATATTTTGTCAAACTAAAGAAGGATAAGTATAGGAATCTACTCGATTGCCTTTGTTCGCGCTGACAGTAATGCGGACGATGAACCTTTTAGATAGTTTTTCCCGTCCCCACAATCACACATGTAAACTTGCTCGAAGCAGTATTATTCTACAATGCGTAATTTACACGTTCGTGAGCAACGAAAAATTCAGTAGATACTTTCGCCTCTGGGTTTTGTAGGTATCAATAAAAGGCGCATTCAAAAATAGTTGCGAGTACCTTGAATTGTCTAAAACAAGCTGTATACTACACAGAGATTATCCGGAATATACATTAGCCTATGCTATGTTTGAATCTAACTTGTAAAACAGAGATTCAAGGTTCGATCGCGATTACGGCTCCCGAGGATACGGAAAAAACGTGGGAGAGATTTTAGTTTTATTTCAAAGTTTTAAAATAAGTATATATTTTTAGTGCAGACAGGGATCAGACATATACTGATTGTTAAGCAGTTTTTTCACTCTGTTGAATTTAGTTATTAGTACGTAGTTGACTAAGCCTTCGACACACATATATATAGTTGTTTTATGACTAATTGAGTTTTATTCTAAGTCTATTTTGTGCTGAACAACACTTGCTGGAAGCTATGTCATAGCGATACCACATACGCGGAATAAGAGAAACGCAATATTCACACCAAAAGTAATGGTTGTTTAAAAATATTACTACATATCCATTCACTTGACAAGTGTATTTCATTTATATTATTAAACGTGTATAAATGTATTATTCGCAATGTCTCTCCATAAAGTTTAGACGTAAGAATACGGAATTCAGAAGTTAGGAAAATTTTACCCAATTTCATATACGAATGTTTTATTTTTGTAGGATTTTGACTTTGCGAAGATTATCAATGGTAAAAAAACATCTTAGTCATGACGCGTTAGCCCACGTGAATTTGATCATTGTGCGAAAATTGTTTTTTAGAATCTTGTTACTCAGAATGACGCATATAAACCTACGTTTAAGTTTTCTTAATAACCTGAAACTTATTAGTTTATAGGTAGTCAAATTATCAGTCTGCAATATATATCTGTATTGGAGTATACGCATTTTTGTATTGGAAGCTGGTAGCCTTTCACAAAAGTTTGGGGAATTTTGAGCAAATCGTATATCAAGCTTTATTATTTAAAATTAGAACACTCGAGTGAGACTTTCAAAATGTTTTGAAAAATTAATAAAATGTTTTATTCAATATCGTTATCGTCAAATACTGTGTTCAAACCAAAAAAGTATTTTGTACAATTTTCTATTCCACCCGTTACACAAATTTTTAAATTTTTTTTAGTAATAATAGCCATGTACTTGCGATGTCGCATTGCTATTTTGCCGAAAGCTGTTGTTATTTCAATTGTTATTTGTAACCTTGTTTCTACTGCTGGTTACGTGCAGACAAAAGAACATTTTTACCTATACTAAAATAACAAGTTACTCGCAAATGCAAGTAGAAAGCACTCCTATTCTACGTACGATTGATGCGTATTGTCAATTTTAATTCTCGCACAGTGCCATTCGTCAATCAATCATCACACGAAGAAAAGGGGGTGGAGTCGTGGCAAGACTTTTTATTTATTTGAGGTAAACAAAAGCACTCACGTATTTTGGTATTTTTAGCTGAATTGAAAAGCCCTCTGTCTATTGTGCTGAATTTACTTTTTAGAAATACAGTTGGTTGCAGATCAGCATAATAAACGGAAGTGGTAGTATAATGAAAGTAAAGGTAATTAATTCGAAATACGTGAATAACGATTTACGGTATATTCTTCGTAAACTAAACCTCACAAGATGATTAGAATGACAGAAAAGATAGAATGTTTATTATGTACATTATTAGTAAATTTGATTCAGTTTTGCATTTGAATTGAACGAAAGTTTTATTGTTAAGCGAGTTTTGAATAATAACAGTCTATTCATTTATCTCAGAAATATTGACATCTTTTATTGTGTTGTAGAATTGCTGTTACATACTTTAACCAATATTGAAATTAACACCAGAGCACTCTTCTCTATACCCCCGAGCATAATAATTCTGAATTACTGTCTGAGAAATATGTACATAAAAACACATTGCATGTGCAAAACACATAAACAATATAATATACTATCCACAAATCTATGTGGCATTTTTATTAGGTGTCTGTTGGTGGAGAATTTATATTGGCAGAAGATACGTCAGGATTTGGCATAGCATTAACGTTTGGAAAATGCAATTTTGACGGAATGCTCTGAAATAAACATCTGTATTACTTTTGTTATGTCTTTCCTATTCCCCCTAGTCATACAAATTAAATTTAGAAATTAAATGAAACCTCGAATCGTTTGGAGATAAAAGTGATTTGAAAATCGAACATGAACTTGACAAATACCATACTTTTTTCGACTAATTATTGCTAAACGATTAATCATTCTTGATTTATTTCAATTTACTGGCATATATAATAATGCTGAATATTATGCTTATAAAAATTAAAAGCGATCAGTTTACAATAATATAATTTAAAAAATGCCAGACCAGCAAGACGTAAACTATTACTCGGATGTATACGCATATGAATATAATATTAATTATTGTGAGTGAATATATTCACACTATGCTTATTCACGCCGTTCGACTCGCGCAAGGCCATGTATAAGCAATTATTATTATAAGCAGCTATTATTTTTTGGAAAGATCTAGTCTTTCCGCAGTTTCCACCAAAATTATTAAAGCCGGGTGAGGTGGATAGGGGCCTAACCCTAGATGTGTACGATGCCAACACATTCAAGTCTATCGCTTTAACCGCTTGTTAATTGCGGGTATTGCTGTTTTAACGCGGTGTCAAGGGAGGGCAATTTGCAGAATCGCGAACTGCTGTTTCTGAAATTACCCTCTTTGTTCGGTAGAGTTAAAACGCTGTTGATCGTGATACCAGGTGGGGAAACATAATATGCTGAAATGAAATTGTAAACGCAATATCATATTATTTACATATCGTGTATTACAGTGAAAGCGAGTCAAAAGAACTATGAATGATATAAAATATTTTGTGTGTGCCAAGTCTTTATCTTTGATTTTATTACTTTTATTTGAAAATATTTACACAAAGAAATTTTAAAATGGGCATATGTGGTTTATCACGCAAGGGTAGAAGGGTTCTTCCTAATTTTCCATATTTTGAATATTTGATGATACATTTTTTTTTTTTTTTTTTTTTTTACCTTGCAAACAATTACAATAATATTTTTTTTTTTTTTTTACCTTGCAACCAATTACAATAATATTTTAACTCTTATGCAGGTAGAAAGCATTGCAATAGCAATTAATTTTATTTATTAGGATTTCATATCCACATATAATATATATGTCTGAGTGGAAGGTAATTTGTGTACAAGAAAACTTATGAATGAATAATCGCGGGTATCTGATAGTAGACATGTTTTTTTGGAGATACTTTAAAAAATGGAAAATTGCTTGAAAATTGCCACAAATTTGTGCTCATAATTAAATATATATCTTATCATGTCAATACAGTTTTAACGATTTTTAGAGCTCGCTTATTATATAAAAACTTTATCATGGCACGTTGTCGACCACGGTGTTCAAAGGCTGATTGCAAGCAATGGACAAAATCAAATGCTTTGCTTCTTGCTACTGTAGCTGGCGTCGTACTTGGAGTCGTTCTTGGTATTGCAATGCGTGAGGCAAATTTATCGAAGTTGGACATCAAATATTTCTCGTTTCCTGGAGAACTTCTTCTCAGAATGCTGAAGATGATAATAGTTCCGCTTATTATATGTAGTCTGATTACAGGTTTGTTATAAATAATTCCACCGATTTTTCTTTTGTAATGGCGGGTTAGGTGAGAATTCAAAAAAGTTCTGGTCTCGGACTTGTGGTGGTTCAAAATAATCAAAATTTGTTGCCTCAGATATCATGAATTTGGTTATTGATATAACGAGTTTTTCCGAATAATATAATGTCACTCTTATGTGTTATTTTACGCGACAGTTTGAAAATCGTAAACCTGTTTTGAAATATTGATATATCCTTTGAAAAAACGCACGCATAAGTAAAACATGGACAATGTGCTCTGAATGTCAATGTTTTCGGTATTTTCACATTCATATGTAGAATTACACTATTACTACAAGTCAAAGTAAAATTTTTAGAAAAATCTGGTTTGAGAATTCTTATAATTAAGCTGTTTTATTATAAATCGGTTTGACACAATTCCGGCCCATTTCTGCTGTTGTGATATATTTTTGTCGCTGCCCTGAACAAAGCCGTGCAAATAACTCTATTGAAAATTCAATTTGATAATGAGTTGAATGAAGTTTAATTCCGTTAAAGGCTTTCTTGTTTAGGCCAGCATCTTGACAGATTGTAACATCTTTCATGAATTTTTCAGAAAATGAAATAGGATTATAGTTGCGATTGATTATAACAACAAAAAATCTTCAAATTTACTTGTTTCCAATGCAGGTGTTGCTACGTTGGAAGGAAGAGCTTCAGGAAAGCTGGGATTGCGCACAATAATCTATTACATGGGAACAACTTTGCTGGCAGTAATATTAGGAATCGTTCTTGTCGTATCAATCAACCCAGGTATGGTGTCATCAACCCCTAAACTGAACAATAAAATTATTAATTCAATATTCTAAATCTTAACAAAATATAAAATTTAATGCACATAATGTCAATGATTTTATTTACTGTTATCACCTTTGCCCTGCTGTAACTGGTTAATTATTGTCATATGGCCTGAAGCTTTTACGTCGTAAAAGAAGATTGATAGTTGATAAATTTTCGAAAGCCCGACTTCACACCTTCATTTACACCCAAATTTCGATGGCTTCAATTGAATATGAAAAGAATAGGGTTTCAGATCCTTAACTTGCGATTACCATGAATGGCTCTCAAACTAAGTTCTGGTACAGACCATTTCTCGAGTGAAAATTACGTATATCATTCATTACATTCATGTAAAATAATATCTAAGTCTATTTTATCTTTTGTTTATTCAATAATAAAATTGTATTTGTAATAGGTCGTTACGGTAGAAACTCTGTCAGTTCTGGCAGCAATGATCTTCAAGTTGAACCTGTGGACGCGATTTTGGATTTAATAAGGTAACAATTTAAAAGAGTTTCACTATTATGACAGAATTTGATTTATTTACCAATGTATACAGATAATATTAACTAAATTTCTTCTTGTTCCAGAAATGCTTTCCCGGAAAATTTGGTTGAAGCGTGCTTCAGCAAGGTAAAGATTTTGAATATAGCATTCGGCAACAAAAGCAATGGTTCAAATTTGTTTTGTTTGGTCTTCTACTAATGCTGAAGCGACCATAATTAGGCGAAAGATTGTTGTTAATGAAACTCGAATTTCGACATTGACATTTTATTCCGGTTAATAGGACTGGTGGGCTATTATTATCGTACATGGAGCTCAAATGTAATCGAAAACAGATAATAAAAACATTTAGAGACACATTCCCGCATCTTTTTAAGTCAATATATACAAACATCTACAATCTAAGTCAAAAGTCATTTTATGCGTCGACTTTTTGCGTTCTCAAGCCACGGTTATGCTTCCTTGGTAATGTTTTTTATAATTGTGCAAAGTCTAGTTTGCGCACTATCGCAAGCTTTTAGTGGGTCAGTGGTAGCTTGTTGCAATTACCTTTATTAGGATTTATTCAATTCTTAGTAGTGGACAGTAACATACTTTTCCATAAGTAAACTATATAATAAATAAATATACATTGACATATTTGTGCTTGAAAGACTCAAGGCTTTGGAACGAGCATATTGAAAATTTTGTTTTAGATCTTCCGTAACTTTTATCAAAAATTTATTAAATACATAGAACATAATGAAAGATAACAAACACTTCGGTGCTTCTGAAGTATGCGCACCAAGATGTCGCATAACCCTAACCCTAACCTGGTACACAACCTGAGTTCAGGTTGTGCGCCATCTTGGTGCGCATACTTCAGGAGGTCCAACATTTCAGTATTTCACAGTTCTTATGTAAAATGATATATTGTTATTCAATCGTGCGGATCTCCTATTTGCTTTAAATTCATGGTTCGCATTTCCTAGAAACCATTTTTAGCTTGTTATTACGATGTTAAAAGTAAAATATGTAGCAAAATGCAAAACACGTCGACACCACGTTATTCCAAATCGCCAAATTTAATATTATCACGGTTTTTTAAACCAAAATGTTCTTTCTAATATTACTTGAATAAAAATGCTGGCCAACGATGCTAAACTGTGTTATTTTTATTGTCTTTTTCTAAATGTAAGTTTGCGCAGCAGTAGAACATACTCACTGGCCATTGTCAACATTCTTGACCACCTAAAATAGCTGATGCATTGCAAAAATTCTAGCTAATGCGTATACGCTTGATTTGCAAACCGTTGTCTCACAAAGATTCTTTGTAAAAAAGTTACCTTTCAACTAGATCAAATCAGTTCGTGTGCCAATTATGGTTGACAGAAACGTGACAATGATATACCAAATCAATAGCACAGCCATACCAGGTGGAGCTACTACTGTCCCGGTGAAAACGAACACGATGGTTGTAGAAAAAGAAGTTGTTGGTGACTATAAACTGGTAAGTAAATTTTGCATTCCGTGATCCGAAGACGTGACCTCTTTCTTTTTTTCAAAAACTTGGAGAATTAAATTATGTTGGCATTCGCATTTATAAGATTTTAGTTTTTTTTCAATATTCCGAATAGGATATCATATTTTTTTTATCAGAAAAGGTATTGCGGGTTTTTTATCCATAAATGATAGCTCAAAACACAAATGTTCAACGGAGTTAAATTTATTTTTTTTTCTATGAGTTTTCATGCCTCATAAGAATTTGTGAGTTGACGTAAACATGAAAGTTGCGATTACAATTTTATTCTAAATTTTCACTTATTATATTTTGTATTTCAAGATCATTGAAAGCAAATCCGGAGTCAATGTTCTTGGACTCATCGTCTTTTGCTTGACATTCGGCCTGATTATAGGAAAAATGGAAAACGAAGGGAAAATTTTGGTTGACTTCTTTGTTGCTTTCAACGAAGCAATTATGAGAATTGTTTACATTATTATATGGTTTGTATATTTTTATTGGCTTTATATATCTTTTACCGTATATGATAATGCATTGAAATACCTAATTCACTCAACAATGAAAAAGGTCACCCCTCAAGTTTATATATATAGATTTTATTCAATTCGAAAAAATTATTTGATCCCCTTCTGAAATCATCAGTTATTCCAAATGCCCAGCTCTAGTAATAGTACGATACAGAAAGTTACTCTCGTGCAGAAGGTTTCCTTATTTTTGTTACATTACGAATTCGGGAGCTGTCTATGATAGCTAAGTGGATATACCCCCTCTGCATATAGATTCCAGTCCATTTACAGAACTTTATGTGAAGTACAAAACAAAATAAGTTATCTCCTTCTTGGTACACACACTTGAAGGCATGCCAAAGGCATGATCAGTGGTTTAAATGATACTCCACACTCTACAGAACAAAATGTGTATTATAATCAATTATGCATTCATTCAAGTGGTTCTAAATATTTCAATTCTCCAGGTACTCCCCGGTCGGTATCTGCTTCTTGATAGCGAGCAAGATTATGGAGATGGACCGACCAGAGGAAATTCTCACTCAGCTGGGCTTATATATGGCAACAGTAATTGTTGGCCTGTTCATACACGGTCTCATATTTCTTCCTCTGTTGTATCTTATCTTCGTCCGAAAAAATCCAATCACGTACATCGTTGGCGTGTCACAGGTAAATTATTTCAAAAGAAACACTTCGTTTTGATTGCTGAGCTCAAATTTATATTCAAGAAATGATTTGTGTCTCCCTGGATATCGTAAAACATTCTAACATTACCACAGATAATTAGTACAGTTAAAGTACACGATTAGTACAATAAGGTATTAAATATTGGGCTATAGAAATACGTTAATAATTTTAGCAGGATTTCACTGTTGTTTTTCAAATTAATAATATTAAACACAGTCAAACCAGTTAATTTAGACTTTGAGCCAGTTCACCAAAACTATCCAGTTTCAATATAATTATCTCAGTTTCGCGCTTGATTAGGATATTGTCATGCATGGTAAAATAGTATATACGCTGATTGTAATTCTCTATTTGATTACTTAATAATATTGTACTGCGATCGTAAGTTGGAAGCTGACAAATAAGGACATTGTCTGGCAAAATTTTGGGTGATTGGTGAAAGGCGCTGCGATTGTATTCGTCGTTTGACGACAGACGATAAGCTGTCTTGTCGTTCACCATGATACCAACAACAAGTCGATATATAATTCTTGTCACTAAATTGGTGACATATTTAACTTTTTACACCTCCAAAACAAACAACCAATCAAAGTCAATATATACTTTCTTACTCATGGGGGGCTATAACCAGTCCATATTTTAGAAAAAAAAATCATAGAAACTATGATAATCATTCTACATCCCATGCAATTGACAGGCTCTACTGACTGCTTTGGCCACTGCTTCAAGTTCAGCAACATTGCCGGTAACGATCAAATGCCTTGAAACTAACAACAAAGTTGACAGAAGAGTTGTCAGGTTGGTACAACATACCATATTCCAACGCAAAAATTCAGAAAGAATAACGGTCTTGCAATGGTGCTACAAAGTTAGTTTATGCATTGTGTTAGTTTCTGTTCTATGACCGCGTGACATTCAGATGCATAAATATAGTGTAAGTTGAATATATGCCATAGCTTTTTCGGTTTCGTGTTCATCCTTTTAAACGGAAATCGTGCAAATTTGATTATAAAATTATATGTGTTTTATTGTTATATCAGTGCTAATTCCTAACCTAATTTGTCTATACAGACTTGTACTTCCTGTTGGAGCGACAATCAACATGGATGGTACTGCATTGTATGAAGCAGTTGCAGCAATTTTCATTGCGCAGTCTAACAACATTTACCTCAATTTTGGACAGATTGTGGTTGTCAGGTAATATCCTAAACCCTTTCGAAGAAAAACACAAAATTCCATTCCGTTTCATGGCCGATAAAAGAACACAATTTATCAACGATAGACATGTATTTCAGATATATATTTTAAATCAGAGAGTTTGAGAACGCGCCAATGTCGTAAGGTCACTAATGAATAATTTTGTTGTATTGCTATACAACAAAAGTAAGTATTGCTACTACTGTAATTTGAAGGCTGAATATTGTAAGCTAAGAATTGTTATAATGAACTTCAGGGAAATTAGAGAATTTAATACTCTCAAGTATCCTAACACGTTCAAGTATTTTAGAATCTAGAAGACTAAACTGACTCACATAAATCATTGTATGATATTTCCCAGTATCACAGCGACAGCCGCCAGTATCGGAGCAGCTGGAGTACCGCAAGCTGGATTGGTGACTTTGTTGATTGTAATGGCTGCTGTTGGATTACCTGCGGAAGATATTGAACTCATCTTGGCCATTGACTGGCTTCTGTAAGTATTTGCAGTATATTGTATCTTGAATTTATTTTTAAATATCTTAAATAGAATAAAAACATGTAATCGGGCAGTGAATATATGTTAGTGAAATTCTTTCCATTAGTTCATGTTAAGCATTCATTCAACACGAGAAAAATAATGTATTTAATTTGTTTAGTGATCGGTTCCGTACAACCATCAATGTTTTGGGAGACAGCATCGGTGCAGGCATTATTGCTCATCTGTCACGTGATGATTTGAAGGACATCGATAAAGAAGATCCAAAAGTGCCCAGAGTAAGCATCACTGTATATTACTATCATTTTGCACTGTATGTTACAACTCCGAAAATTTTCAAATTATATTTTAATTTGTTAAAACCATTCAAATAAAACTAGCGAAAAATCTGTGTTCAGTCGGGGTAATAGATGGATGGAACGGAAGACATTGATTTCACTATTTTGTGGTTTTTAATCGGAAATTCCTAATGAATCAGAAACATATAATAACATGAAATAATTTTCTTCAGAAGGGCACTGATAATTTTGGATACGAAAACGAAGAGGATACTCACGTTTAAAATTGTTCTGGAGATTACATATTTTGAGTTCGATTCAGGAAATTTGAGCTCAGTTGTACATGTTTACTAACTTTTTTAAATTTAGTCATCATCTTGAAATCCTCTTGCAAATCTTGCGGAAATAGTTTTTCTCTACAAAATTTCATTACAAGATTACAAGATGATAAAAAAGAAAATATGTATAGGATTTTTTTTTTAACTGTTTTAATGTTTTTAACTACAGGGTGACCTTAAAATACACAACCCATAAATTTCCCAATTACGTCTACAAAAATGAAGCAAATTAATTCAATTTTGTTTACTCTTGAGGTTCTGTTTTTGTATTATCATGCCCGAAAGCTTCAGTAATCTAGGGCGCTTTGCACAAAAAATTATGTCCTCTCTGGAATATGTTCCGAATGACCTCTCCGGCGTTGGAGATAGACTTGTATCCGCTGCGCATAATTGTCAATCACCTCATTTGGGCTACCATTTCCAAACATGTCATACTGGTCTGTTTTGATTGGAAGACGAAATTCAAGAGGTAAATATGGAACATTATGTAACTGGACTGATAAAGTGCTGATGATTAGTGGTTCCAGCAGGAAGGACGCTCCACATATTTAATCACGCCTCTGACTGGGTATAAGTGCGATTTCAGAAAAAGATAATCAGAAGGAGGTGTAACGTCGATTGGGAACCTCAGGAATTGGACTTGAATCTCCCTGATTTTCATCTCAGGGACCATGTGTATGAGAACATTCTTCAAACAATTCGTGAACTTAAAACTGCAATTGCAGAGAGATTGTTCATAGAGAAGTGCGCGTCAGTGATTGACAATTTTGCGCAACGTATGCAAGGCCGTTAAAGAAGTTTAAACTTTTTGAATATATTTTCGTAGAAGTAATTAAGAAATTTATGGGTCCTGTTTTTCGGGGGCACTCTGAATGATGTAAGCGTATTTCTGAATGATGTAATATAAAAATAATATTATGGAATCTATGAAAAGCTAATGAAATATGTTGATTCGTGTTTTATATTTGGGGTCGAAGGACTTTGTAGGATGTTTGTAAGTAAAATGAATATTGATGCTGTTCTAAAACCATCGATTAATGTAAGGCTGATAAAGTGAGTATTATACACATATATAGATATGAATATGGTGGGAATGGAAACTCAGACATACAACCTTACAATTAGATAGGAGCAGTTTATTCTGTTTCATGTGGCTATTATTCTGCTATCTGTATAATTATTATGGATGGGAATGGTTAACGGTTACGATTTATTTTGATCGCTAACTGACATCTCAAGTAATAATTACTTTTATACGGTAGGATTTTCAAAAATCATTAGTTCATCGCGAATATATCTCACGTGGCGTTTAATTCGAAAGAATATCACTAACTCAATTGGTAATCATCGAGAAATTATCAAAAATAATTGAAGTACTAGTATTGCTGAATATGAAAATTTGACAAATTCAGAACAAGTTTCCGGTCATGGTTAAGGATTTTATTGTAAAAGCGTCAATGTCATTCAACAAGTGCGCATTCTGTCACAGGAATAATAGCATAAATATATTTTCATAAAGTAGCGACGAACGTTTCACAATACTTCCTGCCGCACTCATATAGTAAATACGTATCACATCGTACGGAACTGGTAGCTTCTAATCGCAGCTGATGCTATTTTTTATGATATCTCAAAGAAGTTGTACATCGAACACCAAAGATTTTGTCTAATAAATAACGAATAATTTCAGAATTTGTTTTACTAAAATACCTCCATATGCCCGAAGCACGAAGCGATACCATGACAAGATCACGCGAAATTGCTTTGAAACCATTGTGACGTAACCAGCCTTGACTATACCTTGTAGTCGAATGTCATGCTTCGGTTAACCGGTTAATTCTACCCGGTTAACGGTTAAAATATATTCCCTAAAATTTTCAGCACTAATAATTATATGTTTGTGTAAAACGTCCTACCGTATGTAACGTATCCTGGCCCGAGGGCAAAACAGCGGAGCACTATTATATTTTCTGAATTTTAACAATTGGGAATTAGAATGTTGATTAAATTCAAACTCCTAAAACAAAAGAATTCACAGAACAAGAGAGTAATTCTCAAATAAAAGAAAACTAAAGTCGGACATACTTATCGGGCTGAGTGGACTCAGACAACAAGAGGCCTGCAGGGTATTCCATTTGTAAGGTCCCTTTTCAAAGTGCCTTCAAAATTGATGTTTTAAACACATTAGGACGTAATAAACAATTTTTCAAATTGTGAAATTCTTAACTTAAGCAAACATTTAAAAAACACTTGAAAATGAAAAACAGTATGAAATTCAATGCCCACAAGGCTTCAGGGCCCTAGGGGTCAGCCTACCTTGCCTAATGGTAAATACGGCACTGGTGTATGGTACGGCCGAAGTGTACCGATTTCATTGAAAAGATCGACGGATAAGCGTGTCAGAGGCTGTGAGGCACGAGAAAAGTGTCCCCTTTAATGATAAAGACTATATAATACCTAGTTTATCACAACAAGTATTTGGAAAAATTTATATAGAAATTTTCAAAGTGTGACAAAATGTACCGGATCCAGCCTCCATATCACTACGTCAATCCCTCAATTGTCATTGGCTTCTGACACAAAAAGACTTCCAACTCGATATTTTCAAATGTCAATTATCTAGTTGCAGGCTGACGTTTTGACTGAAAGATTGTATAGTGAGACAAATTGTATATATTAAGGTAATGTTGTTATGGTTACCTGAAACCATTTTTGAATAAATCGTTTGCTGTCAAGTTTAAAACTAGGTTTGTGTAGAATTTGTTTACTATGAAGGTTCCAAGTTTGCACAGGTTTCGGGAGGGAAAAATTTGTACGAGGCGACAAATTTCAATCACTGCGTTCGACACTCCAGACTTGTAAGATAACGACGAAAAGACTTAAAGATCAGGCACAATGTAGGCTAGTGTAGTTGGTATATGTCCGAATAGTTGAACTAGTGTATTCAGTCTTTAGTTTATAAAGTGCATAAACGCAGAATGATACGATATAAACGTTGAGATATGGCAAATGTCAGATAGTTTTCGAGAGTTTTTAATGATCATAACATGTCGTATATATTTTTTGGAACCTGTAAAATTACATTTTTATATAGTAAGTTGGCAATATATGCGTACATGCAAAGCTCAACATATAGACAATGCGAGCAAATTTAGGGATGGGACGAGTCCGGCATTACAGAGATTCGACGAATCCGAGTAATAGGTCAAAGGCTCGAATCCCCCGAGTCCGTTACGTCACAATGTAAAAGCAGAAGAACACGTTTTTGGCCATGCTACAGCATCGTGCGCTCACAAACATACGTAGTAGCTCATATTGTTTGCCTAATGGTTTCGCAGATAGCTGTTGAATCATTTTAAAAATATATTTATTTTCTTTTTTGACGGCCATAATACAAACGTAAAAGTGGGTCAATGTGCGCCTTGGCTGTGAACTGGATTTCCAGCCCACCACCTTGAGCCAATATCGGGCGGCTATTCACAAATTCTTACATGTCAATATGAAAAATAAAAAGCTTTTGACTACAATGCTTTCCCACAATTCCAGATATTTCTAGCCGTAAATTTACTATGTCACGTGCGCAAATGGTATGAAAATCGACTAAATTTGTTTTTGCACAATGCCATTATATTTGGTTTTGTGGGACTTCTCCTTCATCTCGACATCTCATGTTTCAAAACTAAACTCATAATATTTCAATTTATTGCACGGAAAAGACAACTTGAAACAGTATAACATCTCGTATATGTTTAGTTTTTTGAATAAAATAATCATCTATTTTAGATGCCCTCCTAAATCTACCCGTCTACAAGTGACCTCGTGTGTATGTGATTGTGAGGACGAATTAGAAGAGTTCTGTGACGACAAAATAACATGCTCGTTTAAAGTAACAAACCAAAAGTTTGGTGATCCATGCGTTGGGACTGAAAAGTACATGTGGGTACGGTACCGATGTCGGAAAAATACACCTAAAGTTGTGACTTAAATGGTCCCAAGTGCTTAACCATGAATTCCCAGCATTTAGTTAGAAGGATCGTTTGTGATTTGCGTTGATACAAATTAACGTGACTGTATCTTCAGCTTCAGCTGATACGATAAGTTTGTATTGATTTATCGATTTTTCTTTTTTGAACTTCGTGTATATTTGTGATAAATATATAAGAAGTAATATTATTAGTTAGATTTGTTATATGAAAGAATAAAATTTTGTACGTTTTTACATGAAATTAAAGTAAAATATCATCTAAGAAATCGTCTTTTTCTGGAGCATCATATCTTATCATAGTTCGGTAGACATTCTTGTCCTGAGCACTCATGATCGTCGTATGAACTGTGATTTCGCGAAATATTGGAGATGTAGATAGAACCTGTCATGTGATAAAAAAAATACTTCGAATTCGAAAATCATAAATTAAATTATACTTATGATATGAGCAACAATATTAGTCTCGACATAACAATGAAAATTATTTAATAAGTTTGTTTAAAGTGATGCAAAGTATAGAGAACTAATTATTGCGTTCCTGTTCAAAAAAATTTGAACTGGAATTTGAGAATTATTCATGACGGAACATTTTGCTCAATTAACGTATAATATGCGCGGTAAGGTACTTCGCTACACGCAAATTAATTCAGCACGTTCATATAAAGGGCTTTGATAAGGGTAGAAAAATACATGCTATCCGGTCGAAAAGGGTAGGCTCGCAACGCAACTTTTGACTGTGCGACTCTATAATGGCAATTAAAATACTTTTTCCCATTTCCTACAAACATGTTGCTATGGAAAATGATACTGGGAACTCAAACACATATCACATCACGTAGGGTCACTATATGAATCCGTGCTGATCTGATGTGGGTATACCGTTTAATTATCCCTACAGGAAAGGCGGTACGGTGTCACCCAAATAAAAATATTTCTAATGAGACTATTGTTATTACCAAGGCTGGGGACCTGGTTTGAAATCACAGTGGCTCTGGGTCCAGCTCTGGAGTCACAGTATATTCCAACAGGTTTTTGGAAGTATGTGCACCAAGATGGCGCACATCCTGAACATAGTATGTGTACCAGGATAGAGTTCAGGTTATGCGCCATCTTGGTGCACATACTCCTGGAGCGTCGGTTTTTGAGTGTGACCAGTACCCTGAAATATCTTCCTAAATGCAGCTTCGTGAAAGCTGGACTCAAAGTATGAAATAAAGGGTTTAAATATATATATTCAACTTGAAATTTTCGAATTAATATTATATATTAGAATTTATAAAAATGAGCTGAGTAGAATAAATTTTATTACTTGTATGAAGTATTAAAAAATTATAAATGTTAAAAAAATAGATGATTAGGAGTTGGAGCAACTATAATTTCTGGTAGCTCCGGCTCAACCTAACACGGTAAGCGTGGCTCCAGCTTCACGAAAATGTCAAAGCTTCATGACTCCCGGCTCCGACTCCCCAGCCTTGGTTATTATAATGTTCCGGTACATTCTGGTTCGTATAAACATCTCACTTCATAAAGTGTGTCTGCATTAATATTCTCTTGTCCATTCTCATTCATATATTCAATAACCGCATCTCTTCTGTCATCTTTAGCAGGTGGGCTCTTCCATGGATCGTAATTAGTTTCAACTATAAACCACCTGAACAAGTGCCAGCGAATTAATTAAGAAATGCTAACAAATGATTAAAATAAATCACACAAAAAGCCTTCTGAATTTTGCACTAAATTCTAAATTATAGTGAACCATTGTCTGCTAAACCTTTTCCATATTCCGTGTTGGGGTGGTTCTTAGATTTGAATGGATAGAAAATTAATTAAAGTTAGTTCGTTAGGAGTCTGAGTTACCAGATATATAGCTCACCCAACATTTAAGAATGTCGACTATGTAAATCCTGACATAAACAGATTAGAATTAAGTATTATATTGACTAATTTCAATTTTACTAATAACATTTGAAGTAGAGTTAAAATACTAACTCAACAATAGCACATTACACTATAGTGTTTGACGCAGTGGCATTGAGGAATAGTATGGGAACAACGTTACCTGTTATGAGTCTTGTCTCTCATTCTGGTCACATTTATCCCTCCCCATCTATCTCTCGTTACAATAGCACCATTACCTGTCTCAACGCCACCAACTATGAAATAAATAGGAGCTATTGTTGCAGCTGTCATCAGTAATGAAATTGCATTTTCATAATCGTTTGCCTTTTCTAAAACCTTGAAAGTAAAAAGACATGTGTTCTAATCTGTAGGAAGAAGTACAGAAACAAAACACATTTATATATAATGATGATTATAATTATTAAGGAAGTCGTGGAATTTTTTTATTGGTGCTGTTTTTTCTTATCCAGAGATAAGTTTCTGCAATAATAAGCACTTATAATGTACCTGTCGGGCAAGGAGCAAGGTCGGCATAGATCCATTGGAAGCAAATTGGACGTTCTTCTGCCATCCACCATAATCTCTTTCATCGGCAGATAATGAAAATTTTCCAAATTTTGTTGCTGTCAAGACACCAACGTATCCCACCACAGTTGTCACCTCGTAAAGTGTCTGAAATTGTAAAACATTAATTTAAAAACATTTGATATTGTTTTCAAGAAATACGTTTGGTTCAATATAGTTTCATATGGGTATCAAGTATTAATCATCAAAGGCGTAATTTGTGAAATAGGAATTTACTATCTAATTTTGACTGCAAGAATGCGGTATAGACAGGCTTGTCCATGAAAATGGGATTCCCATTGGAAAGGTCCCATAGAATGGGATGGGACAGCATACATTTGTATTTCTCATGGAACACGAAAACCGTATGATTTTTGGGGATATGATGGTAAAACATTCCGTTATGGATTTCGTGCCCATATATTTGAGCATAGCTCTCTTGTTAGTTATAAAGAGCAAAACATATTCAGCAATAACAATATACTTCGTGGAGAGGCTGATGAACACATGTGTAATAGTTATGAATATAAAGTTAACGAAGTCCGAAAATTTTGTTGTTTTGCATGTCTCTTTATACATGTAGTCATATTTAGTAAACGCTTAACCTAAATTTAACAATTTTTAATGAATTTTATTTTAATGTGAATCCCATAGGACGGGAAGGGATGGGACAGGCATAATTGCTATGGGATGGCAATGGGACAGTAAAATATGTCCCATGGACACGCCTGGCGTATAGATCGTTTAAACGTTATAAACTACAAAAATACATTGGAGTTGAGTTAGTTTGACACGATGCCCGGTAAAAAGGTATCATCTCACAATGATCAGATGGGGTGACGCACATCTATCAGAAAAATTGATCGGAGAAAGCTTCTTCTTATTTTTAATTTGATTACAAAGTGATACATTTATGTTTCTTTATAGATATCGGAATATTTGAATACGTTTTTAAAATACATAAAAGTTTGATGAATTCCAATATTCCTGTTTTCTAATTATAGCCTTGTGGTAGCGCTGTTACACCCTGTCTGGGTGATAGTCCCCTCATTGAAAGATATGCGATATAATTAGTCACCATATATATAGATAGGTGTATCGAGACATAGATCAAAGTAAAAATATATAAGTCTGAAATCAACACATATCATACCTTACCGTTGTGTTGGAATTCTACGTCTATAGTCATGTTACGAACAAAGGGATAAAAATCAAGATTTCGTCCGTGGAAGATTTCACCTTTTGTATTCATTGCAACAATACTAGTACATGCTCTGTAACAATAATTTTAAACAATGGTTGTTACTGATAAATTAATGGATTTGCCTGGTTTGGTGTTAATTTCTAACAAGACTATACCTCCCAAAATGTAAACAAAATGGATATTTGAAAGATCCTTTCTGTTCGGGAGGAGTGTGGATACAATAGCAGACAATATCCTTGACACTTGAAAGTTTGAAGCAAAGAGCTTATTCAAATTCAGTATGGCTAATTCGCTGAGAACATAATAACATACACTTTTAATTAGAAATTGGTTTATGTGTACTCGAGAATCCTACCAAACCTATGATTAGGGGCCATTCCGATATTCGACTATGGAGTTGATCTACAAAAATCTTTCAACTTCCAACTGACTTTAAATTACAAATTTCTGCTTTTCAAAATCTACCCACAAGTAGAGGGCGCCAGACTAAACTGGAAACCCAGCACACAAAGAACATCAAATAATGTAGGATACATGCCTAACTGGTAAGCTTGCCCAGAATCTCTATGATTACTTCTGTGAACCCTGGTGATGTGAATTCTACAGGAAGTCATCAATGTTACTTGATCAAAAAAGCATTACAATTTATAATTATTTTAATCGAATATTTCAACGCGAAATAAATGCTTACTTTCCTGTACTAGATCCAAACGCATCTGCATCGTAGACTAAGTTTAAAAGAAGAATCATTTTGGCATCAACTCCGAGAAATTTACTGATTCCTGTAATTTCCTCGGCGTAAGTTTTTGGAATATGCTCGTATATATTATCAGACAATTTTTCAACAATTTTCCAAATTTCGGTGTCTTCGAATAATCTAAAATATACGAATTGTTAAAGGAACAAGCATGTTTCACAACTGTCATACTGAAAAAACTTTCAAGGAATGACTATGCATTTTTAAATACGTGAGATAATACAAGATTCCATCGAGCAAGAATTTGGCAAAAAATATCACAGCATGATTTCCAACATGAATAGTAATGATATATATATATAAATTATTGTGTATTGAAATCAGGTCATATTGGAGGTAATTATGCGTTCAACCATTGTCGATACATGGCTAATCTAATGATAGTCGTATTTAAACCGGGTGAGCAAGCTGAGGCATTATGCTACATCACAATTAATCATACTAATTTACTATAACTGTCTAATAATCTGATTACTAGAGTCTGACAATGAAGCTCAACATTCAACTCACTTGAATATAATATTATAGGAGTCAATGAGAGCTCTTCTGTCAAAATGTTTCAAAACATCATCCCATCTGCAATAAAAAAGTTTGCATTGAAAGCTTTTCAAGTTTTGTTCTTATGCGCGAAGTATTGAATACCTAAAATACAGCACCAGATTGTATTATGAAAATAGTTCACAGCTGCTTTAACTCGGATATTAGAATAAAATATAAAAGTTACCTATGCGCTGGTGGTAAATCCAAATTGACAACAAAGTTCGGAGCTGGAACGGCTCTTTTCCCAGTACTGCCATGAAATGATTCAGCAGCAGTCAAATCAAACAATAGTAAAATACAAGTTATCTTCTTCTCCCAGTACATATTCTAACCAATCAATTTGATCCTATTTTCGACTACATAAAACAATGATAAAAATGCCTTATATTTATTATTTTAGTGCGAAATGTATTGTTATATTGAGAATCCTATAGCGGGCATTTAAAGCCATAAACTACTGCTCTGTTCTACATTGAGTGTTCAGAAGGTTGTGTTTGGTCATCGACCGAATCTTGTTAATTATTCTATTGACTTTGTGAAAAATATAAAGTATCTATGTCTGCAAGAATTATTTGAATTGTCCCCAGCCAAACCTGCCCTAAGCGTAAACCAATCAATGGATGTGTATTAGCTATCTCTAGATCAGATTGCATGTTGCACAAAAATCTGTTGACTTGCATCTCAGAGTTAATTATTATCAAAGCTCTGAGGGTGTTCAAATATTGTGAATACGTGTTAACGCGCGAATAATAGAACGACGGATAAGCTTTGGTAATTGTGTGGCTGATATATTCAAAGATTCGAAAGTATTTTCACGGTTGGAAAGGACATAAATAATGTCGTGTAATTGCAACTTCTATTTGTCATTTAGAATAAAAATTCATTTGTCAAACGTTTGTCCGGATTTTACTCTCTATCTCTACCCACGATGCCGAATAAATTTCTTGCAGAAGTAATCTACAATTTAGATGCCAACGCCCAACTATTCATCTCCATCATCTTGTCCGCCCATTTATACACATACGTGTACAAATGGCATTGCATTATATGAATTGATTATGACAGGATTTCAAGCCTATATGACGACATTGTGTTTGTTATCATTCAACAGCTACATATTTCAAACAAGATGTATTAAGGGGGTAAGCTGTATCAAGCGAGAAAATGTAGCCACTCCCACTCGTATAGTTCATTATAGCTTACAGTTTTTTTACTAGTGGAATCAATTGGTGCAAGCAACCAAGAAAAATATACTTACATACAATGTAAGACTGGGCTGTCTTTCATGAACCTACGCTTGACAGAAATAACGTTTGAAACACATATGCTCTGGCCACGGCATGCTCTTTATCCAAATAAAACGAGAACAGCCCAGATATCATTTTGATTGTAACCATACGTGATCTAACATACTTTAATGATTGTAGTCTGACAGTATATTTCAGGTATAAGCAATGGTTATTGTTCGCAGTGTATTTAGTTAGAACGCAATTAATATTGATGTCAGTAATTATCGTGTAGCGGGAAGTTGTATCGTTTTTATTATGTTTGTTTAATAGCGTACCGCGAAATTATTGTCCTGTCTTTTGATTGGCGATAAAAGCAAGCGATGCATGAAATCACTCCAACCATTAAAGTAGATTTTCAAAGAACTTCAAAAACCAAAATGTTAATAAAATGTATAACGCCCTTCCAGAATACCTATTACGTACCAATCGGATATCTATAAACATTTAAAAGCATCCTCGTTTATTAGTTGATTGACACCTGCAGGGCGTGGTAACGTGGAGTATGCAATATATAAGACGGAAAATTACGGCAAACAATATAAGTCACAGTTAGATTTGAGATTTGAAACATAATCTCCAGTAAGTTGTGTCAACATTTTACAGTCTTATAAATTCTAGTCTGTTGTTCGAAGAATTATTACCAAATTTGAAAAATGAAGACAGCAATTATCGTAGCACTTTTCGTCGTCTGCATCCAAGCTGGAATTGTGAAAAGACAAACCGGTGAGAAAGTCGTTATCAAATTGCGTTCAGTGGAATTGCTAGCCTAGAAGCAATATTATTGTATAACTAACAATTTCAAATGCCTTTATACGGTTTTTAAAACAAAAACAAGTTTTTAGAATGGAAAAATAACTATGTAACCTATATCTGATGAATCGGTTCGGGATGAACTGAAATGAGATAGAATAACTTATATAAAATTTAATATTCTTATATAATTTTACATAAAATATAATATTCAAATAATTTTAATTCAATTGAGAGAAAGTTTTGTATTGTGTTTTATAATTGTTTTATTCTTAAGTATAATACATTGTGTTTTTTTCACTTTTTCAGATGTCTTGTTTGATACCGATGTAAACGGCAGGGTTTGCTATGTTGGAGAAAATGGAAATTACACCATGGATATCTGCCCTGAAAGCGAGGTAAGATAACGCTAATAATCATGATTTAGAATTAGATAATACTAATAAAATTGGTGATCATTAAATCGTGATAAAAAAATCAATTGTAAATTTCAGAAATTGTGTCGGTGTGCGATATTATTTGCCGTCTCATATATTAGGCAACACGCAATTAGCATATAGGTTCTTAACACTGATAAATTCCGCTCTGTTTTTCATGCAAAGTTAACTGGAAGGATGTCTTATACATGCGTTCTGTAAATATACAGTTGGAAATGTCTTCATATTATTTAAAATGATAAAAACTCCAATTAGATTTCACTTTATCAATTTCATGCTAATTTTTACAGCAAATGTGTCAAACCGCTATCAGAATAGAGAATGGCAACATTCAAATCACCAATTCCTGCAAACAAGATAAAGCTTGCATGAATAACCAAGATATCAACATACAGAACTGCATTGGTGATGAAGCCTTCAGAAACAATGTGAGTAATGTATTGTTGAATAAACTAATTATCTCGATATAAATAAGCGAGACAGAATGATCACATATGATGTGTAATGTGATACATTGTAAAGCAATAACGTGACACAAGCTAAGATCTATCCACGCAAAGTTTATTCAAGAAGTGTTCTTGTTAATATTAAAATAGTTTATTCACAAAATGATCGGAAATGCCAAATCTGACCAGCACTCTAACATGTTTCTTGATAAAGATTATAGAACGAGGATTCGATTCTTAGCATGCATCAGGTCTTTGCCGATACAAACCCACCCCGCTCAACTAAGAGAAAGATAAATGGAATTTTAACTTTGATAGCGCATTTCGATTTAGCGTATGCCTATATAAAAATCGGTACTCCTGTAGTATATGAACCAAGATGGCGGATACCGGAACATAGTGTGCGTAACAGGTTAGGGTGAGGCCATAATTTTATCCAATTTTCCATATTTTAGTTCTACTACGATTTCAGAGACTAGTCAAGTGACTCCCGTAGTATTTGTACTGCCCTACTAACCTGGTACACATACTACGTTCCGGTGTCCGCCATCTTGGTACATATACTACGTTCCGGTGTCCGCCATCTTGGTTCACATACTACCTAAAAATCTACCCTAAAATGTGCGAAAATATAAATATAAATTTTAAAACCTATCTTTATTATTTTTGCACAAATATAATATTAAATTTTTGTAGGTTCGCGTCTGCCACTTTTGCTGTGAAAGTGATCTCTGTAACAACGAATACGATCTGGATACCTTGCTGCTTATCGCCGGACAATACAGAGAACCATCCACTGTTGCCACATTTCTTGAATAGATTTTAAATTATAATGGCTGCAAGTTATCTGCTTACCGATATAAGGGACTTTTTGAACATTCATTTAGTCGAATAAATAGTGATTTTTATTCTATTTTTGATATAAACTGGCATAGCATTTGTTTATTTAATAAATATGTTTGCATACCTATTTTGTTATGTTTTGAAGTGGAAGATTTCCATGATGTGGCTCTGTAGCACGTCGTTGTTGATTTTTCCAGCTGGCTCGGGCTCAATTCAAGGTTTCAAAAATACAGTGGTTCTCAACCTTTGCTAGCCTGCCGAACCCCTTCGATCTTCTGCGCGCTCCCATCAAACCCTATACAGAGGTAGAAGAATCGTATATGACTCAGCGCCATGTTGAGAATTGTCCAGAACGAATGTTGATCATTTTAGCAAAACTCTGCAATGAAATATTTTATTTTCACAAATTTATCACTTAGTAAAATTTTATATGGATATAACATATAAGCACTCTCACTTCTCATCTCCGACTTGTCCGTAAACTTGAGTTGCATTTTATTAGTCGATCGAACCCAGGTTGAGAAACACAGGATGGAGCAGATGGACGATTATCAACATGTGTTGCTTCAATTGAAGTAGTTCCCCTGTAATCTAATGTGGAGCTAATATCAAATTACCTTCAGTAGAATCAGTTGATATTATAAGCATTCTTTATCTCGGTGTCATAGATGAAGTTAAAAATACATTTATCATTCTTTAGTAATCAACAAGTAATCAAGGCCGATTCGAGTTCTTATCAGCAAAACTTGTCGTAATGTTTTATTATGAAATTTTGCTTTACTTTTTAGCAATTTTGCACACTGAATAAAACTCGAATTTTGCAATAACTGAAAACGTTGATTGAATATCTCTCAGCATCCCAGTTGATTTCATGACATTGGTAGTTGTCGGTGTTTCTCATGGGCTGATTTATTCAACTCGCAGTCAGTTTTGTGACCGACTTTGAGAAAACATTCATATATACATTTGTTTCTTTTATTTTTAAAGCAATGTGGGACAAAGTAAATACAAAATGAAGTTAAAAAACATATCCCCCAAACAGATGAGGTTATTACAAGTACAAGTAAGTCTCAAGTCCAAAATACTAGCAGATGATATACATTATATAGGAAGATAGAATATATAAGAAAATATTAGGTATTAAACTAGAATATATAGAAAATATCAGGTATTAAACTAGTTACTAGAAGGTGAAATAAACTGGTAACAAATTATGCTAACGAAAATGACTCATGCGCTTCGTTTGTTTCAAAACCGGTTAAACAAATGTCAACGACAAGTGCCATCATTTGAACTATAATTTAAACACCTTCGGCAAAATGATATCAGATCAGATAAGATTTTTATTACAAACAATGCAGCCGAGAACGGTCAGAATGAGAGGCTTTGAAGTAAATTGGAAATGAGGTCGTTGTTAAGGCTGCAATAAAGGATAAGTTAGTTTAGCAGCATTTCAATATTGACATCGATATTATAAGATAAGATAACCTTAAGATTATATAAGTTTATAAATATAGCCTGAGGAAATATGTTTTATACTAAAAGGGACGCTTATTGTATTGTGTGTACTTAAAAAATAAACGAGTTTTCTATAACAAAATGCAGGTAAAATTATCACATTTTTATAAAGTAAATTACCCTTTGAATAGTCGTGTATATTATTTCTGACAGATTGAGTCATTTTCCAATTTTGTCAGGGTCGTTTTGCAGTAGATAATTCTTCCCTAACGCAAAAGTTAATTATTTCAAAATGTCAAGCTATTTTCATTTCACGAAGAGAATGTAAATATTATCTATTCAAGAATGGCAGACCTTTATTGTTCATATTTTTGCTTTTACGTGAAGGGTACTTAAAGGGTCAAGAATTTCCAGATCTCACAAGTCAGCTCTTTCAATAAGGTTCACAAGGTTCCACAAGGTTCAAGTTTAATTTAATATAATCGTTGTGCAGTAAATGATGGTAGATCTGACTTGTGCAAATTCGAGACCTGGATTCCAAGTTGTCAAAAGATGACTATACTTTTACTTTTAATTGTTGTGAAGTGCCATACGTTTTACGTAATGATTCCCTAGACTTTCATTAGACATTCAGTTAGACTGTATAGTTTATCTGCATTGGAAAAAGTAATATTTACTGCTAAACATATACAATCATATTAACATGATTGAAAATGTGGTTAAGCGAGAGATCCTGAACTAACCAGTAATCCAGACCGAGGCTATGGCCTTGAATGCCATTCGCTAAGTGCATGAGCATCTATTAGTTATGTTGAGTTGTAGTTTATGTTATGCTTGCTAGTTTTCACCAAATTAATCTTTCACACCGATTTACTAGGAAATAAGAGTGTGGCAGAAGCGGAATTAAATTGTAGCCAAACGAAAGTCAAATGCACTGTATATCTATAGAATAAAATGTCACAGTTTACTATTTTTTCAGTTTAATAATTTTGATCATCGTGATGGCAAAATATATTTTGTTATCCTTAGCTTTTCTCTTTCTCTTGCGGCATACCAGCGCACAGACTTCTGGCAACGCTACTGCAGCATCGGCACCCTGTAAGTTCATAACGAAAAATGATGTGTTGAATAATAAACGCAATTGATGGAATAATTTGAAACATATTTATTAAATTAAAATATGAACTATCAACCGTCAACTTGGCATGTTTAAGAATAATAATGAGCTCTTGTAATTCTTTCCTACTGTGTTATTTTTATATCGTATAGGATTTAAAACGTTGTACTCATACCATCAAAATTTAAACTGAACGTCAACTGGATGTTTTTCGATATTTAAAATAGATGCTATAAAATTCAAATTTGACTCTATATGCAATATTTAGTTCAAATCATTTTTAACAGCATTTGCCGGTCTGGTGAATGCTATTCTCGCTTCTGGAAGATTACAGCAATCGATTTCTGGAAGCAAAACTTGTCTTACTGGAGAAAACGATAATTTTAAAGAAGTTCGGTGTCCATCACAAAAGGTATAAAGTTGATTTCAATTATTTATAAAATATGTATATGAAATTCGAGGGAAGAAACTGACTTCTTCTGATTACAACTCGCCAAAAATAGTTCAAGTTAAAAATCTTGCTTCTGTTTTGATAACATTTATTTTTTGTATTTTGATTTAAATATTCATAATATATTGCACGGAAACAATTTTTGGTTCTGTTGGAGGCAATATTTATAAAGAAAAATGTCACTCAAAATTTTGTCATGGCATCTTGGCGCTGTGTCTTCGGTCGTGATTAAACTCAGAAACTCAGTCTGAGGCCTAAATTCAGGTAGCAGAATCATAGGCATTTGATTAGTATGAGATTATTTTGCCAATATATAGACCAATGATGTCTCATATAGTGTAGCCTGTAGGGATTATATCACCGGTGCTAAAGCCAGTTCATGCAAACAAATCCAACAAAATGCACAGAATCATGTGTAGGGTATGTTGCTATGGTCCCATAGACTCTCCGTGTCGAGACTGCGCTTCCTTTCAGCTGTCCGCTTTCAAGTCTCTAGTAGTTAAAACGTGTAAAATCTTGGTTGTGTATTATATTCTTCAGTTAAAATGATAACAGTAAATTCGATATGAAGATGCAATAAAACGGTAAAATAACTTAACTCAAAGTTGAGACAAAAGCTTGTAGTCGCAGTCGGGGTGCGTGTCGCGCGCTATCCCTCAGCCGAGTGTCCTAATTTTGTAAAACACAAAAGCCGAAACGTGGCAAGCGCGTCACGGGGTCACATGACCTGGGCCTAGGTGTTACTATAAGATCCCATCCCATAAAACCAGCCACACCAGTCCGCCATGTTTCATCCAACAGAGAAACAAGATTTTTATGTCCAAGCTTATTTAGTACAAAAACGATCATTCAAATTAAAGCAATTTTGCAAGCCTTCTAGTAGAAATGAAAAAAAAAATTGAAGTGAATCTCGGTCGAATGAACTAAAAAATTAGATTAGAACAATACGAATAAGAACAAAATCAAAGGTTTATTATTTGCATATTTTATTAGGGAAATTGCTTGACGAAGATTGTTTACAATCATGATTTGGTTCATGTGATGAGAGAATGCAAGGAAGAAGAACCATGCAAGAATCTACAAAGTCAAAATAGAATACAATGTAGGGGACCTCAAGCAAAAAGAAATCAGGTGATAAAACTCGGTTAGGCAGTATTGTTATCATTACAGAAACGGTGATCTTTATCTTTTTACTAGCACAGACAAACGTGGGCTGGTACTAAATTCCCTCAGGACTGAAATATCCAACGCCTTCAGAGGACAATATAACCCACAGTATGTCCATATGGGATACTCCTGAAGTATGCGTACCAAGATGGCGGACACCAAACGTAGTATGTGTACAAGGTTAGGGTTAGGCCCTAATATCAGGTACAAATACTACGGGAGCCACTTGGCTAGTCCCAGAACTTGCAATAGAACTAAACTACGGGAAATGGAAATAACATTATGGCGTAACCCTAACCTGGTACCTGCAACCTGGTTCGCATACTTCAGGAGCACCCCTTTTAGCGTAGTAAAATATAGTGCTGTATCACAGGTCACAGCTTCAAGCACTGCTTGATCTTGCAATTTCTGAGTAAATATAGCCATATTAAGCATTAAACATTTAGTCACAATACAATATTTCTCGAATAAAAATAGACAAATTGGGTTGGAGTGTTCTTCTCTACTTCTTGTAATTTATACTGCCCCATTGTTTTATTGTTTCTATATATAGAAAATTCTACTAACTTCGAAGTATATACCACTGCTAATATAATTGTATTATTTACAATGAAAAGGAAGTTAATGAATATGGTCACAATATTCAACTGTTGCTCACGTTTCTTGAAATAAAACGTTCAAATTTCCCAACTCAAACACTAAGAACAGGTTACGAATTTGATTCCATAAAGTCGTTCTCATTCCAATCAGTCAGTCTATATTTTCTGAGTAATACAAGAAAGTTCAACTCTATGCAACTATATCAAATTCACCAGACAATTTTTCTTGAAACTATAAATGCATGATATAATGCATTCACTTGAACACAGATCAAGTAAGTGGCATATTTCAACGCATCGATACCATTGAAAATCAGTGTGTTCTTTTTCTGATTTTTCCTCAGTACAGCAATATTTGCTCAATAAATAAGAGATTGTTTAATCCAAGAAAGGCATCTGATATGGAGTCCCAAGCAAATCGAACATTTTCTGGTTTGAGTTGTAGCCTATTATTTTTTCTGTATCATGCCCCGGCGTAAATTGGGCCTACATTTTTTTTATTTGAATTTCTAAAACTTAATATTGGGAAACGTATATGACATTCCTAATAAAATTGATGAATTAGCATGGATTGATAAAGTTAGGAACAAATTTTAAATATTTATAAAAGCCAAAACACGAAAACTATACCCGACTCTTAACTCCATAGCGTCGTAGATTCAGTGTGTCCTTGCTTAGGCGTTTGTACCAATCGCCCAGTGATCTGAGTGGTTAAAACCTAATATATACAACATCGAAATATCGATCCAAATTATTATTACAGGTGCAAATATGCCATTATTGCTGCAACACAAGCAATTGCAACGACAATGTTGCCCTCGAGAAAATATTGCAAGAAAAGTTGGGAAAGAAAGAAAAATAATCTTGGGAATAAACGGCACGATTGGGACGAGTTCTCTATGAATTTGTGTTAGACTAATTCTGTATCTTGTGACAAACTATCTTTGAAATACATTAGATATGGTGATGAAATTTTTTTTAGTCATACAAGGTTTCAGTAAGCAGACGGAAAAGTGACTACAGCGCAGTTTAAATTTGAAAATTTAAGAAAATAGCGCATACAAAATAAATCAATGAACGAATTAATTTGGATTCCTGGTTTTTCTAGTTAGTCCTAACTTGCTTCCCCTTAAAATATGTTTTAAATAGTGTGTAAAAGCAAGCCCAAAAATATCATGAATAGCACATCTTTTATATTTTAATTTTAATAATTTAAACCTGCTTCTAAGGTAAAAGTGATGCACTCTATACAAAGTCGTACTTGCTGTGAACTCAATTGCTGCTAAATTCCCGGAGAGTTGTTCGCAGAAATATTTAGTCATTTCCTATACGGGAGAAACTTGAGAAGGATTCATATGGATACAACTTTGCCTTAGAGGTTCAGACTGGGACGGAAATATCAAAAAGCCGAATTCAATGAAATAAATTCAATAGCTTGTTTATTCGATTTCCGCTTGAGCTAAGAAGTCTTTAAAAGCCAGAGCAACAGGAAATAAATTAATTTGAATCTGTACGTTGACACGCTATCGAGGTGTCATTCTCGTAGTTGAATTTAGTTTGGTCGCGTAGTTTGATTTATATATTGAGCTTTACGTTACATTGCTATTTAAAATAAACCCACGCAAGACAATATAACAAATTGCTAATAACAAATTTCAAAATTGGTTTCCATGATTTATAGCCTACTGATTTCGACGGTGCTTACTTCGATCAAAAAATGTAGTTTCCTGTGGGATGCAGTCAGGATGATTTATATTTATGCATTTAAGTAATGCATGACGCTGTCTGCAGCGGAAACATTTCAATACTGGATTCAATAAATTTGCACGTTCTGTACACAAGATTTCATTAGTTCCACTACACCCAAGGGAGACGTCAAGTACGAAATATGATAGTTGACCCTTTTCATAAAGATTATTGAATTTGTAGTGGGACCTGTTGATATGGTGCGAAGCTAAGAGTTAGTGAAAAGCATTGGCATTTTAAAACCGTATCGGACTAAAATAACGAGTAATAATATCGGTTTGGTTTACCTTTCCGTCAGAAAAAATGAATAAAACTCATGTGCGGAAATTGTTCTTCCAGCGTACTTTCTTGGACTCTAGGCTGGTATAAGCGAGTAGATTTTCCTAGAAACATAACTTTCCTATTTGAAAAAACGGTCTTGAATTTGGCGCCCATTATTGCTGAATTACTTCAAAAATTTAACATAATCAAACTCACTTGGTTTTTCTGCTTTCTTAATGGTATAATAATGTGTATACGTCAACGGCAGTTAGTTCAAGCAATTGTAGTATAATATAAGGTACCGCAAACAAAAAGTCGTGAAACAAAACTATGACAGAATTCTATAAAAAAAATGGAGCATTTTCTTAATGTTTGACTCGTATTGTGGATGCTGATTTGTTCGCCAGGTATTTTATCATTGTTTGGGACCGATGTTTTCAAGTTCGAGATTCGATTATATTATCTTGAAGTTCATGACATATTTCTTGCATATATACGATGACATTACCAATTTATATATTATTTATATTTTATTAAAGGTGATATCATTAGCATAGTCGATTTATTTGAAGTTACAAGGCATAAATATGAAAATTGCAGCGATTTTTCTATACACCTTCGTATCATTGACGTTGGCTGCTGAATGGCCGGCAATAACGACATCACCTAAATGTTACTTGCGCTTCTCTGAGAAATCATTTCAATTTCAATGTCCCACGTTTCAGATTGTGAGTTAACTTCCTTCATTTCAAGGTCACAGAATTATTGTATGTGTCTTGCCCATACATGCTCGTATTTTATTACCTTTTCTGATTTTTAGTAAATTGGAATTAGGTCATAATTTATGGCAGTTATATTGTTCATTATTATGTCCATGTTCATATTTGAAATTAGATAGGCATCAGATTTTTCAAAAATATTTTAACAAATTTTTTTTTCTAAATCCAATTTTAAATTTCGACTTATTATCATTAAAAATGATTAATTATTTGGAAAATCAGAAATAACAACATTCATTGAAAATTTTGATCAGTTTGTATAAATTGTAGCTGACCTTGATGTTCTAGTCTAAACATATAAAAATACCGAATATTTGTCATATATTTTTAGATGGCGTGCCACACCAAGATTACATTTACGAACGGATATACGGGCCTACACGAAAATGCTGAGGTTGAAAGTCAGTGCATGGCGGTAAATAAATGCCTAGAATTGGGCAGACAAAATGTGGAAGCGTGCAAAACTGCAGAAGAACAGGCAATCGAGGTAAGATTTGAGTGTAACAGCAGAATCTCACATAATATTTATTCAAACCTGGGTGTAATTGTTGAGCAAATCAAATTATTTGATCCTTTCGTTATGTCAGCACTGAAGCCAAACTTGAAAAAAAATATTATCAGGAAATTAGAGCATAATTGAAAAAAAGGAAACAAAATTGCAACAAGATGAATATTAACTTTTGCTTCTTTTTAATCTACCATTTCTAGAATGTGTCAGCGTCATATATGCTATGCCTGCTGATAAGCTTTAAGTAATGTATATATATATATATATAGAAAGTAATTTTAAACTTTGCTGTAACGGCGTTTTGCTTACCAACAGTTCGAAAGCAGTTTTGTGTCTAATGTAACATTAATATAATGAAGCGTGTGCATTCTTATGAATTTATAAATATATTATTTTTTAGGGAACAGTCTGCAACTATTGCTGTTTCACAGATGGTTGCAACAACGACCCCTATGTCATTGAGAGAATAGAGAGAGGATTAGCCTAGGTTGCAACTCGCAAGATACTTCACTTCAGATTTTTTTCCAGCAGAAAAAAATCAAATAAAAAAGCGAGCATTGTATGTTGGAGTGTAATAAAACATCAAAATAAAATGAAATTGCTTGTTGATTCCATTATTTTAAACCGCAAATAGGAAGTTGACAGAGAAATATATTTTCGATCTGAAATCTAAAGGTTCTCACTCGTTCAGTGTTTAAAGTCTGGCAGATTGAATTCAGACGCTCAATTGAGCTTTAAGATTTGACATCAACGTTGTTCAATGTTAATGCAACATGAAACCAATTTTTATATCTAGCATAGCGATTGATCAGATTTTATCAAGTATATATATCGTTAGTTGTATTGTGACTTTCAGATGATGAAAAAATACAAGGATAATTGCTAGGATGAATTTTGCTTAGGAAAATATTTGCCGTTGTTTCGTAAACAGTATTGTATTGTTAATTGTACGGTTATCTTGCTTCTCGACTGTACTGTCCAGACTGTAACTCCACAAAAAACTGTAATCCCTATCTATTACTACGTTATGTTAGACATAAATGATGATTGCCGATTGATTCCTACTCACTCTGTATAAGGAACTGAGAAGCATAAGCATTACATTTAATATTATAATTGCTTCTTATTATTTATCATTGATTGATTAAAGTACACAATAGACATATAAAACATAGGAAAGATTTTTTTTTATTTTTGTAGTACAAATAAAAATGATTCCTCCCATTTAGCAACAGTATTATAAAGTGAAACGAGACACAATTTTCATTTGTTACAATAATGTTTCCAACAAGCGAACAACAAAAGTAGATGAATTCGTAACTAAATAAAAATAAAAACTGGAAAATGCAGTAACGAATAAATGACTAAGCATTGTTGAAAACGTGGGAATATACGATAATGCAAGATGATATGTCATGGGGTATGAAATTTTCATTTAAACAAATTGTGTTAGCATGAAATATACAAAAATATATTTTGAATCTTCAATCGCTAGTACTTTTGGGAATAATATTGATTTGTATCTCTTGATTACAATCATCGGTATAACAGCAGTAGTAACACACACTTTCCTGTAAAAAAGTATGATACATAGTTTATGATAGAATTATAACACTCGAAAAAAAAAGACATTAGAAAACTAAACTTTTCGAAATTTGTGATATCACTGATGAATAACATTCTATGATACAGTAGTAAATAGACCACACGCTTACACTTGAGCCTATTTTCCCGTACTATGTTTTATTATTATTAACCAAACTCAGAATGAAGACTATGGCAGATAATAAAAAGTTGACAATCATCAAATCGTGCTGTATTTTGCCTCAGAATCAATAATCAGAGTTGGATTCAGGCCTCGCCATGTTCAGCCCGCATAGAGCTATCCCATTAACAACTGTCAACCACTCATTGCTTAACACCCTTAAATTTTGCGTTTTATTTATTATAAACTCACTCCTTCTGCGGATTCATCATTAAGACACAATTCATTGTTTTTATCCGAGAGTTCCATGCACTCGTTTTTCTCCATACACGATTTTGTGACTATTGCTGATTGGTCTTGATCAACGGGCAAAAGTAGCTTCGTTACGCATGCAGCTAACTGCAAAAAAGTTTGGTTCATTTTTAACTAATAGATTTCATAGCCATTATTAAAAATAGGTACACTCCATTCGAGTTTCTATCTTTCGTAGTTTTATTCTCATAGATGGCAAAATTAGTTTTTTTTTAATAGTTCACCCAGCCTATTATTGCCAGCGGTTATAAACATATAATTGGACATGCGAGCAATACTTGAATTACACGGACACGACGTTTGTCCATACGTGCCGGTACGGTAAGAACTCAGACTACCGAGCAATACGAATTAAAAAGTATGCCTCTTCAATTTAAAAAAAAACAGTAAAGTTTGGGTAAAATGTCGTGTACCATAAAAAAAAAACTTTCCGCGTTCAAGGGACTTAATCCATGTTTAAATATTAAGGGTTTGAAATCGAACAGTCTATTAGCATTTTTTTTGTTTTCAACAATAACGACAAGAATTCAGCAAAACGATGGATATGTGATGTGTTTAAAATAAAAAATAAAAATTGTATCAAAGCAATTTCAAATAACAATATACTCACTCCGTCAATTTCGCATGAATCACTCATATATTTGTCATTTTTTCCGACGTAACATTTTTTTGATGAGTTCACCATAGATGAGAGACGCGTTCTGAGGAAATATAACGTGAAGGCCTGAGATGATGTCACGCAGGCGACTAAAATAATAACGAAGATTTTCATTTCATCCAGCAATATTCTTTTAATTATTGAAAACTGGAAATACAATATTACTAATTGTTACTGGTGCGCTGTCATTATAATTCACTTACGATTCGATAGCGAGTAAATCGGTAACACAATTGGTACAATATCAATCGATGTTTGGAATCGATAGGTCACATGGGGGAATAATTGCCGTATTTGAATTATTTGTTTCTACTTCGTGCTGTCGAATTGAAATCACGATCTAGTTACTTCGAAATAACCCCTAAAACAAAGAATTTGTTATAAGAAATACTCTACTGTTTATTACAAGGAAGCAAAGGGCAGTCGAGGGCATTACTGAATTATAATCATGATAAGTTATCTCCCTAAGTTGCCAATCAGGTTTTAGTCTGGCATTAGGAATCAAATTCAACTTGGACAAATGATGTCGAGAATGGATTTTTGTCGGTGCTATGAGCAATATAATGCTGCTTTTTCTTAAGGTTCTTGCATATTTCGATGGCTCTTTTCCTGAACAAAAAGCTTGGTTTGCGTTCACCTCACCATATTCACACAGAATTTATGAAAAAAAAAAATGGACAAGCAATGTTGTTTCAACTAATCTCACTGTATCTGAAATTTCTATATCCAATCTCGTTGTGGCGCTTTTTCAACAAGCGATTTTAATTCCGGTAGCGCGTGACATTTATACAAAGTGTATACGTTTAATCGAAACCGGCAGCACCCGTACCTCTGCAAGAGTAGCATCCGTACCTCTGCTCTTGATATAATTTACGTAGACTATTTATGCTTTATTTATCATTAAAAAAATAGTGCAATGCAGTGCATATATGCAATAGAACACCATGCAGCACAACAAGAAACTGCATCCTGTAACTACACCAACCGACAATGAAATCATCAGAGTTTTAGTTGATTTGACATGAATAATTACTATCTGAACGATGCATCCGTAAGTTTGTCTCATATTGCTACTCTTTGTTTTAAAAGTAGTTAACTTGCTATTTGAGAATTAAGTAGTCTGTCGCCTATCATGAAATAGATGAACCTCACCTAGTTTAGCATCAACTGCCGATCGGAAACGAACTGTCTCTGAAACATACGGCGATGTAAATGGTTTACATGAATATTTGAAAATGTTAATTAGGTTGTATAAATTTGATTTAAGCATGTGTAATTTAAGTACGTGCATGGCGATGTTGTGACAGTAAACAACCGAATACTACTGCAAGTGTACATCTTTTTTTGGTTGCGATTGCCTCCTTCATAATTCACAAGAAAGCGGCTGTCGCCAAGTCGCTCTACCTTCTAATCTATCCTACATATTGTGATCTTTGTGCAAACGCCACATCCAGTGTACAGATAAGGTATTTATTGCATAATTAGATACTAGCAATATAAGTCAGTCATTAAAATTGTTTCCCCTAATTCGAAAAAAATCAGTAATTTAGAGTTGGTTACTATGACGTACGTTGCTTCAGAACTCGTTTTTATTGTGAATGGGGCAGCACTAGTTATATACAAACGTGCCACTTTCTTGTTATATATATTGTATAAATCTATTGAACAACCGGTGTCGAGGCTGTATTATCGGCAAAATGTTGTTTATAATCTTGTAGATAAAACCCCTGCTACGATACCACACGCGTAACCGCGATCCGACTCTGGGACCCCACCCGCTGGTTAGTTATGCTAGACATAATGATGACTGTCGATTGATTACTATTCACTCTGTTTTCAAAACTGAGAAGCATGAGACAAATATTCTTTTCGGACATTTAATATTGTAATTGCTTTTTTGCATTTATGATTGATTGATAAAAGTACACAATAAACATGCAAAAACATGAGAAAAAAACTTGTAGTGCTTCATCACATTTAGAAACAGTTAAATTAGGCAATAACGAAACATGCAGAATTCTTTTTTATATATATATTTATTAATATATAAAACACAGTTGATCGGTACATCTACAACTTACTTGATCACTAATCATAGAAAATACACAATCAGAATTCATCATATAAGATATTCAAGGTAATCAATTATTGTGCAAACATCTTAAAATTTCCCATTTTTGTTTGCAGTGAATAGTGACATTTTTTTTATTAATATATGCAGAATTCTAAGCTAAAAAAAAACTATAAAATTCAGTAGCGCTTCCACGCGCCGTTGTACATAAAGAAATGCCCCTAACAAGTGTGAATGTAATATAAACAAATGTTGTCAACAAAAATATATCATAAAGTGTTTTAATCGTCTTTGGAAACAATTTTGATTTTTATCTCTTGATTACAATCATCGGTAAAACAGCAGTAGTAGCACACTCTTTCCTGTAAAAATGATGTCGTATGTTAGAGTAAGAATATACTAAACATCTACAGTTAAGCATACTGTTTCGCACTGTATTTATTTCTTAGAAAAGCGAAAAATTGCAAAACTCGTTAGCAATCACCAGTTTCGCTGTCGTAGGGCTGAAAATCAATAATAAGATCGGGCTTAGGCTTACACTAGGACTAGGCCATGTTCATCCTCCACGAAGCTAGCCCACTTGCAGCCATAAACCACTTATGGTTTCATAAAGAATAATTTTGCGTTTTATTACTCAACTTACTCCTTCTGCAGACTCATCATTAGGACACAATTCCTTGTTTTTATCCGAAAGTTGCATGCATTCGTTTTTTTCCATACAAGATTTTGTGACTATTGCTGACTGGTCTTGATCGGCGGGAAAAAGTAGTTTCGTTACGCATGCAGCTGACTGAAAAAATAGTTTGGTGCATTTGAGTTAATTTCTAACTATTAAATTTTACAGCAATTATTAGAAAAGTTTAGTTTACAGCTTGGATTGCTTTTCAATGATTAGTTCGAGATTCTGTTCGCATTTTCAATCGCATGGAGGTCGCGGACAAGTTTATTGAGTAACACAGCAATCCAATTATAGTCTTTGATCGATTCCGGTTTTAAGCATATAATTAGACATGATAGCAATACTTGAATATTTGGACACATGGAAGAATATCGAATAAAAAGATCCTCTCTTAAATTATAAAAAAATAGCAAAGTTTTGGGTTAAATATGGGTCTGATGGGACAAAGTAAAAGTAAGTTCTGGGGCCTTTTGTTTCTTCAAGTACCTGAAGTTTGATATCGAGATGTCCGGAAAATGTTTTAAGGCAATTTTCAATAACAATGTACTCACTCCGTCGATCTTGCATTTAGTGCTCTTGTATTTTTCATCTTCTCCGACGTAACATTTTTTTGCTGAGTTCACCATAGAAGAAAGACGAGCTCTGAGGAAATCTAACGTAAAGGCATGCGATGATGTCACACAGACGACTAATAAGATAATAACTGAGATTTTCATTTTATCTAGTAATAGTCTCTTAATTATTAGGAACTGAAAATCTAACAATGCTAATTGTTAGTGGTGTGTTGCCAGCAGTTGACAGTTTGACAACAGGTAAATTGGTAACTCAATTGGTGAAAAATTAATAGGTTGAAATCTAGAGGTTTGCATCTGTGACGTTTTATTTTTTGGTTATTGCGCCAGCCAATAAAATTATCAACTAGTATGACACAACGCGCATGAGTTTGGCAAAAAAAATTATAGCTAGCTACATGATCATTTTATCTACAAGGTTGTTGAATCTTATTTGCCGCAAAACAAATAAGATTCAACAACCTTGCGTGCGCATAAGAGATACACAGGACGTTCACTTTCTTGCGCGAACGCTTAAGTGAAAAGAAAATCGAAGTACATCTCGCAAGTACAGCACCTACACATATGCTCTGCGCCAAATAGACGTGGACTATTTATGCAGTATTCCTCGTTGAAAAAAAAATATTTGCAATATAGCATCACAAAAACAAGAAGAAACTGCATCCTGTAACTGCTACATCATCCAGCTTGATTCGACATTAAGATTAATTACTATAAAGCGATACATCCGTACGTTTGTCTCATACCGTTTCTCTTTGTTTTGAAATACCGTACATTGTCAGTTGATAATTAATTACTGTAACGTCTGGCGTGACAAGGACGAATTTCACTTATTCGGTGCTTGCGTACTGGCGTTTTGGACAGCTTATTTATGAAAAGAAATATATGGACCAGTCAACCAAAACTTTCAACTGTGTTTGTTGGGATGCACTCTTGTTTTTTTATCAGCTTCGATACTTTTTCTTATATTTGATGGTACAACAACATTTCTTTGTGTATATAGACTCATTTTTGAACATGCATACAATTAACAGGAATGTTTATCGTCTTCTAAAAAAGTACAATTTAATATGCCACTCAGGTACGCACAAATACCGATTTTCTTTACTACGTAGAAAACTATGTGGTTCGTTTATCAAACATTGGCACGAGATGATTATACATTCTATCTGTTGTTGAGGAATAATATTGGCTATAGTCTCTGAATACCTCATTTGGCTCGTAATGCCAGAGATTGATTTCATATTCTAGATTGAAAAACAGTACAAACCAAACAAATTCTGCAATCACAACGCCATTACAAATCACACGTGATTGCAAACTAGAAACATGAACGTGAATTCAGCCATATATAATTCGCGTTAGCACTAGTATATTTGATGAGTTGGATAGACACGATAGGTTGTATCCATACAATCAACTGGCAAGTATTGTAAAATTTAAATAAAATGTCAGTATTATCTTAGTCGTTAGTAACATATTAACTAATAACTAATGTAACTGCGGTAATCATAATTTATCATTGATGTCACATCTTATTTTCGTACGTTAATAGGAAATCAGTCAACGACGTCAATTTATTTATTTTATTAAATACCAAGCAAGCTTACAAAACAGTTATCACCTACGTACGATAAATTTCGAAATCATAGGTTATTCTCAATAACTGTTCAACGGTTTTTAAATGTTATTCAATAATAATGGAGGAAGTAATACTGTGGGTAGTATAATATGCTATTGTCATTACAAAATCGAAAACTTGCTCACAGATCAGAGGTGGGTCTGTTTAGAGCAGTCAATCTTCATTTCACGTAATGTTCCATGCCATTTAGTGAATAAAGTTGTTTTACATTAACTCATCATATTTGATAATAAATGACTTCTCCTGTTTTGATATAAATAATCTGAAGATATCTGTGTTTTAAAAACTATACCAATGATAGTTGAATTTCATTTTCACAATTGGGAATTTTAGCAGGCATGACAATTTCAGTGACAAGTAAGACGACACTTAATGTTGAAAATCGTGCTCGAAACCAGCGAACATGTTAACATTTTTTTTTTTTTTGGAAACGTCAATGGCTGAATGAATAATACGACCTAGTTTGACTTCAATTTGTTAGAGAATTGACAGACACTTATCGAATCAGACATTGTAGTATTGCCAACTGCATATAAATAATATCGTATTTAAAACTGGGTATTTTAGGACAAAACATTCAGGTAAACATTATGAAGCCATGAAATTTATATCGTGGACGTGCGTCGCTGGACGTCGTCCACTTGCCCACATACATATTCTTTGTAAATCAGCTGAGTAAGTATTGGTAGTTAGATTTAAGTACACTGGTTTTTATACGTACCACGTTACCAACCTCAATATAAATCGTCCGCCTACGTATCTGACGCCCTACAGTCAAATGTGGCCAAACATGGGCACCAAAAAATGTTGACAAACAACCTAATATTAATAAACTTAACGAAAAGCGATGAGAGACATTTATAAAAGATTGCTAACACGCTGTTTGTTTTCGTAACGCCGACTCGTCGAAGTATGCCGTTAAATGAAAAAATTTATGGAACTTTACAAACCAAACGTGACGAAATTATGGCATTATATGGAATCACATTATACAGTCACATTATTGCCCTACCATACACATACAATGGTTGAACGATAGACAGCACAAAATTTGCAATTTCTGAGTTGGTCCTAAAGTCAGTTGTCTCCCTAAAGTTGCTTTTAGAAAGATACAGTCATTTGATTGCCTGAAACTGATGAAACATTTTAGGGAGAATAATCACGTAGTACGGTGACCTTGCAAACAGACAAAACTGGTTTCGTACATTCATCAGGTTTGCTTCAGTAATATTGTGCATTAAATGTCGTACAGCGTGAAGCATATGAATCGGATTTTCATTGTCAAACTCGATCGTTCCAGTAATTGTATGTACATGTCGTCAAACTGGAGTGTCCAGTTTTTTTGTTTGAGTTAGTTACACAAACAGAACTTATGTTGACTTTATAATTTATGCTCTCTTCAATATCCTATCTTAGTTGCTATCCGGATTCTATGAGACTCGGAGTGTAAAGTCTGTAGACCACATAATCGTTTATATAATATAATTTAGGCGATTCTCGTTTTCAGACTGAATTGAACAATTTGATGGCATTAAGTCGTTACTTCATTCATAACTTGTAAGTTATAAGGATCTGGATAGGTCGAGAAGAGGAAACTTGGAATAAAGTCACTGGTTATAAAGGGGTGGTTAATGAGGTTTGATATCGGGAGCTAATAATAAAGTGAGTTTCACTCAACTAATAATTTGTAATAAATATTACAATGATGCTACTCTAACAATGTTTGTTTTGGTAGAATCGATACATGTTCATTTGTATTTAAATAATTTGTATATAGCATTCTATCACCTGTTTGATTCTACCACTCGTTTTGTCTCAATTCAATAGTGACTGCAAATCGAAACAAGGTTCTTCGCTGTAGTTTAAAAGGTTTGGTAGATTACGTATTCAATTTTCAAATTCATAGCAGTTCTGCTTAACTTCAAATAAAGCCTGGATTATAAGACGTTGGGGAATTCCAAATACCCGAGTTGCGATGTCTCGCTGAAGACAACAAGTAGTGGACTCGTTTTGTTTTAAGTAATATGAAATTTTCCAGGTTTGCTAAAAGACTGTGATTGGTACTTCATTGCTTGTGCTTGGGTTTTAAATAGTCAAAACAGATCATGGAGACCCCCGCTAATAAATATAGATTGACACCGTATTTCAGTAAAACCTTGTTATCGTTTCTTTTCTGTAGCATGGGTACAGGAAAGAGAGAAGGTATCTCTAGATAGTAAAGTATTAACGATCAAAATTTTGACAACTGTATCTCTTTGTTGAATGTTTCTTTTCATAGATAGCACAGGTAGTCCTTAAAGGATTGGTAGATAATATTATTAGTAACGTTAACATATGTTCAAGTTTTCCAAAGTGAATTGAGCTTGTAACTTAATGTGCCTGTGAGGGAGTCTTTTTAATCCCCATTATTATTGTGTGGTTCGGACGTGGACAGAACAACAGTAAAAACATTCTGAAACATATGAGCTTCTTTATCCGCAAAATACCCATAACTTTCTGTTCGGCAGAAGCAATCAAGTTTAGTGCCTTCCAGAGCAACGTACGAGATAGTAGCAAGATAAGATTGTTTTCACCGTCAACAAAATTACTATCAGTTGAATAAATTCACAGCATGTTTTTCTACCAAACTCACCGCATGATATTTGTTTGCTCAAAGTTTATTTCTTTAATATTGGAGATAACCGTCGAGTAACGTTCACGATTTGGATGCTTGCGCATCAGCAGTTAATTTATAAACTATAAGCATTACTTTAGCAAAGCATACACAACTAAATTTAGATTCCTCAAATTCAAAATAGCTGCATGAAAAAATGATGATAATTTGCTAGGGTGAAAAAGCATTGTTGCCACAAATGGGCATTAGCACATTCGTGAATGTGAATTGTACATGTGAAATATGTATTCACATTACACAGCATTTGGGCAAGAGCACCTATAGGTAGCTATCTCTCAGTGGCATATTAGGATAATAACTGCGTCGCGGTTCAGACGTTATGGTTGCAGATTTTTGATAAAGTTATCTGATTCAACATATTCTTATTGATGAAAACATGATTTTGAGTCTTGACTAAAACCTGCACTAAATATTTTTTTGTTTCCATGTTATAGATGGAATACTTGATAAGTTTGAACAAAGGGCAAATGGATCCTCTCTTCGAAATACCTGTGCCAAAATTAGCATTTAACACTGTTCTTCTACCTTTGATTGGATTGATATTCTCCATACTTTGGTCACTATGTTTTGATTTCAACAGGACAACGGCTACACATTGTGGGGTAAGTAGACGAGACAGCATAGAGTTTCGAGATGCTCAAATCGAATTGCCAATCCTAACACATAATTTCAGTAGGCTATACTGCACCAGAAATCATCCTATCGTTTTAAACTATAAGTAACATCGGTTTATTATTGTATATATATACTGAGAACGTAAACTCGAGTGGAATTTTGCTGAATTGGCAAGCAGTGTACCCGCAGAGTGTTTTTCCAGCTCGATTGGTCATGGCTACTGTTGTGAATGAAATTTTAGATAATGCTGTTAGGCAAACACTAGCGCAGGTCCCAACATTTAATACTGGTGATTAAGTAATAATATATATATATATATATATATATTATAAATAAAAGGTCCCCGTACATTTGAACCCACGTACATTTGAACACACGACAATTGCACCTGCATATATTGCACCTATGAATTTTTATTTTGTTTTGCGGATATTTAAACCCTACCTAACCCATGGGTTTTACCACCCGCATATAGGTTGAACCCGCGGATATACACATGGGTTCAAATGTACGTGAGTTTAAATGTACGGTCACCTAAATATAAATATATATCAAAGTATCGCAATTTTGTATGGTTGAGCGTAAACCATCATAAGTCCTAATCGTTACTTGTGGCATTGTATTGCATTACAAGACTACTTGTATGTAAGTAAACTGCTGCAGCAAACGTGTAAACGATATACTGTGTGGGGTGAGAAATTTACATCACGAATCGGACACGAAATGTCGTTGAGATCTAGTGGTCACTCGAAGTCGGGAAGACTACGATACCAGTACTCGAAGATATATTACCCGTACTACTTGGTTTTGGAATTCGTGTCTATATATTTGAGCATTGCTCTATTGTATTAATAAAAGTCATGTCCTACCATAACAGGTGATAAATTATTTACCATCGATCAGCGCAGCAATTGACCAGCCACCTTCATCTGTAGTCTGGAAAATATGTATCGCTCTTCATTCAGCACCAAGACTTCTTATTGCAGTGATACACGAAATGAAAGCTAGAAAATTGGGTACATCGGTAAGTTTATACTCATAGCTTAATGGAAAACAGTTTTGTGATCAAATAATATACACATGTTTCGAAATAAAAAAGAGATGTCGTAACATGAATTTAGTAATTAACGTTAATTAAATTCTTGAGTTTTGAATTACCCAAAAAAGTGTTTTCACACACTTTTCCACTATATACTGTCAATGATTCGCAGAAATTTGATTTTAATTCTCTGATGATAACACCTCTCGTGTCATTCTGTTCAAAGCATCTTAACCAATTGTTGTTGAAAATATAGCTAGATTTTTGTATAACTACACAACAAATTGTAAAGGAAAAACCTTGTGTTTGTACAGAGATGTCAAAGTATAAAAGCCTTCTTCAATTTGAGTTTGAATACAATTGAAGTTTTTAGTTTACTCATTCTCACAATGATGTCATCAACCGAGTATAAATGTTAGTATATATATATTTTTTAAATAAATAAATGTTTATATACATTCTGATTTTTGAGTTTTTTGACGCAAATAGACAACCCTCTAACATCCATCATACTTGTGATATTCATGGCCCAAACTCTAAATCTTGCATAAGCATGGTGAAATGAATATTATAGGCAACGTTACAGCTAAACAGAAATAAATTTATGCACCGTTTATTTTTATCTATAAATATTCGTCTTTGGAAATATTGAGAGATTTAACTAAAAGGTAATAGACTTACCCAAAATGAAAGCGGCAAGTTATCACTACCTGAATAAACTACTTGGTTGCCTAATTTCCGAAAATAAAAATTGCCAAGCAAAGTTTATTTTGATATATATATTTGATGTAGAATAGCCAGAACATACATATGTTTTGTCCCATTGGACTTTTTTGTACCGCATCCGTTTCGTTCTCTGTTTCAGCGCGTCAGACTTATGTATATACTATAAATTTAATAGTAAGTTACTATACTATCTAGTTTGTCATATTTAATTACTTTTGGTAAGCAAGCGTAACTGAACAATGAAATTTTGCACATCAAAAGTAGGCAACCACAGCAAATATTTGTACATTTGAACCTTATCTGATAACAACTTACCTCTGGTTCATTTGCACTATTTGTCATACCTTTAACTTATTCAATTTTTCGTCATTACTGAGAGTTGTGATAACTATGTTTCAGTATGGCACAAAATTGGCTTTATAACCTACATTGCTTCGTCCGTTATATATTGTTGTGGAAGTAGTATATGTGGCACAGGAGATAGAAAGGAGTCTAAAAAGTGGAAAAGAATATTATGTATCATCTACCTTCTTTCGCTATCTTCTTCGATGTATTTTTACTATCGGCACAATACATACTGTGAAGATCAAGGTATGTCATACACATTATGAATATAACCTAACATGTTTACATCGTTTTCAATCAAATTTCCTCAAGTAAAACAAGGTCGCCAAGACAATAAAACTTTCTAGAACAGTCGACTCGCGAGGGCTGTGGTGCCAGGGGAAAAAAGACAGATTGAACTTTCTAGCAGTCTATAGAAGCATTAAATATGCCAAACTTCTTATCAAAATTTGATTTTCTCATGGGTTCCACGCCAGAGTTGTTAAAACTCTTAGTCGAGAGTCAGAGTCAAATTCTCTCCAACCCGAGATCGGTTATAAATTTTTCCCGATCACACAGCTCTACTCTCTGAAGTCATGACTGTCATGAAATCTCCGAGCTTGTTCATGGGAATAGAATTTCCATGAGATACGTCCCGTGAGGTGGGATGGGACAGCATATTTCCCATGCGACACAGAAACCGTATGATTTTCGAGGAAATGATGGTGAAAAAATTTGTTAGGGACTTTGTGTCCATATATCTGAGCATAGCTCCGTAAATTTTGTTGTTTTGCATGTCTCTTCGTACGCTAAACCTAAATTTAACAATTTTTAATGAATTTTACTTTAATGGGAAGCCCATGAGATGGGATGGGGGCAGGCATAATTGCGATGGGATGGGAATGGGACAGGAAAATATGTCCCATGGACAAGCCTGGAAATCTCCACACCAGTAGATGAAATATGGAGGTTTCATATTCCCAAACGTATATATATAAAATGTAAATAAAATAACTATAACTTTGATTTATTGTATATTATGTTTTTAGCATTGGTGCTCAAATTTCTTAGATTGCTGATCATTATTATTTTTTATTAATTTACAGTGTACACATTGTTCGCATTACTCGAATATATTGTTGTGATATCCAATATCTTCTTCCATTACGTGGCAAGCTTCGACTTTCATAATTACAGCATCAGCGTTCAAGAAAATTGAAGATTAGAATACCACTTTACTAAAGTTTGCCGAACATATTTTCTAATCTCTACCCATTGTCTGCTGGTGAATGTGGGGTATGAGAAGATTCACACTTATATTCTGTGACACGTAGGTTATATATAGCCTTGTACTTCACAGAGTTTACATGCAATCTGAAGACTGTAAATCGGAGGATTGCAAACATCATCTTTAATGGAGAGAAGTTTTGAAAAGATTTTTGAATGTTTCACTCACATAAATAAAGACTCGTTTTTTAGAATATGATTTATTGCAATGGTCGGGGCGGTGTTATCACCTGCAAGCTGAAACTATATCTCGATACAGACGTTATACCAACGTACTGCACTTTGTGTAAACAAACGTACAGTTTGACAATATTTATTTAAAATGCTGCGGCTTGAAGGTTACAATAGTTTCGTAGGATGAGTAATGAACCAAATGATGTTTCTTGGTACTGTAGACTTTGCTTACAGAACAGCTTTCCATTCAATTCTTTATCTAATACAGAAGTCAATAACCTATGCCTGAATAAACCCTCCTTCTTAAGGCATCATCACCAAATATGGATAATGATGAAATGAGCGATTCCACGAAAATTAGTATATATGTCAGATTGTCACTACCTTTCTGCTGTTAAATCAGATATTCTATGCAAGGATTAGGTGAACCCACTTATCACAAGGTGTATCAATTTGCGTTTCTTAGTCAATCCAAGCTGTTCCAAACTTGAAGCTTGTTTGGCCTCAGTGACAATTCACTCGGATTTGATAGCAGTCAATGAAACATGACTACACTGGCAACATGGCAACCCAGCTATATGATCCCCAGGCTTGTCCATGGGACAAATTTTTCTGTCAAATCTCGGCGTATCGAGACGAAAAATAGTAATGACAAAGATGCAAAATATATCTTTTATTCGTGCGACATTATAGAACATAAAAACAGATAAATACTAGATATGTCATGTACCATTGCAACCAGATAAATACCAAGAAATTCAACACTGACTTCTCAGTCAAGAATATTTGCATTTTACATTGCTGACTGACTGAATAATTACTAAGGTCCATCCGGTACCTCACAAGATGTCATTCGATTTGAGAACATTATTTGTCAACGGAACTATAATAAGCAATAATTTAATATTACAGCGGTTGAAGGGTTTTTAGGCAGTTTTTTTTTTAATTTATGCGGTCTTTCAATAATAAAGCGAGTCAACTTTCAGCATAGTGAAATTCTATAACACTGAGAATTTTTTTTTACATTTAAATTGAAATTGCAATGGCCCGCGAACAAAACTCACACATATATATGGTTATAATAAAAGTTCTAAAATCTAGAACAAAAATTTCGCAAATAGAAGTTCATGACTATTTTCGAAAGGTGGCCATCGACATCGTCTTTGTAGATTATCGGCAATCGGGGTGGTCCGATTGCGTAACCTTTTCACAAAAATTGCAATTTTAAGCATGCTTTTGAAGAAAATATAATGCGGCAATATTCCGTATTCAAAATTAAATTGAAATCAAACTATGAAAATGATATGGTGTTGTATAAAATATACAAAAAGAATAAAATGGAAATATATAACAAGATACCAAGCAGCTACAGTGAGTGCTTGAATCTTTAATAGCCTATTTGTGCATGCATATTTGTAGCTCAGACTCTCATTGAATAATTTATTTAACAACAACAACAACTAATTTACGTATTTTCCCCATATACTTGTGATGAAACTATTCCTTGCCCCAGAAAAGTTATCGGCGCTTCTAGGTTGGTCATTGAAGCGCACCCATACGGTCGATACATTCTGATTCATAGGAAATATGAAAAGGAACATATCAGCAATATCTATGTGATAAAGGGTTTGTGATGGAATATATTCATTCGATCGTTTGTCAATATTGAGATGAAGCTGGCATTGGAGAGGCGTCTTCAATCTTCTACATACGGAAATAGCAAATTTAGTTTGTTTACGAAATCTGATGCAAAATTTGCCCGTAAACGGCGAAATGCACATCCAGACTAGATAAAATGTGTGATATAAATTATCGTTATGCATCGTTATTTCTATTTAGATATTCGCTATTTGTATCTTTCCCTTCGTTCTGATGCTTCATCATTTAGAATTCAAATTTAAACAATCGAAAATGTTACTTTTCACTGTCTATTTTTCTTCTGTCTAACTGATTAGTGATCTGTTTAGGTAATTCTTTATCTTCAACGTAAGAATACTTTCCATTTTTATCGGTTTTTAATTCCTTCTCTCGATGCAATATTTGAGATTTTATCTTCGAAAGAAGTTGCTGGATTTTCCCCAAACTTGATAAACTCTTTTCTTCTTGATTTTGTTGTTGATTCAGTTCTTGATTTAGTTCCTGGCAATGAAATTAAAGGAATTGAAAACGTTCGAAGATTTTGAGGTAATGGATTTAAAATATCCACTAGTAGGTAGTGTTTATATTAAAAGTCCAAGCTTCCAGATTCTACATCTATTTTTTGTTTTAAAGTTTCGTTAGATCTTGTTTGAGACACAGTGATGAGTCACAGGTTAAACATCTAGTATTTTAGACACGTTATATTAATGTGACTGCCCATACATAATGTGACAACTAGGGCTGGGAATTTCAGGGAAAACACTTTAAACGTTAACCGGGTAAAATTAACCGGTTAACCGCAGCGTGACGTTTCACATAATAATTTATAATTTTAGCTTGTTACGCCACAATGGTTACACAGCAATTTCGCGTGACCTTATCCCGGTATTGCTCAAAATTATTCACGAATCGAGATAGTTTCGTGATCGCTCTGTTGCAATATATATGTAGCGTGGATAGGACATATGCAAGTATTTTAGTAAAACCTGATTCCGTTATGAAATGTCATTTATGTGACAAATTTTCAGTGTTTGATGTGCAAATTCTACTTTGAGATATATAAAGAAAAACAGCATCAACTACGCACTTATTGGTTGGCATTGAATATACAATATACGGTACAATTTTGAAATAAAATCGTGAACAATATATTTCGACCGAAAACTGATTCATAATTAATTATTGTCAAATTTTTATAATCAGCAATCTTGATACTTTTTTAGGTATTTAGCACATTTATTAGGTCCTCGCCAATAGAGTTAGCGATATTCTTTTGAATTAAACGCCACAGGAGATAAATTTGCGATGACGTAATCATTTTTGAAAGAATTGTACATTATAAAAATGATTTGTACCTGAGATGTCAGTTAACGGTTATAATAAATCGTAACCGTTAACCATCTAAAATCGGTTAACCGGTTAACCATCCCCAGCCCTAGTGACAACATACATCACACAGGGATTTATCAACATACTTTACGGCACATAGTAGGCAGCTAACGAATTTAGAAGTATATATAGCAATCTTTCTAATTCGACACAATCTAACCAATTTGTCGATTCAGTGCAATATTCTAAGATTAAGTCAACTAACAAAGGGTTTCTAGTCCAGAACCTAACCCCAAGTAATTATCTTTAGGCCCGTTTTAGGGCATCGCTGTATTGAAGATTGTGTGCTAATCAAGAAAAAAATCATTTGACTAGCCTTGGATTCTGTTTAATAAATCATATATACTTTCGTGTGAGTTATTATCAGATAAAATATACTATACAAGTCAGTATTTACTCACTTGATCAGCAATTCGTTTCAACTGTAATCTGATATTTTCAATTTCCTCTAAATATGAATTAAAACGGCATCAAATAGTTATTTCTTGAATGCGTGAAAATTATGTATTTACAACTGATTTGTATTTATAAGTAATAAAAAAATATCTCTAGGTTTTACTAAGTTTTAATTCGCATTGTACTTGTACATTGTATGGCACATTAGATTCTCTTATTGCCTAAAATTTTAGAAATTGTTCGAAAACTCTTAACAAAAACAACAGTCTGTTTTCAGAAAATAGTCTTTGTCACAGGAATAGATATTATTATTGTAATGTAAAGCCCCTTATACCTTATGGACCAATACAAAAGTCATCTTTCAAAGTTGGTCCGGATTTCACAACGTCGCCTTCTTTGTTTAATAAACTTTATATGAAAACCATTTTGCATGGCATCTGGATAAAAAGTCCGTACGAGAATCTCCATACAATTGAGATTGAAAACTTTAAAACTATTGTCTAACTAAATTTGTTTATGTAGGTAGGTAAAGTTTAGAAAAAACGTGTTCCAGCTTATTTAAACCATTTTCTCAAATAGGATATCAATAATGGTTCATTTTAAAGTCAGCCAACAAGTGTAATGTCATCATATCACACGGAGTGAAGAGTCCCATTTCTCCTTTTTGGCAAACGGTAGACGCCTCTCGAAATTGTAATTCGACAAATCGAATTCATGATTTTAAAAAGTCATTACTTTCTCTCACTACGGATTTCTGGCAATTTTTTTCAATTTAATACTCAATCTTTTGATCAGAAGTTTATCAACTCATAAAACGAGAACGTCTATATTTCACAACAAAAAAATATCTAACCTATTTAAAAGAACGCATTTTTCGACTTATTATCTCAGTTTTTCCCACCTGACTGATTTTTCAATTCCTTCGCAAATTTTTCTTCTAATTCGTTTTTTTGTTTTTCCAGTTCTTCCGTTGCCGATTTTTTCATCAAATTCATTACCTGAATATGATGATGAAAATTTATGTTATTTTTTTCGTTTATGCCTCATTTTGAGACCCCATACACAATGGGGAAAAAACGTAAACTTTCGTATTTTCTTTCTATGAACATTTCTAATTTCATATTGAAAACATCATTTACACCGCAACAAATCTCTATAAATTACTCGAAGCAAATTGGAATACTTACTAAATAAAATTATGAACATCCCTAATCGTGAATATAAAACTGGGTCATAAATTACCTGTTGTACTTTCTGTTCGTAAATCATTTTCATGTCCGCAATCTTCCTTTCATATTCTTCCCTCACTAGTGATATTCTTACTAATGTCTGATGATCGCGTTCTGCAATTATTTTATCTTTTTTCTTTGCAACACCTGAATTAAAATAAGCGGACAGCATCACAATTTTTCTACCCATGCTTTACCCTACTGAATCCCTATGGCCATTTCTTGTTAATTAGTTTGGTCCTCTATGTCAAAACGGGTCGTGTCGTCGTAGACGTGTCCTCGTTTTTTATACAATAAACAGAATATTGTGGTATATAAGTTTATCCAGCCCGTACCCGAAAATAAGTTTTATTTGACGCCACGAGGCCCACGAAGTAGGGCCAAAAGATGTCATAAATATATATATATATTAAAAGTCGTTTGCTGTGTGCGCGATCTAAATGTATTCAAGGCTTTCAAGGACCTAAACGTAAAAGCCAGAGACGAAACAAAACAACGTTGTTTTGTAAAGTAAATGGTGTATGATTGATTTATAGTTAGTAGTATAGGAATGTATATGCTCCCGAGCGACCGTCTCCATGCACAGGGCGTAGATAACAATTGGGGTGTTATATAAACTTTATTAATATTATAAAGAACGGTTGATCATACAATGAGTGTAGAATCTGTACACATTGATGGAATGAATACACATTGATAAAAATTTGAGCGCATTTACAGCTATTCATTGTATTAACTTGAGTGTCGATCGGACGTTTTTATACATTCTTGGCTTGCGTTGTTTTGGTATTTTACGATACTTGGAATCTGAATTGTCATGAAGAAATCATGCAAATGTCATCAGCAGTTGCGATGCAACATATAAACAGCGTGATTTCTAAATAACACAAGCTGATAACTTAGAAAAACTGATTAATTCACCAAAAATCATTTTATGTGGAGAGACTTATACACAAAAGCTAACAGTTATTACATGTAAAAGGAGAATAAAGTATGGTTTCCAATTATTGTATAAATGGCGTCCTATACCGAAAACGCATTCACAACTTTCCAATCTTATAGTACTGACGACTGTTAGGAAAACAACTTACTGTTCAAAATCACTCCAAATGTTAGAACCGTGCATATAACAAATGCCGTCTTGAAAAGCTGGACAATCGTTCTGTCACTGTTCATTTTATCTGAGAAGCAAAATTGCAGCTGTCAATAAAGGAAAATGCAGAAAGAAAATCAAAAAGGTTCCAGCATTACCTGAGATGGTCACCAATATAAGACAATCCAGAGATCAGCCCATGCCCGATATTTTGCGTAGGCGTATTAGATAGTAAGATCCCGTTGTTCTGAACTTTGTAATGCCTAGTGCTGACTCATTTAGTCTTTGTTGTCGCTCGTTGTTGGCTTATTCAGTTAAAATATCCAAAACTATATAAACTTATTTATCAAATACCTGTAACACGATGTGGACACTGAAATATGAGAGGTAAAGAGATAACGGTCAAATCATGGAATCATTCATTCGTGCTTGACGAAACCCCGGGGTATACATTGAGTTCAAGCGGAACAATTCGAAAGTTAAACGTCGACAAGCGATTGAATTCACTGCTATGAAATCCATTCTTGATCCCTCTATATCTCCATTATAGCCTAACATTTGGAAAATTTAACACAATATCCAAGTCTTGCACAAGATAGATGGATATTTAATAAAGTGAAAAATAATCACTCACGATTTTGGCTATGACACATACGAAGATACTATACCCAATCACAGTAATCTATAACATCGAATGATTCATTGCGCAAAACCAATAACGGCATTTCAGTGTAATTCACATCAGCATCTTAATTTTGAGAATTGAGGGGAAATAACATTGAATGAGTCCTAAAAATTCTTCGTTGCATTGCACTGAGGGAGGGGGAAACAACCTAGATTTGCCTGCATTGCCTATCCCTGCCTTCGGTACACACACACTAGTCACGCGTGCTAATAGTAATTAATCCTTATGTAATCCATTTTTAAGACCATATTTCGGCATTCTCCACACTATCTACAGCATATGGTATTTTCCCAAGAAAACATCACAAATTTATCTTGATAGGCGAGCGGCATAAGAAACATATGCGCTGAAAAGCTAAGTTTATTTGACGCAGAGGTAACGGAAGTGACGAATCGTGCGTGATAATATTATCAATATTGTATCATGGGTTGATATTTATATTAGTTTCGCATGGGTAGTAAGTAAGTATATCGATATATGAAACTATGCAGAACTCTCGAACTGGTAAACGAGCTTCCAGGAAAAGCTGATAGTACTCAGCTATGAAAACCCCTTTTTATTTTTCTGGAGTAAACAGAAGGACAGTAGCTATATGGAATTAAATAGATCACGCCGTTTTTATTTATCTTGAACGTTGGGTGGGCTGGCGGGGGGGGGGGGGGGGAGTCGTTGACAAAAGAGACACGAAGCACAAGGCACCCGCGAGAAGTTAAACATAAGAAACTTAAACATTTGCCCATTCCGAACAAGCCCTTTCGACAGTATTGACTGTCAACACTAACAGTAGAAAAAATACGAAACGCACTACGGGAAAAGACCATTTTTTGAATCGTACCATATAGACAAATAGAAATAAATCGATGAAGGATAAAGGAACGACCCCATTCGCGCCTGAGTATGTCGCTGTATAAATAGTCCCGGAACTTGTTTGAACTTTCGCTAAATTATTTAGATCTAGCATCAGATATTATGCGCTGATAATTTTTTATTCTACGTAGTCCTATGTAAGTCATCAACATATTACGCTCTTCCTGTATAGAAACTCAAAATCTTTTTGCTGACACCGACTGTGCTTTATGTACCCCAAAACATATCCCACATCATTGATACTGATAAAACACGCAGACTTGTATTGTGCGACCGAAACCTATAGAATTATACGGTTACCCCTACAATAACAAGCTAAGATTAATTTGGAACTCTCTCCGTCTTATATCCGGGTTCGAATATTATAAATAAGGACCGCCATATACGATTAGTATTCGCATCAACTATGTGCCAAAGATAAAATGTGTTTTCAGCAATAATCTTCTTCGATTTATCGGTTTTAGAGGTTTCGAAGAGGTTAACATTGTCGCGTATTGTTAAATAAATATCAGTGAATACTTTAGTTTTCTCAAAATTTATGAGTCACTAAACTGTGTCCACTGCCCTGTGCGTATAATAACGAGGCGAATTGCGGAAAACGCCCAGACTAAACTAACATATACAGATAGGCGGATAATTGCCACTTTCATAAAGTTATTTAGAGCTGGCTGGTCTAAGTTAGACTTGTATGAATTTACGTGTTTCGTTCTCCTAACACAATTTCTAACAAATGATATCAAGATCATTCGGCAATTCGGTTTTTTTTTGCTCGTCAGTTTTTCTGCGACCCCAACAAAACAAACAAACTGATCTATAAGCATCATGGTAGAGCTAGGATTAGTGATCTACATTTTTGAACCAAAGTCATGGAATCGACAGTGTGGAAAGTATTTTATACTGTCAGACTTTATACGAGCAAACCAGCTACACTGAAAATATGCACTGCCCACTACGCGGCTGCTTTTGATTGAAATTAGGTTCATGCAGTTCTTGTGTGACTTTTAAGTTACGTCGACACGCTTCGTAACCGTAAATATCATTCGGCAATTCGGTTTTTTTTGCTCGTCAGTTTTTCTGCGACCCCAACAAAACAAACAAACTCATCTATAAGCATCATATTAGAGCTAGGATTAGTGATCTACATTTTTGAACCACAGTCATGGAATCGACAGTGTGGAAAGTATTTTATACTGTCAGACTTTATACGAGCAAACCAGCTACACTGAAAATATGCACTGCCCACTACGCGGCTGCTTTTGATTGAAATTAGGTTCATGCAGTTCTTGTGTGACTTATAAGTTACGTCGACACGCTTCGTAACTTTCCACTCTTAACACTTTCCGCTCGAGGCAACAGGATTTTTTACGCTAATATCTACCCTCGTCATGCCTTGGGCTATCCTATTCAACAGTTGTCTTACGACAGATACATCCCTTGAGAGTGTTCGGGTTGGCAAAATAACAGTCTTGGCTATTGCCGTTGCGCACTACCAAAGGTTGCTAGCTTGCAATGTAAATAGTAGCACTAACTTTCTTTGAATAGCTTCGATTACTATAATGTTCGCAATAAACAGGCAGTATCCGTCAGCGCCTTACTTAGTGAAAGCTGCTTACTTACTCGACTGAGGGAACATGCAAGCAGTCATCGCTGTCTGTGTTTAGCTCAGCTCTAATTGTTAAGCCATATACTGGTATTCAGTCATGTGCGTCGCAAAATGTAATCAATAATTTATTGATGTTGATTTAAAAGTTGTACCAGCGTGGAAAGCTCGTTCGAGTACCCGAAGTGTTAGGTCCAAATTGATTCATCAGCATAACCGAGCATGATTCATTTGGAATGACAGAAGTATGCTTTCGTGACGTTCTGTTTTATACTCCGGAAAATTAAAACATGAATAGGTCAAGTTGGATTGGTACATATGCCGCCATATGTTAAAGCGAATGAGCTATTGACGAGTTTTAACTTGAAGAACGCATTTGATGGAAGTACTTGAGGGTACCACAATCATCACGCATTATCGATATTGATTAAACCAGTATCCCCAGTAATGCAATCGCTGCGTTATTTCAGATCGTTGACAAATTTTATTTCGATTTCGTCGCTTTCTTAGAACACATTTTCAAATCGATAATCTGTCATTTTCTCACATATCTATCTGTAAGGGAGGGAATGGTTACCCAGTTAACGCACTGACCTAATCATTACGATATTGTAAATTAGTCATATCGATTGACCAGATGGGGATACCCACGATAAGACGCAAATTTATTCCTAACGTGCTTTTTCCAATGGTATTTGTGGATCTTATGTTTCATTTTTAGATACATGTATATTTAAATTTTCTAATGTCATATCCACCAGTGAAATTTCGATGGTGTAAACCGCTCACGCGTCTCGCCAGAAGCTTCCGACGAGTTCAAAAGGATTCACCAATTGTGGTTGAGCTGTTCATTGCAGTTTTTATTTTATGCATTCTCCTAATAGCTGGTAAGTTAATTGATTATCGACTTCTTTCAGCAGACAATTATTTTGATACATCTTATAGACAGCGGTGGAAAGCAGGGGACACGAGCGAACCGTTCTGGAAATGTCGTGTTAATCAGCGAACACGTTCTTGTTCTTTGTTTTAGACGTTATGTATAGACGAAGACGACCGCAGCAAACAGATTATGTACTTCGCCGCTGATGCTAACGCTATATTTGGCGTTTAAAAATTTACGTATTAAAATTCCCATCACTTGTTTGTACCTTGAAATGACTGTAAAGTATCACTGAACGCCGTTTGTGTTCAAGTAATAGTTTTGCATTCTCATGATTTTGAATGATATTTCAAATCCAAGCCAACTCTGGTCTGCATTCGACGGGTGTTAAATAGCTCACGGCCACACAATAACAATGCATGTCAGCATGCACTAATTCGGCGGCGTATATAATAGGTACGTGCGATGATAACTCAAAGTTATGTTTTATCAGTAACCCATAATCATGTCAGTGAAGTGGAATGAATACTAGCCAGGCGGTGAAAGTAGAACAAATTCCATACGGCCCCAACTGTTATTGGAATATTGATGAACAGTTACCCCGATATACCACTTGAGCAATCTTATATTCAACATTCGTATTTCAGATATATTATGGCTGGGAGCAACACATAGGCATGAAATAAAACTTATGAAGGAATCACATTCACATGATGTTGATAAATTTCGAAAACAGTTCGACGCTCAGGTTTGTAGAATTTAAATGTTTTCATTAAATCATTAAACAAAAATAAAATGTTTCTCGCTAAGGTTATTTTTTCAAAGCCGAATTACGATCACGTTTGTGCTCGTGTTGTTTTTTGAGGCTTGTGATGAAAGCTTTTGCTCTGTTTTATTCAAAGCGATAGCCTTAGGAGCAAAAGAGTCTAACCACTACATAGTGCCGGAGTACATCAAAATTGCTTTTATTGTGATTTTGGTCGCATTGACGCTAGTAAATCTCGATTATCCCTCGACTCAATAAGGATCTGAGAAAATGTTATTATATGGGATAATTATGTATTGTTATCAGATGAAGCTTCCTATGGTCTAGTAAAGAGGTTTCCCAACTTTTCAAGCTCGTGACACATTTACCTTTTGTAATACAAATCACGACGCACTGAGAAGAAAAATTTCAATTTATTACCATCAAACTACAATAAGAAAAATATTAATAATATATGCAAATTTAATCAATGTGATACGTGAGCTTGTATTCCGATTACCTATTTTAGTTATATTACGAGTCGGGTTTGTCTGTGTTAGCCAAGTGAATATCTCCTGACCATAGGTTTCAGTCCCTTTACAGTTTACACAACTTGATGTAAAGTAGGCGAACAAAATTAGATACCTCCATATTGGTAAATACACTTCGGGAGCGACTGTATTTGCGCATATAAATCACCACAACGCTACTGATCGTTGCAACGCTTTTAATGTTGCTGGTATTGGGTTAATGATTTGATCTTAGTGCCCATAGATCCAAGCATTGCTCTACGCATGGTGTGAACCTATAGATAGTTCGACTATATTGCTGTCGTTTATTCGTTTTGCTGCTGATGGAGTGCTAGTTGTTATTGTTGGTGGTGTTCATATATTTGAACATTGCTTTCTCGTTTAGAGTCTTGTACTAAACGCGGGTAACGTAAGAAGTAATTCTTGACGAAATCGGTCGATATTTCGCACTGTATGGGAACCACTGGTTCAGTCAGCATGCGGAGTACAGCGAATAATGTCAGCAGCGTCTTTTCCGCGCCAACAATTTGTGCTCAAAACATGCAAAATTTACAAGATATCCAACCCAAATATTATTGAAATTGTACCGATGGAGACGAGTGACTCTGTGGGCTTACCGTTACGGATGCGAATTGTTACGGTGGTAGGACTTCATTTACAATTTAGATTTGAAGCTTTTGAACATCCATATAACAGACTTTAATATACATACCTCACATATAGGGGATGTATGCTACGGGTACTGCGTTTGGTCATTGAACTTTCGTGCCCATATATTTGAGAATTGCTCTGTTGTTTAATATTTATATTTTTTGAAGATTCACCAAGTAGATGCCCAACACGTTATAAAAGAAAAAGACAAACTTGAGGAACACAACAAAGACGTCGATCGCATGAAAATTCGGCACCAACAAGAATTAGAAAGGAAAATAAATGCTATCCAACAAGAACTTAACGGACTTATGGCTCTTTCTAAAACGTACTGGGAACAACACGCAATAAATCATGATAAAGGTTTATCAAATGATAAACATAGGTAGTACTCACTGTGATAAAATCCACAACAATAGCCGCAAATGAGTATTTATTCCTGCTTGAGATTAAGTATTCAGAGAGTTATCGCTGAAATGATATTAAGAGATAAATATTTCAGTGATTAGATGCCCGAATTTATAAAATATTGAAATTTGAAAATACTCCCACCTGAGATTAGAACATTATAAAGAAGTTTGTATTCTATATACCGTATTTTTTATAATAAAAGTATGTACGCGAATGCATTAAAACACGATTTATCAATTTTCACAGTTGCTATTTTAGATTTTTTTTCGTCTTTTTTCTAAAAATTGACGTCCAAATGTTTAATGGCGGTACAGTTTTATGACGATAACTTTTATGACTACCTAATTACGGCGTTTGCTAAATAGTTTTACAAATATGTACTGTTGTATTTTTGCTTTGTGCATATACAATAAATAATGCGAAATTTGTGTTTCGAAATTACTCCAACCCAAGGAATTGCTTATGACGACATAATACCGATTTAATGGTCAAGTGTAACTTTGGTGCAACCATAGCATTGGACGTTTACCCATCAAATGTTTCATTACTGCTGCAACTGCTGTTTGATTCATACATCTGAAGTAAAAAACCGGGAAGGTGCGGATTGGACAGGCTAACCTTGGTTTGATTCAAGAGTCTCAGTGATAGTTTAAACGTTTTTCATACCATTGTGGGTAGAATATTGACATCAAAATTAGCTGTATATCCTATTAAAATGTCCTCTATTAGTCTTTGCTCCAAATAATAGAAATCGTTAAACTCATAAAAAACCTGCACTTTGTTTTCGGCATTTTGACGATTTAACGACAGTACAGTCGGATGATGAATTAACGCATGGTTCATACTTCATATCATAACTATGGCCGGACCTCCAGGAGTATGCGCACCAAGATGGCGCACAACCTGAACATAGTATGTGTGTATTGGTTTGGATTCAGGTTGTGCGTAATCTTGGTATGCATACTTCTGGAGCACCCTATGGCCTAACAATTTTTCTCTCTATCTGAACTAGTGAAGTGAGACGCAAATCAGTGGTAAATCGGCTGCCTCCGTTAAAAAAGCAATTTTGTAATAGTATCGAATTGAAAAATTATTTTCGACTGTCATACTGCAGAAAACCGGGACATTCAGGTTTACTTCCGGGGCGGCGAAAAACCGGGACTGTCCTGGCTGAACCGGGACGTATTGTAAGCCTATTTATATATATCTAAAATTCGGTAACACTACTTGGTCTAATGTTTACAACTATTCTTAAAAATTTGTCAGAGAGCATCTAAAAATTCAATTGTTACGTCATATTTGGCATTCTGTTGATTGATCGATGTTGCATAAATAAGCAAGGAAGTCTATGCTGGGAAAACAACCACTGCAGTAACACAGTGCGAGCGGCGGCGGTTGAGTCTCGAATAGAACTTTTCTAAATAAGAACACTGATTCAAAACGTTCAGTTTACTCACAGAGTAGCAGCTACTTTGTAAGAAATGCACAAATGAACGACAACGATACAGAATTGACGTAGGAAAAATTTTACTCAAAACCGGCGTGTTTTTCTAGAAGTCATTCATACGCAAAGCCTTTCGCAAAATCGTGACCTATTTGCGCATCTCCATTTATATACAAATGGTTTGGCCTAGTTATAAATATATACAGTCTAATAAAAAAAACATGAAAACTCGTGACGTGTTATGAAAATCGTGTTAACGTTACAAACCAGTCTCTTCTTCAAAATGAACATGGTGGACTAGCGTTTAGCGCAACGACGTTATTTACGTTTCAAACCTCTTTGTCTGATGACAAACACTGAGCATTCCCTCTTGTGTACTATGACATCTACATTACCATTATTTCTGGCTGTCATCTAACGTAAATTGACCTAAGAGCATCAATACAATTAAACTACTGGATATTTCAACGTGACGTGATGGACTGCCTTTTTTACCTCTGTCTCAATGGCAAATCAGCTGGAGGTTTACAGTGACGTAACAATTCTAATTGAACCAGCCGCTCAGACAGTTTTTGGGCACGAAACGTTCTTGTGATGGAATCGTTGTTGTTGTTCCCCGCCACTAATGCAAAAATGTGAGAGTTGAGAAAAGCATCACCGCCACATTTTAAAATATGAAATTAGTAATTATCCAGTGCAGTCTGCATTCCTGGATAATTTTTTTTATTTTGAGCGTTGGTGGGGGCTTTGTACAAAAGATCCCAAATACTTTAGGTTTGCTGTTGTTGATGTTGCGAAAAAACAATTTTCCACGCAACATATGAACCAATTGAATGCATTTTTGTACTTAAAGTTGGAAGAAGTCGGTTAAGGCAAGAGTAACCTACTTTTGTTTGGAACGGATACATAGGCGTAGCCAAGGGGGGGGGGCCAAAATTTTCAAGAATTCCATTCCTAATCCACCAGTTTTGTGGCATCTTGTCTCGTCACCCTTGCTGATTGTCATTGTTACGTCACACAGACTTGACCGTTCGCTTGACCGTGGGAGTATGGGAAGGACTGTTTCGCAAGCTTTCGGGCAGTTACTCGGTCTTGATTTGTTCTCGCCGGATTTTTATTCGAAACGCTTGGATTTTGATGATCAAATTACTTCGATAGCTAAATTTAAACAGGCGAAATTCGATAGTTTTTTTCAGCGAAATAAAGACTCGCTTTCCTCAAATACATCAATAAGCGCTTCTCAGGCTGTGGATTCATCGGTTACGTCAGTTACGTCTATCACTTCTATTCCCGAAGATGAACTAATAATCAACGAAGGGAAAACAAACGATCTTCTCAAAAAATGGCTTGACGATAACAGATTTTGCAGTTGGTTAGTTTACACCCAACTCTCTGATGGGGGTGGTTTGTGTAAGATATGCGTAGTCATGCAAGCACGTTTGAAGCATGGAACTCTAAGAGACACTGCCTTTGTTACAAGACCATGCATTGACTACAAAAAATTTATGGAAAAGGCTGTAGCACACCGAGACACAAATTACCACCGAGAATCAAATATAGCTGCGAAAAATTTTGTCAAAAGCATGGAAACTGGTCAAAATGTGCGTGCAAACATGGAGGCCCAATATGCTACGCAAACAAAAGAAAACAGACCAATAATGACTTCCATTGTCAAGACTGTCATGTTCTGTGCTTCGGGTAACATACCCTTGCGCGGACATTTCGGGGATAGTGGAAATTTTGTGAACCTTCTTCTATTTCGTATCGACGCAGGGAATGAAGATTTGAAAACGCATTTCGCTCGAATGGCCGGAAACGCTAAGTATACAAGCCCGATGATACAAAATGAAATTCTCAAGGTAGCAAGCAACATGTTAGTGCAAGATACTTCAGGCGGTCGGAGTCAGTGTGCCGTCAGTAAAGAACCTCACATCCTCTCTTCAGAGCTATATCGCTGAAGAATGCAATGACTCTGAAATCGCATTGAATATTTACAAAGAAGCTTGTGAAAAAGCTGGCTGGAAAGAGTTGACAATACCCACTACCCAGAGTAGTCGAAGTACAAGTTTATCGCGACAATGTCTGTGCTGATTCAGCATCCCAGTATTTTAAACGTTCCGTATATCTCCCATACGTCGACGGCTTGAGCTGCTCTATTCGGGAACGCTTCATTGACAACCCATCATTTTTTTCATTGCTATCAATTCTTCCACCAAACAAACCAGTTAACGTGGATGGGGTAGAGCGTCTGTATTTATTGGATAACCTCCAGAATGAAGTGAGACTGTGGAGAACTTCTTTAAGTTCCGACGTTAACGACGAATGTTTGGAGGGGCTTCTTCTGAGCGCTCGAGATTATCCAAGGGTGTACACTGCAATACAGATCGTTATGACGCTACCAGCAACCACCGTTGAGGCTGAGCGGTCTTTCTCATGCATGAAACGGATAAAGACATGGCTGCGCTCATCAATGACGTCCAATCGCCTTTCTAATTTGTGTGGGCTTCACTGTCACCGTGAAATGGTCACCGAGGATAAAATTAATCGAGTTGTGTCGAGCATAGTTGGCGGGAAGCGAAGAATGGACTTTTAATCGGGGCGATGTGTTAATATTTGTTTCAAATAAAAAATTGTTTATTAATGGATTTTGTATTCACAAAAATCCAGCTGAGTAATCGAATCAGTTTGCTTGTTGACCAACTGTTGTTGTTTTGCGCTTGAAGAACGGGTGTTTTAAACCCAATATAATTTCTAAAATTTTCAAATTTGGCCCCCCCCCCCAAAATTTTGGGCTGGCTACGCCACTGAACGGATATTCCTTTCTGGTTTTTATTTTCACTCATACATATGTTTCAGCACGCTGATAAACATCGATATATATCTCATTCGTTCTATAGTTTTTCATTTGTGAGTTTTTAGTTATGTTTATATATTGCCGGTGTAAATAGACAACTTCCGCTATATTATTTTAAGTGAGTTTAGGTCTATCTTTTGTAATCTAAAAATTGGCTAGAATATGCTACAGGCTGTACAGCTTTTTGTGGTTTTTATGGATACTATTACTATTTATACTACAAAATTATGATTTTGAAAAACATCCAAATTTTACATATAACTCAAATTGGAAAATCACTTTCAAACTAAGCATAAAAACATAGGGGGAAGGTCGGGACACTTTTTTTCTTTTGCATATTTTGAGCCGTTAATTCTGCATATTCACTTAAAGTTGGCGGGACTAATGCAGAGAGGGGTAAATGTAGTTTTTATTCAGCGACTAAGAAATTCCCTTGCGACACACATCTTACTACCAAAATGCTTTGAAAAACTTCTGTCAAGTGTCCCACTGAACCCCAATTGTGGGGCACATTCGGACAGACCCTGAGGCACAATGGGTCAGTCTGTCAAAATTCAACGAAGTATGCCCTTAAAAATAGGCAATTAATTAGCATAATCGTCTAAAGAACAGGGAGACTTCAAATTTGAAGATTTAATTTTTTTAAAATGAGTGTTCAACTGAAATAGTTCAGATATTTTGACAAAAAAATTTGCAAACAAATTTGATTATTTCCTTCCTCGAATCTAAATCTGAAAATATTATTGATTCTCGAATATATTCCATATTGGGCCATGGGTCGAAAGAAACCATAATATTACACAAAATATAACGCATCTCTAGGTCTCTAAGCACTTAGTGTATCAAACACTCTCGAATTGTGCCCTGTAGGGCATGTCCCACAGAACCCCGGTCCATTGTTCCCCATATGAAACAAATATTTTCAGACCATCCCACGGCGAAATTCGGAAGGCACATCCACTCGCCAACGTTATGAATATTTTACAGTTGACTAAAGCTGAAAAATATCAGATGGTGGTTTGTCATGTTGGGAAGGCTAAAGTAGAAAAAAGAAAAAACTGGAACTGTAAAATTTTAGTTTCAACCCCCTAAAACCAATTTCACCGCATAGCTTGCGCCGCTCTACCCGTTCTTTGTTCGTTCGCGGGGACGTTGTAACTCACCGAAGGGCGGATTGAAACATTGAACCACGGACAGGATTGTGGATATAGTATCAGTGTGAGAGCTGATTTTCCACTGTGCCCCATGTCCCAACGTGCCCCACCTTCCCCTAAATGAAGAGTTTCTGGAGTCAAAAGTTGGGGAAACCACCAATCCAATGCTCTTATGAAAAGAGTTCCGAGTTCGTCGAAATCGAAAAATAGGAGGGAAACCCATGTGGTCTAAACTCTAAAGAAACATATTCGTTTACATTTTAAAGTCCATGACAACATCGTAATGAAGACATATGAAGTCCGTAAACATTGATATTTTCGAAAAAATATTGTATTGACAAGTAACATAAACATAAAAGAGGTCCGTTAGGTATGTAACTGAAAATCGTGAGGAAAAATAAACAGATTGAGCAAGATGCAAGAAATGAGTCCAAAATTGTATTATAAATTGCTTTGTCAAGGGTTATCACATCCCGGTATTACCATCTGAATTGCATTGTTTTTATAGTCCCGTAATGACCTTCTGTAGTAGGCGGTTACGTACCCTTTCCGTCTGTAATATTCTGAAAAAATAATGTTACAGATTCTATTGTATCTATGTCACAGAATAAAATTGTTTCATTTCAATTATAACCAAAAAATCTGCAGGGCTTGATAAAAAAGACGTAAAAAGGATGCGTTCATTAGCAATAAAATTGAAAGTTTTTGAAAAATGAGTATGCAATACCTTAAAAACAAGAATTTGAAACAATTTTATAATATAAGATTATATTTTTGTATATATCATCAGATATATACCGGCATGTTTATTAGGTCACCTACACACGCAATTTTCACATTCTGTTTTGCAAACCGTGCATCCTATTCAGAATCTTGTTTGGGGTAAAGGTACGGACAAAACAGAGACTAAGAACTAACAGCATAATTTAATACTTGGTATAATTAATTCCTTCCACATCACTGGGTATGAGGAATCGGTGTCGTCCCGAATCATTTCTCCTTTACGTGTAGTCAAGCGGAACCAGTTGAAGTAGGCTCTACTAACTGTTGCCGACGAGGAGGAACAGTTCAGGAATTGAAGATAAATGTGCCTGTCAATATTTTATTTTGTTTAAATCTGTGGAAATTAAAGCTTCATATTTTGAGCCACAACAATTTTTTTCACTAAAACCCATGGGGTAAAGTTGCTGAGCGAGCACCGGATCAGTCTTATCTTATCAGGCTTATCATCGATTACTGAGCAAGCTGAGGCAGTAGGGCCGGATGGCGCACCGGAAGCGTGCAAGACTGGCTTGAATTTAAGTGAGCTCGACTGAAGACGGTCTGAAATATTAGCAAAAGCGTCAACCATGCGTAATTATGTAAGTTAATGAAAAAAAGCTCCATCACATCTCGCACCCGAATGTTTGAGGGCTACGGACCTCCACCTGCAGCCCTGGGACGATGCTTGATTATTTTACAGGTTCCTAATCGGCGCCACACTAGAGACGTGAATAATTTGCAGCACATTATATATGAATCAATCAATGTAATGCTTGATAATGAAATACAGTTCATATCAGTTTTAATGATGATTAAATAAGTAAGATTGTACTTAAAAGGAATATTTATCACGTAAAATCAATGAAATGAATTTAAAAACTTTGACCCGCGGGGAAAACTATTACCACCGGTCAATAATACCAATTCAATAATACCTTTCTTCTCCGATACAGCCGGTCTTCGGATAAAAGGCCACCGAACATCCTTCATCGTTGAACTCTTGGGAAATTGAGTAACTCGCGAAAAATCCAAAAATAAAGATGAGTCTAACACATATTAAATGCATACTGTTTATATCGTAGTATCACTAAGGCTGCACAATTATTTAAAAACAATAAAATCAATTATTACAAGTTTAAATTGATATTGCCGAAATTACCGAACCAAATCTAAATTGTTTATTTGACGAAACCCCAAGTATCTCATTTGTGTCGGAAACATCACCTTTTGGGGTTTTTACTTCCAGAACATTTCACTTTTACGATTTAACAAGAAATTTTTTTCTCATTTGCCCCATTATTTGAATTAAACTCATTTTCAAATATTGTTCAACTTTATCTCCAGATATGAGAGCTATACCATCATTTAATACTACTCGGAAATGAAAAAATACGTAAACATAGGGATCATATTTTCAAACAAGTCAAATTCAAGATAAATATATCTTTTAGGCCAATGTCCGTAAATTCCTCTTTACCAACGGTACTGGCATTGTTGGACACAAGCCTATACATCAAACAGCAAAATTGTGGGGACTGACTCAGACGAGCACGCGATCAAAATAGAAGATCCTATAACCCTACAGCCAGTTTCGTCTACGACGATAAAATAGTACTACCAATTGAACTCAGTTCATTAGCTGGCTCTAACCTGGCTGTGTTTAACTGCAACTCAGTTTATAGCCTGGCTAAGTACTTCGACATCAGTTATCTAGATCGAAAGCCTGCCTACCGTGCTGCGTATATAGCTGTGATGCTTTATCGATAATGTTTGTCAACAAAACATTTCGTTCGACGTTTTGAGAAGGATGAACCATTTTCTTGAAATTTGACTTTTTACAATTTTTTCGGGTAATACGTAGTATGAAATGAATTATTGAACAACATCCATTGTCATCAATCTTCCGCGCTTTGTTGCATTTATTTTACTATTTCTTGTGCGTAAATTTCGTTGCAATGATGTCACTTATTGATCCGTAATTATTAAAACTGACAAATAGTAATTATGCTATAGTTTCCATTTCTGTCGAATGTGACGTTACAATGATGAACTATTAACTGTTTCATTTGTTTCCTTAATTCTTTACATTAATATGCATTACCTCGATGATTGATCAGACATTTATTTCCGGTATTTCTAAATGCGTACATCGATATTGTATGTAAAGCCATATATATATGACGCAGTTAGTTATACGACTTGGACAATATTCTGTTTGTGGGAAAACCATACCAGTAAACCATCAATATTAAATTTATTAGATTCATGTTAAAGTTTGCCAACAGTTTCCCTTTATTCTAACCCAGTCCCAGGATCGGCCATAACAGTTGTGTGAACCTATATGCGAAACCGACTGGGCTAGGCCCAGTCTGAATGGAAATAAAGATACAAATTGAAAATTACCCCTTTGTAATAGAAAATGAATTCGTCTTTACATTGCATTAACTCAACTGAATATAAATCCAACATTAAAGTAACTTTACCTAAACTTCAGTAATTTTATTTGTGTAACTTTAGGACTATTCTTTTCCTGGAAATATAGCTTATCCTGTGAAAATGCGAGGTCTAATGCGTTGCATAGGTTTCACTGGCCTAAGGGTGGCCTTGCTCCGACCAATCGATATAATCTTAATCACCTTAAATTTTCAGGTTTTCAAATTAATTCATTGCTTTCCCATTCGATGACTGACTGTTGGGACATCTGAAGATATCTATAGTGGAAATCATGTTTTTCAAAGTGTATATATATTTATCATATTATGAAGTTGAACATGAAAGTTATGACTAATTTTTTCTTTCAATATACAGATCATAGCTCAATGGCGAAGAACGATAAGTACTCAAGATACCAAGAGCAGTACGCAATTTCTTGACTTAAAGGTTAGGTGGATTACTTTATTAGAGATGAAGAGAAATCTTTGAATCGTTTTGCAAAGATGCAATGATGTTCTTGTTAGATTTGGGGTTTTTATTGTGGAAAAAACGTTTTTATCTGCAACTACTGAATCAGTTAATTTAAAAATATGAAAGTCGCTAGGAGGCTTTTTAATTCATTGCAGATTTATTCAGAGTCTGACGGTGCGATGTTCCACCATCAATTTAGCCTTTTGTATTTTTCACCACTACGTGGCATTCCATCACTCTTATTTGGCAATCTTTACAGAAAAAATCAGTGCTCAGCTGAGGCATCGATGGATACATGAAAACTTGAATGAATCATATTGAAAATATCCGGAATTGGCTTTTGAATTTAGTTTGAAAAGAGAAAAGAAAAGAACGACATAAAATATTTTCATCGATAAAATAGCTTGGGAAACTATTATTCACCCATCGTTCCTTGTGCTATCTGTTTCTTGCCATTTTCAAACAAATTAAAAATTTATGACGACCTTATCAACGGATGGATGTTTAAATACCAAGTGTGTCGTGGTGGCTACGTAATAAGAAATGCTAAATGGGTTGTTATACTGAGGTATACTGTTCAGCAATCGTACTAATACGCTAAAGTAGGACTGGGAATGGTTAAACAAAATAAAATCTCTCTCTGCTTTATACTGTACATTTTCTTCGAAAATGATTAGTTAGTTCATCTCCCGTGGCGTTTAATTCAAAAGAATATCCCGATATCAATTATTAACTCACTAATTCATTCAACAAATGCGCATTCTGTCACATGAATATTATCATATCGACATTTTCGTGAAGTAGTGACGAACGCTGTCAGATACACAGCACATATATTTTTGCGCCATTTCCACATATTTCTTAAATTTGAATGTTAACTTCCCACCACTGCAGTGGGTCACAATTTGTCTTTTTTGCTGGTTCACGCTAAAACGCCTCATATTGATCCTCAGGCGAAAATACTTCCATATGTCCGAAGTACGATGCATATCTCCTGCTGTAGAGTGACTATGTGACTATCTCGATCCGTGAACGATATCAATCGATGCCAGGACAAAAACACTCAAAACTGCGTTGAAACCAGTGAGACGTAACAATCTTAAATCTGAACTTATTATGTCAAACTTCATGTTACGGTTAACCAGTTGATTTTAGCCGATTAACGGTTAAAAAGTTTTCCCTAAAATTCCCAGCCCTACGAGTAAATTGCTTTCGGAAATAAACAACTTTTCACGCAACCGAGAATAATCGGTATAATTTTATCGGTCATTGAATTAACCCTAATTGTAAAAAAAATCACTTGATCTAAACAAAATAAGAAGATTTAATTTATGAAATCATTTGAAATCGAGAAGGCAATAAAGATCAAAACAAATATATAATCTCATTGAATAAAATATTCTGTTAAGTGCAAATAAGAATTTCCGTGTAATCGATTTCAACGAAGATAAACAAAAAACTGATAAACGACTAAAAACAATAAAGTGGTTTTTCTCAGATATCAGTACAAATAAATAGTCAGATGTTTGCTTATTTGCTAAGCATAACTTGCAAATGAAATAACAATACCATTTAGCTATTTGTCGGTCAAAAATTCTTTATGTAAGATGCTATAATCAATTCATAGAGTTCAAGAAGTTTGAAACCCTATTTTTCCTCGCTCTCATTGAAAAATTTGTATATCTAGTGACCATATTTATTGAAGTCCAGCCATAAAAACCATGCAAATTGGATACAAAGAAGTTCATTCAACAACGAACTACTAATCAATTCCAAATGAGTATTTTTGACTAAATTATCTTGCGGTGGATTATACTAATTTGCTTATGAAAAACCATGCATGCATTGATGTACAATGCACAAATTTTCTCAGTCTAGGAATTTTTCTTTACATCACTAGATTTCCGTTGTAGAAATCATAACTGTTAAAGCCGTAAAATTTGTGTCGTTTTTCTCTGTGTTGTGCAGATCTTGTGAAGCGAAGATCAGCAGATTTATCTGCTAATTCATATAAACGAGTGTTGTCACGAAAATCTGGAGCTTGTTCGGGGAAGTCTTTGTGGAATCGACGATGTGCATCAGTCTAAAAAAGTATTAGTTCGTGTAGTTTTTGCTTTTATCGAAACATATAGTCTATCTCAGTGGTTCTCAAACGGTTGGGGGCGCGTAGACAATTTTTGAGGGGGTATGAAGCTAATTAAAAATAAAAATATTTGTTAGATTCGATCTTGCCCGCCTTATTTTGGATATTTACATTTCTTATTTTGCCAGCCAAAAAACATCTGCACTAATAAAAATAACAACAAATTTTGCTTGTTTTCAAAACTTTTCATTTATTTCATTATTTACGTTCCACCCACGTATTTTCAACGTGTTTTTTGAATAAAACATACTTTCGCCTCACTATCTATTATTTGTAGCTTACTGCTTATTACATTTTTTATTGAGGGTTTTGCGATTTCGCCCCCGATCTTTTAGGGGCAACAACTGCAAATGACACTATATAAGGTTTGAAAGTAACGGAATCTTTCCCCTTTCCCTCAGAATAAGTCATTTTGCTCGCTATCGCTTCGCTCCAGTCTGATGATATGCTTCAACATCCGATGGACCGCGACTTTATATGTTACTGGGGCTACCTTACTCGATCGATAACATTCAAATCCCATTTGTAAATAGGGGTGACATTATAGGTTAATACATATCATTTACCTTGGTCCAATTATCTTGAATACCTAGAAGAGATGTTTGTGGCATTGTTGTGCTTGGTCGCGGTGTCCAAACCATTGGGTCAAATTCCGCGCTGGAACGAGTATCGTAATTCCATCTCCAATTGTGATGTGGAGTAGGTGCAGTATTTCTTTGAGGAAAATCGTTCGAACTTCTCAAAACCGGACCGCGAGGCGAAATATCTTTAAATAAATGTATATCAATATTTACAAAATTGTATTCATTGAAATTTTCTTTTGCCGTATATCCTTTGGCCTAATTCATGTTTGAAATTAGAGTTTATGTGAGTAGCTTCTATATAAATGATTGCAACATTATGTTTATGTAACAAAGCAAGGTTTCAGAGTACATTATATAATCACCGGGCCCATCGCGGGCCAATTAGAAAAATATCCAGAATTGTGGTGATACGACAGACGAGTGATTTTCAACCCTTTTGTTTCGTTGAAAACTTTTGCCATCATAAATTGCTTGCTGAACAGCAAATAAAAATTCCATTTTTTTTTTCCAGAAAATAAAAGATCCGATTGTCTAATAATTATTTTGATTCCTGTCTAGATTTTTGACATAGAAAAGGAATAACGCAAAGACCAATAGCTCATGAACTAAATTGAATGAAGACCTACCAAATTAGAATTTATGGCTGGAAAGAGCAAACGTACAAATAAAAGTTTTCGAACCTAGGCCAGCGTAACATCGGTTGAAAATAACCTCAATAGACATGAGTAAATGTAGGTTTTTGAAACGTATGAATTTAATATAACTCAAACATAGGTAAAGTGCACCTGTTAATCTGTAACTACACCACAGCTTACTTGAATGTATTGATGGTTCGCGACGATTTCTTATGGGTGTTGGCAATGGTGTCGGACTTCTTAAATTGTGCAATTTTCTTTCTTTCTTGGTCAGATTTCCATCTCTTCTGTTCAGTGGAGAAGTTGTCACTCGAAATTTATCTCCGTACTCGGATGAAACCACACGCACAACCTGTTTATAAAGTCGTGTTATAATGTCGTTTTCGGACAATAACAATTTATTATGGGCGTACAGAGCTACATTTAAACGTAAGTTTGTAATCAAATCAATCAAAACATGTACCCTTCTGTGAAGTAGGCACGTCGGGCTTGTTGAGTCATGTTTAGTCATAGACTTGAGTTCAAAATTAGCAAACTAGAATTTAATAAATTATACTAAAACTGATACGAATACTGGACCAAACAAGAGAACAATGCTCAGATATATGAACATGAAGATCGAATGACTTATTTGATTTGAAAATTTGAACAAAAAATAAAGAAATAACTCTTCAGCGACTTGTTACTGGATCGAGTATTTGCCTATATTTAAAGTGTGAATGTGTGAGTGAAATTCCAATCCTACCTCGCTGAAAGAAATACTTTTGCTAGCTCCAGTTCTAGGTGGAGATCCAGGAGTTTTTAGTATCGATCCTGTTGATGCACTTCTTCTCAGTGAACCCTCTCCAGTACGAGCAGTTGCTGGACCTCTTGCGCTATTCAAACTCAATGAAAATGGATTTGAACGGTTTACGTAACTGTCTAGTAGACCTGCGTGATTTTGCCTCGGTGATTCAACCTTAGGTATATCTCGTATCCAGGAATCACTTATATTTTTGTAGCCATCTAATTGCCTGTGTAAAAAATATACGTGATTTTGTTGTATTTGAGAAAGGCATTAGGAAGGATGGAGATTTTGTTAATATATCGTTTTGGTCGATTTGAATGAAAAGAACAATAATATTGAGCTTTCAAACATTAAATTAATATTTTTAAAACCCCTTCATAATGAATTTTAATGGGACTAAGAATCCAGGTCAATGAATATTGAAGCTAAAATGCAAGTTTTGACAAATTGGCGTGAAATTTACCTTATTCGATCCTGATATCAGTTTTGCCAAAAATTAAGCCGAATATTCAAATTTAAATACTTATAATAAAGTTGTCTAATTTTTCATATTCATTTTTTGCAAGCCTAACTAGATTACATTTAATCTGACCTATCGTGCATGTCGGTCAAAAGTCCCGCATCGGATATTTTCTTGGTGCTGATGTCTAATCCAGTGTCAAATCTTTCTGAACTTTCATATCCCGAAGTATTCAGACTTTGCATTCGAGAATCGTCTACTAGCGACTGAAAAAGTAGATTTTTATGAAGCGGTGTCACAAATTCACGAAGCTCTATAACAGCAATTGCTGAAATGATAGCAGGTAGGCCTACTTTTTAACAAAAATAGGGATTTTTCAACATCATCTACCCAATATAATGCACTTTGAGCCAGGTAGTGGGCGTGGAAGCTGGATCAAAATCTTTTATTTAGGAAGCTAACAGAAGTACGTCAAACGCTTTACCTACTACGCGATCATAGAGCAATGATTAAAAATTCATCTAATCAAGTTACTTGAAGCTTCAAACCAATGCTTTAAATCAGTACGCGCCTCGAGAATCGAAATATGTGAAGATTCAGTTTAACTTCTTTTAATGCATTGTCTCGTAAAATCAAATATCTATCAAGCTGTTCATGGAAATAGATTGAACAGAAAATATTAAAACAGTTATTTTAAAGAAAAAAAATATTCCGGTCATTCAGCACCTTACCTAATAACCCCAGGAACAACATCAGAAGCAGAATGTCAAATGTTGAATGATATGAATCAAACTCACCATTAAGATAGCATTTGCAAAAAATACTAATGTGAGTGAAATGAATCTCTAACACACACTAGCATTATAGGGTAGGATAGAATTCACATATTTATTCCGGGGAAGAGGAAAGCCGGTAGGACACCTATATAATAAACATATGATAAACCACGAACTCTCGCCCGATTACCAGTCCATGTCGGGTATGGGATTAGTTAGTCAGTTATTGTTTTCGGAAGCGCGGACTTGATGGTGGAGGTAGTCGTAACTGACCAGCGCTTACGTGAACCACCTCTACAGTGGCAAAGAGTCCAACAATCCTCCCGCTCACAACTGTTCCCGCATGAGATTCGAACCTTCGAACCCACGCATGGTAATGAGAGGTGAGTGGCGAGCGTATTCCTAACACTCAGTACGATGCGCATACATCACGCAAAGCGAAAAAGATTGAACATGGGAATCTTATTCTAATTAGGTTATATATAATATACATTCAACAAAATTAAAATTGTGGAACCTACTTGCATAGCATGTTGATCCATCGCTTTGGGTTCGACTCTGTTTCCCATTTGATCAGTTTTATTTCGTAAAGCGTGCATGTCATGTTCTGCTAAATATTGCAATTCAAGTTGTCTCTGTTTATGGAATCGATCAATTTCCTGAAAAAATATTTTGCGTTAAATTTGGTGACTTTGAGATCACAGTTCATCTGAGCAAGTTCAGTTGGATTCCAGTTCACTGAGATATCGGATGTCATAATTCTGCTTGAAAATCAATAACTCGTTCGAATAATGAAAGTGTTGTATACTCTTGGTGATTTGAAGTGATTTCATGTTACAGATTGTTATGAATATTATTACAATTTTATGGTGCGATCTGTAAGCTTTCCTGATTTAAATTATTCTGTCTCCAGTTAAGGACGTATTTTACAGGAGTGTTAATTGTGGGGTCTTTTTACAATTTGATAACATTTACAGGGAATTAATCCAATTCTCTGCAATGGAAATTAGAAATTATCAGAGAAAGTTGTAGATGCAAACCTTGAATTTTTCTGTTCTCTCTGCATCATAATCTTTAAGATAAGATTGTCTGGCTTCTGCTTTTCGTTCTTGTTCTTGAATGCTTTTAGGTAAATGGTCGTATTCTCCAGACTTGAATGGGTCCGGCTCGGAAACTCTTTTCATTACAACAGATGATATACCTGTAAAATGCACATGTCATTATACCATGGATCTGATATAAATCTATGTTTTGGAACGGCTTCAATTATGAGTTTTCATTCTATAATAACGACTCAATTCATCTCATATTGAATGAACTCATAATGAACTAATGAAACTTGAGACGTAACAAAACTTTATATTTTTCACTGCAATGCAGTGATTGTTTTTTATTTCCCATTTCTCTGCAAAAGTTGTCACACGTGAACCTGCTGTCGACAAATATTTAACAGTATAATTCAATTTGGCAGCTTTTGAAGTAATTGCGCTCAAGAATACCCAATTGGTTCACCTCCAAATAACTTTAAACAATATATTTTACCATAGTCCGGTGTCTGGGCCAGTTGATATGTTTTCCATTTGACTTCTTCTCCCTCATCGTCGTTATTTTCGGATTCACCTTTCTTATAATTTCCAGCGGTAGTTGCGGACCTCGTTCTGTACCTGTATATATATATTGTTATTAGAGGGATTTCTTGTATCCCCAAAACTTTCCTGCGCACTATAGCCATAGAGTATTCTGCACTGAGTTCATTTATTGGTCAATTCATCACTATATTGATTATGTTTGAATCTAAACGAGATTTGTGACTGAATATTTCAAAACTTTGACTGGCAATAGAAAATTCTTGCACATTCTTGTAGGGACCGGAGATGAAATCGACTTGAACGAATTACTGAAAACCGGACGTTTCTCGGCTTGCTATCAATAATCCTTTCACCAAATGAACAAAACGAGCGAGAATGATGAAAATGCGCGCTCATATGCCTTTTATAATCACCTTCGACAGCGAAGTATGTCTGTAGAGCGACTTTTCAAGATATTGTTATATATCAGTGGCTAATTTAATCTGGCTTCTTCGGAGCAAAAGGCACCCCCCCAAAAAAAATTGTCCCTTGAAAAATTTTGGGCTGACTACGCTCGGGGTGAGTGATATTCCGTTTTTATTTTTAAACTAATACCACTTACCATTCGTCTTTACTTCTAGAACTTGGTGACTTGTCAGGAAGTGACGAATATTCCCGTATATCCATGACATCTGGTGAATCCGGATATGGATTTTCATCCGGATATCGAATGGGCGCTGAAATTTGTTTTCTGTTTTGATAAAGTCTAGCGTATCTCCCTTCCTGGGGGCGAGGTGAAGAGAAAGTTGGGGCAGTTTTGGGTACCTGCAAATATATAAATATTTATGTAAAATATATATATAATTGTATCAAATCTAAATAAATACATTATGAGTCTAATAAAATCAGCAAGGCAATAATATATCTGTTAATAAAGGCACAAAATTCTAGGGCACTCATTCTGATATATTTAATTGATAAAATCATGTGTAAAATGTTTGTATTAAATTTATATATATATATATATATAAAATTAAACAATGCCAAAAAAACAAATAAAAGACCCCCGAAGATCGTTATTCGTTATGTTGTAGACGTCATACAGATCGCAATTTTTTTTTAATTTCCACCCCCACTTTCGAAAATATACTATATAAGAGAATATACTATAAAAAGTCTCAACGGATCATATAATATATATATAATCTTTCTCAACGGATAATATTTTTAATACCAATAATTTTGATTAATCCGATTACCAATTCGTCGTTTCTTGCATCACGGAATTCAGTTATTTCAGCGACCGCTTTCTTATGGTAGTCATCTAGATGCATTGCGTTTGACTCTCCGTAACCTGTTTGGCAAAACAAAAAATAAATAATGTGAATTCGATGAAACTTGTCACTTTCTTTATTATAAATTTGCATAAATTTTTCAGGCACCTATGGTAGTAAAATTTTTAGTTTGGTGTAAAAAAAAAGTTAAAAGTATCAAGAAATCTTATATAATCCGTTTCGTTACACAAAAATGAGACGCCAGACGTTGTAAATTTTATAAATTTATGGTGTGTCTTTTACCTGTGTAATTATATTGATAAACTGTTTTCCACTGATCTCTCTCAACATTACGCAGAGAATTTGCTGTTCTCAGCTCAATGCGTTGATTTTCATCTCTCAGGCGTAAATTTGGATGAACCTAATAAACAGAGAGAAAGTAGTAAAGAAATTAACATACAGGAATCAGTACTGACCCAATTACGTAAATTTTGATAAACTCATGCTTGTGTATGACCAACGAAAAATCAAGAATTAAACAAAACCCAGTCCATCAATCCCTAATTTGTTTTTGAGTAATATATAATTTTCCAAATAATTACGAGTTAAAAAATGATTTTACTAAAATTGTTACCACTTTAGGAGGACTCGGATAGTATGGTTGTTTTCCCCCAGAAGGTGATTTCATCAATTGATAGAAATCCCTTTCTCCATTCCAAGTCAGAGCCTTCTTATCACTTTCGAATGGATATTCTTGAAGCTCTCTTCGATACGGGGAACCTTGAAATAGTAAACTTTACTTTCACTAAAATATCTTTCTAATTGAATTCAGCAGAAGAAGTATCTTAAGCAGAGTAAACAGATAAGTTCACTCATCATTTCAGAATTTTACTGAGATATTCGAAGTAGTAGGATTGAAAAAAACAACCATTTTCAAACCAAAATTGCATCCCATTGCTGAATAACATTGTCTTTTTGCCATTAGGCTCCATTTCATCAAAACGTCATCGCTATATATATTGACAGTTAAAAGTTCATCTTCGAGTTCCTGATTTCTTGATCACACTCATGAGCAAGTCCAATTTAGTAGTAAAATTTCTCAAGTTTTTATTTACTATTAAAATTGTTACCTTTAGTTTTATTAATTATCATAACTTGATACGGATTGGCGGATGCGTTTGCATGAAGTGGAGACATAGTTCTGGAAGGATCCCCTGCAGCAGGGTCGTCGGGACTTGAGAAATTTGGAATGAGAGCAAATCGTGATGTGTGGGAATAATATGGTGATTCAGCAGGAAACGGAAGGTCAATCTGATTTTCGCTAAAATATAATTTTAGTTCATTGTATTGTAGGCTTGCAGTGGCGTAATATGGTGTAAATAAAAATTGACAATCAAATGAAGATCAAAACAATCAATGATAAGTGCCAGCATATACTGTTTATGGCTGCAGGTGCCCATGATCCAAAGGGCGAGTATGCTTTCCGGGTTTTCCTCTCAGAAAGTTGTTTCCAAATTTCGGGGGTTCAGATATTTTCCCATTAGCGATTAAACTGTTCGTAACTTCGACCATCTGCACTGGTATATGTGCCATTTTCTGGACATTGAAATACAATTATACTTAGAAAATATACTGTAGGGTGGGAGATGGTCTCATAAAGGTATACCATAGTCCTTGTTATGTCATTGTAATGCTGGTCATGAAAAAATAAACAGTTCTGTTTTGACAAATCATGATCGATAACACACGCTTAGCAATTGATTAGCTATGCGTTTTTAGTTAAAATATCAATCTACTGATAGAATGAAAACCTAAATGAGCTGTTTCGAGAATTTAACAATGTAAAACCAAAATATAATTTACTTCATATGCTTGGACGGTGTGTTGGGCAGCAACTGATCATTCGATCTCACGTGGCTTTTCTGTAAGTGTGTGATGTCATAAAACTGTTGTTCAGCCAGATCACGCGGATCGCTGGCACCAGATCCGTAATGTCGATGCCCCTGTACAGAATGATAAAGTTGGTTAGCTTAAAATCTTACCGGGGATAGTATGCTTTCAAAAGATTGCAAACAGCCAGCGTGTTTATCGATAGTTAGTCAATAACTGCGACAGCAAACCTTTTGCACGACGTCTGGTGGATAAGTTTTCAGTTTTATGAATTCGTCTGGAATCTGAACTTTTTGCAGCCCTCCATAATCACGAAGTCTTCCCCATGGCAATCTCGGCTGCTTTTCAATGCCTGCTCGGTACCGTTCAAAACTGGAAATATAATGTAAACTTTAGATATTTAAATAATTTTTACGCGCCAGTTAAAGACTGATTAGATATCTTGCGACGCTTATTAGAAAATTTGATTTGGACGCAGAACTAGTACACCACTAGAAAAAACGTTAGGTTAGGTCAGGGATGGCGAACCTTTCAATGAAGGGGTCAAAAATTATATTTTTATCGCGTAACAGAAGAGAGTGGGTCACAGTTACTTAATCAATGTTTGTATCTATAATTATGAAACTTCTGAAACAAATCTTATAAGCTTCTGTTGGTGTTGGTGTAGTTTTGAGCTTTACTTATGCAACGCTTCTATCAGGGACTTTATATGGCACTCGATTTCATGAAATTAGAGTACGAAATAACGAATATGAATTACCAAAAACGTTTATGATTATGTGGCAAATTATTGCAAAGAGTTGGAGGGAATTCCACTCTGATAGTGTTATATTTTTTGATCAGCTTTCAGCCACATTAAGACACTTTTACACTGCCCAATTGGTATTTCAGATTCCTAGGTTTTCATTTCAAGTTTGAAATATTTTGTTTTCTCAATGGCATTGTAGGCGAGAAACTAATAAAATGCAAGGTAACATCTAGTTCTCGTATAACCCCTAAAACAGTATACAGATGTACTTCCGAAAAAAAAACAAGACGTTGCGAGAAATGAACAGATTAATTGCATTGTTGTTTTATAAACGATGTCAGAGCCAATAAATGAATAACGGTACACAGCGGTGCAGACTTTGAAACATTTGTCCATTTGAATCCACATTTGAATATGAGCGATCGCAGCCTAACTGACGGTACATTATAATAGTTTATTAATTGTTGAATTAATTCAAGGCCGGTTTTATAAATTTTTATCACTGATATGTTAGCATTTTTTTAAATTTATTCGTGCCTTGGCGGGTCAGGGATAAAATGCGGTGGGTCACTTTGTGACCCGCGGGTCAGTGGTTCGCCATCCCTGGGTTAGGTCATGACGTAGAACTGGAACCATGAGGCAGAAAACGATTCGCTACCATGTGATTTACCCATTTTAATGCTCTGCTCTTGCGCGAAGAAATATATCTTTTAGCTGAAATCGTGATATACGAGGGCAATATTCCAATTTAATGTACCGTTACCGCTTGGCACAATTAGTGGTAATTACGAGAAATTTTCGATAGTTTTCATGTAGGTCTGCTTGAGTTATCACAGACCTGAAGTAACCTCATTGTGCATGCGGCATTGACCACGATGTTCAAGACAAAGTAGTTTTAGTTTACAACTTACCTGGATGGACTGACCGTGATTCTGTCAGGTTGGAATGGAGTAAATATTTCATTGGAAGCCAAATTTTGTGAAAGATGCTCGGATCCTTCTATCTGGGGATAGAAATGACGAAGTGGTAGGGCAGTTTGAGCGGCAGTCATCTTTAGGAAAATTGCAGACTGCACTTTTTATTATTATAACTTGGATAAGTACAGAAAACAAAGAAGGTGAGCCAATATACTTGTCTACAATAGAATAAATAGATCTTCCTTAACAACCTTTAAACACTCAGAAGCGCATAGCAACTAAAACTTTCCGAAGTGAAGCTTACAGATGTATATCAGAGATTAAACCTGGTATAGCTAAGATTCTCGTTTTTAGGTGAGTAAGGTATTCATTTCTCATTTGAGGACTGCGACTATGTCAAAAAACAATCGTGGGCCCTATATTGATTAGTTCCATACTTCCTTTTCAAACAATAATTACAAGACGGAAGTTAAACTATTATTTCTGAGTAAACGAAATAATGGGCGTAACTGTTTGAACAAGTATTCGTCATCTGAAGTTTTATGGCCTACCGTTTACCCAAACTATTAAAACATATTGCCAAATGAACAAGCCTGAGCAGCTTTGAAACAAAATTCAAATTTGGGTAAAGAAATCTTGAGCTTACAAGGAAAAAACCATCGGGTATTTCTTTTTGACCATTCCACACTCGATATATATACGAAAGTTGATCTCTTCCTCGAGCAATCAACTCACATGCGTCTATGAGATGAAATCATAAAACATTTCTGTGAACTAAAAAACTATTCAGTACCATCAGTTTCTCGTACATGCTATATATGTATATATACTTAAGCATGTTTTCAAATATATCTCTACGCAACCTCTCCAACATTCTGAAGACATCTATTTGAATTGTGGTTTTCTCAAGTTTGTTGAAAGCTTTTCAATAGCGTTTTACCCTCCACAACATGATTCAAATTAAAATGTTCAAACAAATCTTAAGAGGAAGATTATCTTTTGATAAATTTATTATTTACAGCTGTACGATGGTTTGTAAGACATAATCATCGTTTATAATTTTTTTAGCGCGGCCAAGGAAATCGTTTTGAAGTGCAATCTGAAAAGGTTTATCACTTTTGAATTCGGCTACCACTTACCAGTACCATTGTTAGTTGGATGTTTTGTTGGCCTAAGTGGCTATGCATACATACACACTGGATAGGCCATTTAAATGCGCATATTTTAATACGTTTAATTGTTCTGAATGGAATTCTACACATTTCAGGTATTGAATACCGCCTGACGTGGCCTACCATTAAGATTAAACATTATCGTCGAAACATCCCCTCATTTATTCATAGCTATGTCAATCCGCCAAACAGGTATTTGAGTTTTAAAAACTTTGCCTGTTCGTTATACAAACACCTATAAAACCGACCCCAAGGTATGTTATAATTTAGCCCAACGCTTGCAACTACTGGAGTCTGGTTTTAGAATAATCAGTTTCAAAATAACGTATCAGAATATGTTAGTCGAGTTTTGTTGTCTAGCCAATTACTTTTCGTAACGGTAAATTTTAATCATGTCTTCAATAATACGCTACTAAGCTACCCTAACACCAAGCGCGGTTACAGTCCCTACTAAATTTGACATACAATTAAGAGTAATTTTACGGTCCATTTTATATACCTATTGGAATTCGACACCAATTTTATGTCAAAATTACTAGTCATCATATTATGCCAAACCTATAATCACTTATCCAAATACTTTTATTCATCCCAGACGAACGATCCCCAAACTGTAACAATAAAAATTTAAAAAGGTGAAATAATACCGAGACTTATAATAGGATTCAATCTTTAAAGTGCTCGTGAACAATGGTAGCAAGCGTCGCACCCACCCACTCCAACACGAACGAGTCCTTGAGAGACAAGAATAACATTCCCTTGTCATGTAAGCTACAGTTTAAAAATACATAAGTACATATAGATATATACGACGGCCATAGTAGTGAATATTAACTTTTTAACGAAAATTCCGCTCGTGGAAATACATTCCACCAATGTTTTATTATGGATAATTAGATATAGTGGTCAACTACACCAAGTCGGCCTTTGTATGAAATATTTTGCAACTACTATAAAACTACGCGAGCTATAGCATTGATATTGTTCTCGCTCCTTATTTCACTTCGAATGTTTGCCTAAAATTTTTATAACTAGCTTAACCGACAGGATTTCAATCTATATGGTCGCTCTAAAATGCTTTTATAGCAGTAATTTTATTTGCAGCAATTTACTGAATGTTACTACCGCCAAATCCAGACCCCTCATTTTCATAGATGAGCTGAATTAAATTTCCCTTGTTTTTCGTGATCTATATTTGGTCAGCCTCGATGCACCAGTTTATTGCATTATTATGAACAGTATTAGATCTCGTAAATCATAAATGCACTACATTGAGAAATTTGTTCAAGATATAAATGACACTCCATAGGATTACATTATATCTACCGCCCGTGTCACCTACCCCTTGCCCAATCTATATAATTCTCAATATTAACTCTCATCTATACTTCATGTGTCATCTCGTACAAATAGTTCGCCGTAATTACAACACGCACAACTGCAAATGATTTTTTAATAAAATTTAAATACCCTCCTGAAAGAAAAGGTAAATATCATATGTCAAAACCTTGTTTTCTGTAAGCATGGCAACAATACGCGAGAACAATTACCGGTGTCGTCAAATTACCTTCCTTCGAATAATGTTTGTCATGTTGACCCTCTCGTCACAAATCAAAGACCTTTATGAACAATATCCATTGAATGCCAGAATACATTTGATTTTTACTTGTGAAGAAGATCAAGCACCAGTTAAAACAATTAGATAACATAGGGGTGTAGTTGAAGTTTGTCTTCATTCCATATTTGAAAACCATCGACTTTTTTTTATCCCAAATCGTCTCGATCTTAAATGCTGGATAATGAAAAAGAATTTACTATGCTGTGAACAGCATACAACGAAGGGTTAACTTTACTCTCGTGTCGAGAGGTTATTTTATTGTTTGGAAAATCCATTATGTTTCTGTGAAGAAATAATAGTTGCTTCATACTTATGTGTAATTATTACGTGTATTACATATGTGTCTGATATAGATATCCAATTCACATGGAACATAAGAATTTTTCTCTTCTATTTCTGCGTTTCGGTTAAAGATTAATTTATATACATATATATTGATGAAAATTATGTAAATGTACATTCTATACTTCAAACTATTATATCAACATGGTATCGCATCAACCGATCGATATGACATACGAATCTAGACTTATTCCTTCTGGTGAATGACAGTAAATCTGGTCAATTTAAAACAATCTGTGATAATGTCTTTGCGTATGTGTGACAGATAAAGGCGACTTAAATATTATTCAATCGTATCTTTAAGGTGATATGGATTGACGGATCTAAACGTTAACTAAGAAATGTGACTCCTAGTCCCTATTGGTTATCCACCTTTTTACTTTTTTAGTTATCGTGATTGTGCTGTCGGACAAAGATTTAAAGTTAGAAGCGATGACAAGACGTAATAATTCTACTCAAATTGTAACATATTCGGTTGTTCATTAAAGTAATTCTATCGTACTCCAGTACTTGTTATATGCGTCTCTGAACTACATTTCTGTGCCATTAAACTTATCAATTCTCGCCACCATCGCCCCAGTTTGCATCGATAACACAAGCATCGTCGGAATAGGGCAAATTATCACAATGGGATATTAAGTAATTTCTTTAAGTTGGCGAAGCAGGAAATATTTTATTGAAGTCTAATCATATGACAGACATCACATGCTGCGAGGAAACAACGACTGCAGCGACAACTATAAATGGATGTCTGGCTTACTTGCCGAGTACATTCTTGCTAGTGCTTCAGTCAAATTGTCGACATCAGGCCAAAATGAACGTTTCGTTTCTTCATATAGCGATTTTGTATTTCACATGGGATTCCGTTACGGCTCGACCACAGTTTCTTCGCAAAGGGCAGCCTACTAATGACGATTCCAGTAGGAATAAACTTTGTCCAATGCTAGCAACATCGTTTGGGTCGTCAAGATGCGGAAGTCATGAAGACAGAGGTATATGCTACTTCAGTAGAATCATGCAAATTACTAGTTCAAATACCAAACTCCAAAAATATTTTAAATTTTCCAAGAATAAGCATAGAAACAATGTTATAAATGCTCGCATTTTGGAACAAGGTTGCAAGTGTTTTGGGAACTTTGCCGGTAGCAACTGTGGAAGATGTAAGAATGGTTTTACTGGTCCGAGATGCACACAACCCATCTCGAACGGGTTCAAAATCAGGAAAACACCAGCAACGCACTACGTTCCAAAGAACACAGAACTACGATTGTCGAAGAACGTTCAAAGCCAGATCTACTACAAAAAAGTCAGCCAAGGGGCAACTAATAGCATTAGCAAAGATGGACCACTAAGCCGCGGTAAACGAGATTTGAGATATTCAAACAAATTACAACAAAAGGTCAGTACTAGCAAGGAACAGAACCGAAATCTATCACAATTTTCTACTAAAGAGGGTCGCAGAACTACGTGGAGAGAATTGTATAACAGGTTCCTCGAATTGACCTCCGATGTTGCATCACACACTTGGCATACGATCAAAATGCATCGATTCGTTTTCATTTTCACCCTGTCAGTAACTGTGATCTGTTTTGCTTCGATTGGAATCTCCTGTATTTATTCCAGACAGATACAGCAAGTTCTTATATATAGAAAGCCAGGTGAGCACTAACTTTTCTTAATCAATCAGACGGTAGGTTCAGCTGTAGCATTTATGACTACGACCTAGTCAACGACCTGCTGCGTTTATCAGTAAACTGGCGAAGACAATTATCAAGCCCACAAATATAGAGTAATTTTTTAGCCAGTTTTGAATATTTTCATGTTATCATTGAGTGCATTATTGGGCGCTCCAGAAGTGTGTTTAATATAGAGGTAACTAATTTTGTTCGCCTACTTTACATCAAGTTGTGTAAAGCGACAGAAGCCTATGGGTAGGTGGGCATATTCACTTGGCTAACACAAACAGTCCCCGAACTCGTAATAAAACTAAAATAGGAAAAATCGGAATAAAATTATGGCCCAACCCTAACCTGGTACACACACTACGGGAGTACTCATTATTGCGCACAAATAGATATCATCGGCTTGTCTTTTATGAGAAAAGATTACAATCAAATCGTACTTTTATATCACTTCACCGAAATTGGACCACTGAGTTGGTAAAACTTCGAACATATTTCATGCATGTGTATTCTTTTTGCAGATGAATGTAGAAAAATGGTTTTCAGTGATGATAATGAACAGCTCGGAGAAAGGTATCCGCTGATCAATGAAGAAAAAAGTTATTGCCCGAAATCGATATGCATTAAATAGTTACTGCTTGAGTATAACTTAGATATTTATTAATTTTCCTCAACTAGTCAAATTTGCTTACGATAAACGAGACCGATTTCCTTCAATCTAATACTAGAAAAGTGAATACAAAATTGGGACCATTTATTGTGTATATCTGGCTTAACACTGAAACATTATCATTATTGATTATTGTTCTTTATTTATTGAATATAAATCCTTATAATTGTTATCTAATTTTGACCGACTTATAACTGTCGAGTATAAATATTTTTATATGATATTATTAACCATTTTCACACCTTATTCTGTATTCACATTATTTTGAAAGATTGAAAATTTCTGTAAAATATTTACTATAAAATAATGTATTTGAACTAAAAACGTTTTTTCATATGTCATTATATGAAGTTCACTGTAATAGATGCTAACACAAATTTTCATACTTCATTTGATCATTTTTAGAATTACAATACTTTTTCTGCTGTATTCGCATTCATTTTTCTATAACTCGTTGTTGTCATCTTTCATTTATTATTATTCAATATGATGTCATGTGTTCTTGTCGATCTTCATATGTTTATAATATTATATAAAACAAAACAACACCTTTTCTTTTTGCGTTTGCCAGGCGAGATGACAGCTTATTTGCGAATCTGCAATGGGTTCGCATTCATTACTAGTTTTAACATCGCCCATCCCTGCATTGTAAATTGCAATAAAACCTCGTTTACTACAAAGACTGGTGTCTATGGTTGCAAAGGTCTATGAGTGCAAATATGAATGATTGCAAATGTCTATACGTGAAAATGTCATTCTGTGCAAATATCCGTGGGTGCAAATGTTCGCGGGGGTGCTAAAATCTCTAAGTACAAATGACCGTGGGTGAAAAGATGATGAAACCTCAGGTCAATATGAGGATGACTTGACTAGTTTGTCATTTTAGGCTCCGAATCAGATTTTGTTCATTGTATACCCATGCCCACCAATCCTATCAAATTATATTAAAATCCCATTTCCTACAATTATTTTATACTCATTTATAAAACAGTGCGCAGCTGCGGCACGTATCTTCTGTTCATTCTACAATCCGGTATCAGATCTTAGCTAAACAACTGCTACGGTTGTTAGATATCGTTTTACAGTGTCGCCAACGCATTTTACTCCTAGTTATAGCATTTTGCTCATTCTTATTTGTGTAGATAGTAGTCAAAATGATAGAAAACAAACGTAATTTACAGATAAAAACGATTATGTTGCTGTTTTCTTTGATAAACTTCTGCTCTTGTGTGTATGGCCGTCGACATTGCGGTGTATAAGCAACAGGCGAGTTTTATGATGCGCAAGAATATATGGATGCTTTCATACCTCCAACTACTTGTTTTTGCCACCATTATCTTTACAGAAATACGCATTTTCGCACAATAGTTTGATATAATAATGACGCACGTAAAAAACTATATTTCCGACCAGTAAGCCATGGATTGAACAGATAGAATACAGAGCAACGAAAACACGTCCGATCTAGACGCGAGTCAGACTGGGAGGAGGCAACGGAAGTTGATACGTACAATGCAAACGCCGTCGCGAGGACTGTTGTGCTTGGAGTCAGTCAAGAATATTCACATCTGCCCCACCAGGCAGAGCAGTCACAATCATGACTGTGACTACCGTATACCTTTGCACACAGCAGTAAGATAATTTAAAATAAATAAAATACTGGAAGAGAGCAAATCCCACTCCTGTCTCGTAGGATAACTCAAAGCAAGCCTAAGGGAATTGTCGCAAAGTTTCTACACTGATTGCCTCATTGTTGCACAACTCCCAGGAAATACGCATAGCTCAATTATAAACAAATACTTTTGTATATATAATTTCAGGCTGCACATAGTTTGATCTACTTTCAGACAGGTATGGCAGGAGTGAGCGGAGCTGCATTTTCACGAGTAGTTGCCAGCAAAAAGTAATGAACTTTTGAGAATGAATCTGCGTATGCTTCTATATAAGTATTCTTCGCGTGGTCAGGACACGGAAACAAATTAGATTAACATTAATACGTTTGTTATTTCATGTGATAAATATATTATATATATCTTCCAACATATTTCTGGCAACACTAATATATATTATTAGCAATAAATTGGGTGAAGTATTCCAATTTAACAAGTATTCAATCAGCATATAAAGTTATAGTATATTTGTATGTTTTGGACAATGTCTAACAATTTCCCAGCACTGCGGAAAGGATTTAATGCAATGAACATTATATTTCTCATAGTCCTCTGCTTTGTTGTTTTTGAGTGAGTATGGACTTTTTTAGTCTCTTTAGCCTGCAGTCTTTAAAACCACGATGAAGAAAATGTAATCTTCTTAATACCTGGAGTCCAGCCATATTTTTGCATTCGATTATCTCGTGGTATTTAAATATATGACTCTAGCGCTTGGAAATCAGTGGTTTCGTAAGTGGGCTTGTTCAAAACCAGCCAGTATTGAGTTTCCAGCTTGGATATTGTTCATAGCTTTAACGGAAGAATTGTAAATCAACATTAGCCTATATGCTATTTTTGGAGTTTATTTGAAATCATTATCCTTACGACTTGAAATATTCACGGTCAGTTCCCTATGTAAACTAAATCGTAAAAAGGTTTTTGCTTCACCGACACTTATCCAACACAAACAAATTAAGCCAGTGATTTCTAGCGAGATTGCAATCTGCAATTTCCAAACGATATATATAAATAATTACGCTCCTGGATTGGTTATAACTTCGTTTTTACGAAGCATTTTTGAAACCATGGTTTTTTCTTAAAAAAAACATGTCTAACCTTTTATAAACTCATTCAGGCTTGCAACAGCATCAACTAGGTCATGCGGTTCTTCCCATGTTGCAATGCCCTGATACACATTATTGTTGCACGAAGCCTGCACCGTATGGATATCAGTACATGTGCACTGCAGGATAAGCTGTAGTTTGAAGTAATGTAAAATCTTTCTTTAAATATAATATAGTAATTTTGTGAGGTTGTATAATTGAAATTGTATTCCAGTGTCAAATGCAGTAATTGTTAGTTTCTTCGCGATTCTCCACATTCTATTGATGTAGTAGGTTTATATTTTTGCACTGAAAAGCCTATTTTTACTTGATGTAACGTCCAATTCATTTTCCTAGACTCTGAAATTTATTTATGGCACTCCTCTTTGGGAAACGTTTATCACATCAACTCATAACGTTGAACGGGTTGAAGGCCATTAAAGTGCCTTGTAACAGCGTAGATTTTCTGAAAGGAATGCAAAACTTCCCGACGCTATTTATACAATTGTTATGTATACCATGTTATATTGCTCGAACAAGCTATAATATATCATCGATTTACAACTAGTGTGTTGTGTATATATATGACATATTTCTATTTTTTTTTTCAGAAAAAAAATCACGAACACGATTACTCAAGAAAAAATTTACCTATTCAGTTACAACCGTATGTTTTATCTTTTAAAATGTATTCCGTCGTATGCTTCGATATTTATCTTTCATAATCAGGAAGAGCGTCATCTTTTGTGACGTCATTACATGCATTTCGACTGCTTTATCACTCAACTTTAAAGCATGTAAAGTGTTTTATACTTTTTTGCCGAGTATATCTAAACATGCATCCACTAACAAGAGAACTATGCTCAAATATATGGAGACGTAGAGCCACATAGTTTTGATAACATCATAGCGAAAAAATAATAATGGCCTTCTGGAGAAAAATTTTATCTTTAACCACTGAAAATTTCAAAGCAATTGGTCCAGTAATCAAAGAGAAAAGCGATTTCTTCAAAACGTGTCAAAAACAACAAGACTAAGAACAACATAACAACAAAACGATCGCTATGTCAACTACGTGTCCAATAAATAGGAACCATAGGCTGACTTGAAATAAAATACGAATGAACAATTCCTCTAAATTGTCTCTAGCTGTTGCACGACTGTGATGGGATCCGTTAATCTTTGAACCTAATAAAGCAAATACAAGATAGAAAAATTAAACCGGAGTTTGTGGACTTATTGGACACGTTAGTGGACATAACGATCGTTATGTTGTTGTTTGTTGTTGTTTACTGACACTTTTCGGACACCTAGTGGAGGACCTAAAAATCGCTTTTCCCTTTGATTACTGGACCAATTGCTCTGAAATTTTCAGAGGTTAAAGATAAAAAAATTCTTTAGAAGGTCATTACTTTCATTTATTTCAAATATTCCTGATAGCACTGTGGGATTCGTTTTTTGACACGTAATACATTTGTTTTATGCTGGCACTCTTCTTGTTGTTTTTTTGATCACGTGCATCACATCGAACGTCGGTGGTGTGTAACGAAATTATTGCTTTGCTAAGATTTGTTAATGGGGAATGGTCACTGAACTGGAACTCTGTGGGAATGGCGAACAGCGACGTAGGTACCGGTAGCGTCGAACGCAAGGACTGCTTCGCTCTGATTAACGTGTCCGTATATTTGAGCATTGCTCTATTGTTGAACTTATCGTAATAATCCTTGACGAAATTTCGTGGTAAATTTTATTATTCATTCAGAGCGTTGAAAAATAGTAAATCATAATAAGCCAACCTGTCTACCAACTATCGACGGAAAAAGTAATCTCGTGTCTAGTTCTTTCAAGCGTTATGGAATGCGCACGTTAGGTGTACCAAATGTATATATATGTATAGTACCAAATTATCAACTAATTAACCATATCATACTGAATAAATAAAATCATCCGATGACAGAACATTATATCAATGATTCAATTGCAATATTGCTTTATTCCAGAACACAATAAATTTAAGATCAGAAATCACAGACGTCGCAAAAATAAAAATATAGAGGAAATCAACATCGGTTGTTCACTTAGCATTACTGAGCTTATTCAGTGAAAACCAAAACTAAAAAAAATAAAAGACAGTCCAAAAAATGAGAAATTATGTTGAATCGAATGCAAGGTATATATTAAGAGTGTTTTATGTCCCAGTCAAGTCCATTGTTTCTACTTTCATATTTATATAACGTTGTACTCCAAATTGTTCTTCAAATCGTCATTTTCATAAGTGTAGGTTTTTGCGAGCACTACTTTGCATTTTAGTTTCCCGTCTTCGCAAGTTTCTAGTAATCCTTGTGATTCTTCAGCATTGTAATCCAAGGTAGTCTCACGATGAAACCAATTGTAACATGGGTTGCGTGGACCTGGTAAAACAACAAGTGTTCAGTATTTTTGTCAAAATCAATGTACAATTGAAAAAGGATTATTTTGAAGATAAATGAATGTAAAAAAACAATATAGTGATATTTTTACCACTTTTATATATATACAAAATATGAGTATAAATGTGTTTAGTTAGCTTTGGTGTTGGTTGAGATCAAAATGACGAAAAATTAGGTTTACAGTTTTTATAGAAAAAAGTTACAATCTAATACATGTGACATATTTACACCGTAATGTTCACCAACCTTTTTTGATATTCTTTTCTTTCCTTTGCTCTCGGCGAAAAGAACAACATACAAGAATCAGAAGAAATACGCAGAAGATCGTGACACCGACAACAAAAAAGAATACAATTTGATCATTGATTGACATATTTGTGAAGAACTTCTGCCAATCATAAGCAAACGCCATAAGTTTGTTCCAAAAGCTGTTCATTTCAACACCCACATCCGCATTACTGGTTTGCTTCAGAGCAGCAGAAGATAAATCAACTTTGGGACTCATTTGTCGACGGGGAGTTAAATCTATTCCGCCTTCAGCAACCCGGTGTTTCGGATTATGCTTCTGCTTCACCTTGCGCAAAAACTGTTTTCTTTTTGATTGGTCTCACTCTTGATATTCTTTTGACCACTTTCATTTTGGTCACGGTTGACACTACTCCTTCGACTGTCAGCGCCTCGAAATTACCTTCGCTGAAAAACCTCTCTTCTGCTTGTATTAGGTTTTCTTCAAAAATGAAATCAAGCACATTATTTGGTGATTCTTTTTTATCGCTCCTTTTTCCAATATCTTCATCGATTTGTACATCAACATCGAAATCACCGCTTCCAGCTTCAGATTCCGGAATATACTCGTATTTTAATCCTAATTCTGCAGATGTTCGAAATCCCTCAATTTGTCGCACGAGCGGAAAGAATGGTACCATAAAATCCTGAAGATTGTGTCCTACGCTAATATTTGATCTAGGGCCGTCCAATGATAAAAATAGTTGTTGGCGCGATTGTTCTTGTAACCAAAGCTCATATATACTGTCAATAAATGCATGATGAAGAATAAAAATGGGATCATTTGCTGACGAACCCACTTCCGACATGGTGCCATTCATGTAAAGATGTACTGCATTATGCATGGTGCTGAATCCAGCCGTTGCTTCGCCGCTTTTCGGGTCCGCAAAACCTTCAATGACGTTTCGAAAGCTTCCATGTGCGACTCTGTTGTAAGGAAAAGTTTCGTAAGCAGAAAATCGAAGAGAAGTTCTAACGTCTTCGGTAGTTGGAAGTCCTGCAATCACGCTTGGGTCATAAGCTCCAAAGTTACGAAGCAGAGGGCCTTCGGGTTCTCCGTCGCATTGCTTTCCATTTAGAATATATTCATCATCTTTTGTGCATATAACTTGCCATTTGGAAAATACGGATTCGTTGCTAATGAGATTTACGTTATTGCTGCTTCTCCCGCCCATGAATTCATCGTTACACACTTCACAAGTTTCACTTTCTCTCCAGTCCCAGTATGGAATCGTAAATCCGGGTTTACCCATCAACTCTCGGACTTCATTTTCCCACTTCAGAAGAAAATAACGATGCCAAGGAAGAAATGCAGGGCCTTCGTGGGCGTAATCGTGTTCGTCGTTTATATCTAAATCTGGATTTAGTTTGGCCATAACCAGTTCAATGTCTTCCACTTCGTCAAAAATATTTCTCTCATTAGGGACCAAGTTGTTTCTGGCAACGTAGTAATGCATCCAAACGAATAAATCATATACGGATATGTTTGAGAACTGCGGTCTGGCTCCAGCGAGGATTTGGTCGTACGTTGACGTTAAAATCACATACCTCTCGCTGGTAGTGTGTTTCGATTTATCAAGAACATCTACGAATTCATTTACCTCATTTCGCGGCATCTTTAGAATGTTTTTGCGTACCAACAGAGGCATGACACTTTCACAGTTTGGTCCCCCATAACCTGGTTTGCACACACCACAATTGATGCCATCAAAATTACCATGACATTTGCATGCTCTGTCATAAAACATCTTAGGCCACATCTTCCGTTCATCTAACGACAACTGAAATTCAGTTTCATTATCAAGATCATTATCAACAAAAATTTCAATGTCTTCGCAATTTCCACGTTGTTGCATTGTACCACACTTTGAAGAAATTCCGTCACTCGTAACCAACAGCGGACAGCATTCCCGATCATTGAGCGCAATATCCGTAGTGCAGTCTCTTGGAAACTGAGCTGAAACACCCCATATCAGTGCAGCGATGGTGCCGAATATTTGCAATGACTTCATTATTACTGTGAACACTTACAACATCCAAGTAATTTGTGATTGTGAGCATACGAACATCAGTTTATATACGGAGTTACAGGGAAATGACAAGCGGCTAATCCGATAAAATAAATTATGATGAGGTCGCAAGATTAATTTCCGCGTGACTCAGGAATTCACCAACTGATATACGGATGCCCGACGTGTGGCTGTTGTTGTCAAAATTGATACGGGAAGTGCATATTAGAGTGATTGGAGTAAATTAAAAATTAAAAGCGAATGCTAATTTTTTTCGCAATATCGAATATTAAAAAAAGAAATATGCTGAAAGACTCTCGTAAACCATAGAGCACTGCCAACCGAGACACAATGAAGCACGCAATTCAGCAATGCTTGAAAGTGAAGGCACTTGATGAAAAATTGTCCGATGTCTTTGAGGTAAGTCCAAACTGTTGTGAAGATATTTTGAAATTAGATTCGTACATTATGTCCGGAGAAATAAAAAACATGTATGGAATGATTGATTGCCAAGACCGTCAGAACTTATTCGGCTTGGTGTGCCGGAAATATATAAAAACATTATAAACTTGCCAACATCAATCGAGTGAGTATTTTGAAAACATGGGAAATAAAAGACTGTAAAACTGCCTCCCTTTGAACAAGTAGTTAGAATAATGTGGTAGAAACAAACGGGCGACGGTTACCCCACCACGCCTCGATTGAGATCGAATTATCTTTCGAAGGTCGTTTTCTTGGCTACGCCGGCAGGGTTGGGGATGTGATGTGTGTCTACCCATATCTTAAATAATGAAAGTAAATATATCAAATGTTATGTATCTTGTTTTCTCCATGGTATATGAGTGATAACTAAATTACCGGACAGAACACGAGCTTGCTAAAGAACATGTATACTTCTAACGGTAGACCTAGTCAACACGTAGAGGATGTGAACAGTTAACAAATAAAATAAATTTCATTTTATATTTGACTTAAGAGGCTTGCTGCACACTAACACAAATGTGTTTCTGTAACGCATGATTGCCACCAGGTAAACTCATGTTGATAATAAATAAAGCACATCCGATGTTAGCAAAACGATGTAATTTGCCGACGTTTCGGATTTCTATACAGAAAAACTTCATCAGGACGTCTGTAACGTTTCGGCTGACCAATATAAGACTTTTTTCAGACAAGCTGCGATCTAATTTACCTAGACATGATAGAATGCCCATAAATAATGACTATCAATTGTTGAGTTTGTTTCCAATACCGAACAATAAAATTGCTCTCCAGGAACAATACGGAAGTCAAGTCAAAATATTAATCAATGAATATTCCGCAGTTCCGTGAGTAACAATTAAAAATAAAATTATACAATCACAGGACATTCTTCCTGAACTCCGTCAACAGCGTTTGAGAAGTTCATGCTGAGTCGAAGCATAATCATGGACGGAGAGAAGGTAGTTAATCTCGCCCTCGCGTAACCCCAATTAATAGTTAGTTATAGTATGGTGAAACTTAACACCTTTTTGCTTATGTACCATGGAAAATAAATCAACAATCAAAGTTTCAGTTAGTTAGTTACAGAACGTCAAGACAAGCTGACTGGAGCAGTAGTGGTTTCATGAATAGTCCACAGCCTTTTTGCTACGCTCGAGTCACAATGCATAACGTCACGGCTTCGGTGTATCTTAAAAGCGTAGTGAAACTGCTTTGTTATGGAATTAATGCCTTGAATAATTTTATCAACAGAAGAAACTGGGAACGTAGCCAAGGCACAAGCTCGATCTAAATAAATCACATAATTATTTCAGACTGGAACATGATATACGGCCACTGACTTCGGGATAAATACATTATTATTTTAAGAAGAGTTGGTTGATATGTAATAATATCACGACTGTTTGAATATTATTCAAAACAAAATGCTTCAAATATGCGGATCATGCCGTTTTTAGCAGGTATAATAGGTGAGAACACATTTTCTCCTATTTTAATTTCAAGCCAAAATTGCATTCGTGCCATAAACAGCATCGAGTGAACAAATAATATATCAATTCCATTCTGCATCAATTTTGAACTCATCAATAACATTATTTCTTTTTCGCGTGAAACCCATGTTTCTCTATTGATCTCTTGGGTCGAGTCCTGAAGATGACTTCCCCGACTCGTGGCGTTTACCAATTGTTTTCTAGCCTGTACAAAGTTTTAGGCATGCTGTAATCACAGAAACGTTTAATTGTATGTTCATTTCCTATCTTTCTTTGATATTCGTTTATACTACACCACACTTTTGTGATTGCAATAAATTCAACGAGACCGGAAAGTTCTTATATTGTATTAGTATATCTACAAAAATCTGCTTAACGTTAGATGGGATTCTCACATTCATACCAGGGGGAGAGGAAATGCAATAAAAGGGTTCAAACATATGGTGAACCAAAACTTCTCAGCTACCAGCACATATCATAAACGAGAATAATTAGCCAATTATTTATTCCCTTCACAAACATTCAAGATAGATAAGGCCGTCACCGACAATCGAACGCCTGAACTACCTTTCCTTCGACAATGAGGAGTCCTATCGCTCGTATTTTTCCAACGCATGACTCCAGTGTTTTCCCGATGCTTAAATGAGCAGGCGCCGATAAAACTGTTGCACTGGAAACTTCCCCGATATCAGCCCGCCAAAAAAAAGGCAAACGCGGACTTTCAAATTTATAATTCGTTGGATGAAAGTGCACAATAATCATGGCTGATACATCCAGAATACAAGTTAAAACAATATTATATACATTACAATTTTTCTTAATTAGACAAGCGGGTCTACAACCCCACATAATGTTTGAAATAAATTAGCGCTAAAGTTTGATGTTCAATATAAATACATTGATATGAGAGATGTCCAAACAATTGAGTAAAAAGAAAACAAGATTTTTAGATTCAGAGAATATAAACCTGGGGCAATTTGAGCCACATGCAGATCAGGGACGACTTGGTTTTTCAAAAACATAAACAAAGTTTTTTTTAAATGCATCTAGTCACTTTCGTGAAATAATTCAAGATTGAAAGCAATATGATTTTGAGTCATAACTTGTAGCTTTGCATTGAGATGTCTTTCATATCGATCTCGTATGGCGATATTGATGAAAATGGATTTGTCTGGATTTTACTCAGATCAAATTCTTCAATGTGAAGTTAAATGTTGAACACCGATAACGGATTCTAATGCTTGGAATTACTTAACAAAGATGCCATATGATATATTGCAAAAATTACATAGTATAGTTTGGCATAAATCATTGTTTTAAATACAGCTCTAAAATCAGATTTGACTAAACCATTAAAAAACAATACATTTTCCCCTACAAATTGCCATAATTGCATCTCAAATATTTAATTATAACAACTGAATTAGAAATCTGTATATGATTTTAAAAGACGGCCAAACAAAAGTTGTTGCCCTGATTTGAGAGTATAATTCATTTGTGGCCCACATATGATAAAACAATTCTGATCGAAAAAAAAACATGTTTATAATTTGTTTTACACTAATTGAAAAAAATAATGATTTTCTTATTCAAATAAAGCAATTGACAGAAAATTCATTAAACTGAAATAAGCATATCAATTAACTTTTCAATGTGGGAATTACTCCTTTTCATAGATTTATACCTGTATAAAAAGCACAAGTGTAAACAATAAATAGTGTATACATGATCAGAAGAAAGAACATTATTTTCACGTACAAGAAAATAGTACGTGCATGGGCACATGGGATGTTATTCACATGACATATCGATGGATCGTTTCACAGCTCACCGGGCTAAAATATGTGCATTTTATTACAATGATGAATTGCTTTTGAAAGGTAATTATGTATATAAATAAACGAAAATAGCCTCATTCCTATCATCACCACTTTTCCGAAATTTAACTTTAATCCTAGTTTGCAAATACCTGCTGACAATTGTGAATAAAGTTGAGCGAATTGAAGACATTTTGACTTATATAGAGCTGGGTTAGACTCCAAATACAAGAAACAAATTCTATCAGGAGAAAAGCACTGTGATAAAACATGTCACAACATTCAGGACCATTATATATTATTATTTAACATCAGAAAATAAATCATTTTCAAGCTGAAGTAACTAACCAGATGAAACGTATCACATTGTCATATCATCACAGTGGCTGAATCCAAAATGTGATGGAAGTTCAAATCTACTGCGCCCCACAGAGATTCCATTATGGTAATACGCAAAGCATGTTTTTAATATGAAAACAACCCAGGTATGAAGCACTACGAAGCGACTTTTTATGGCAAAATTACAGCCATACAAAACATGTATAATAGAAAATGAAAATTTTCAAATTACCACTGTCATGAATGATAATATAAATTAGCCCATGACAAATCATTTAGTACTGCGTATAATAAAATGGCAATTATATAGTATCTAACAAGATCTCTTTAATGGAATGAGGATGAAAACGAGGTTCCGCTCACACCACCTGTCTGTTTATTACGAGAAGGGGATTCAGAACGTCTATCTGACACGAGTCTATCACCGGATATTTGAATCCGAGAATGTATTTGCCGACTTGATTGATGTGACGAACGTTCTCCCCGATTCTGTGTTCGAACAGGCAACGGACTGTCATGAGAATTGAGGTACCGTTGCTGTTCTTGGCGGGCCGACCATGAACCTGTTCGATCTGCACCATCCCAACTTCTACCAGACCTAGCATGTCTTGAATTCATATATCCAGATGAAGCAGGCAGGGATGTTGTTGACCCATGATGTGGCATTCCACTAATTTGCTGCATCTGTAAAAAGAATATAAACACGTTTTAACATCCATTATTAAATATAACTAACAGATTATATAGACAGTCAAACTCACACCGGAAGAACTTGCTTCAGATGGCGGACCTCGACTGCTGGGTCGGTTAGCAGCCATTAACCTTTGAACTATTGAATTATCATCTGGCTGTGGTGTACTTCTTGATGACTGTGACATGACACGATCCATGTTAGGATTATTCCGCCCAGTAGATGCATTCATGTCGGATTCCAATACCCTCCGTTGCATAACCGGGCTTCCAGTCATTATACGGGAACTATTATTTCTGTTACTATTAGAGGAGTCCGAGCGTTGATAAGAGTGGCCTTGAGAAGTTCCACCTCGAGTAGGGGCGTCAGAACTGGATCTGCCGGATTTGTGAGAATATGGCTGAGACGGATGAGAAAGTCCAGGACCTTGTCCCACTGCACCGACAGATCGTATACTGGTGCCACTGCTGCTTCGAGGCATTCCGCCATGTGGCCCACTTTTTCCAATAGCAGACGTGGAAGCAGACACATGCAAATTCCCTGGAGCAGAGCCCTGTGTTCCAGACTGCACATGGGGATCAACAAACACATGATCACCATAGTTTGTTATGACGACTGTGGAGAACCCCATACGCAAACTTTCTGCGTCAAAATTTTCTATTTCTCCCCCTTGTTGTTCAAGCAAACTTCGGATTCTTTCGCGTCGCTCATTTTGAAGTTTGACACTGTCTTCCTCCATCTGAAAGAACAAGAAATAGTTGTTAAACCCAAGTACCATTACTTGTGTAAGATAAATGCTTCGGATAGAATCTTCCCTACATTATTCACATGTTTTGTTCACAGAATATAACAGCAAACCAAATAAAACTTCTAACTTTTAGTCCTCACCTCGGCATTGAAGGTTTTCTGGTTGAAGTTTTATACTAACATTCACTTCGAACAAGGCTCAGTACAAACACCTACTGACATGCAAAAGACTACTATTTTTGGAAGGGTCGAAATCTTTCTGGTTCAACATTACCAACCCAATTTACCACACCATGGGTGACGTGATGGGCTTGGAATTGAAACCTCAAAATGTGTAACTTGCCATGCCAACATAGTTAGTCTAACGTAGGGGGGAGCAACATTTTTTGTAGGCGGGCCTTGTAACTAACTTCAGACATCTAGCTAGGCCACACAAAAAATTAATTTTTTTCATGTACACAACAAATAAAAAAATCCACAGAGCGAAATTTTACTTATTTAAGATTTTTTTGGGACACTTGAAATTTCGAGATCTTGCATTGTTTGTTAACATTAGTCATCAGCTTTGACAGAAGTCGTAGCAAACCTTAACTGAACAGTCAAACATTATGTATTTTTACCCGTGTGAGCACCTTTTTATACATAAATGGTCAGATTAGGATTTTATGAGAAAAAATAGGAGAATTGACAAAGGTCACACTAAATGGCTTGGCAGGCCAAGTTGCACACCCCAGCCAAGTTGCATCTCGCCCAGTCTTTGGCATGCCCATTTGTATTATCCTGAACAGGATGGAGTAAAATCTCAGGGGCTATCTTAATTCACTCAGTAGTAGGCCTACATAGATGCATGTGTTTATCAGTATTTTTAAAAATAAATTGAAATCATTTTGCTAGGGTATTTAAATAGATGCAAGGCAAAAAAATGAACATGAAATCACCTTCTGTTCCAACATTGCTCTACGAAGTGACACCTTTTGTTCTAGATCTTTGAGTTCCTTCTCATGCTGCTGTTCCATAACTTTTTTCACCTTGCTTTGATAAGCAGTCAACAATTCTAATTCCTGTTGTAATTGCATTTGTAACTGACCACGTTCTTTCTCTTGGCCGTCAGACAATTTAACCTGACAAAATTACAATTTTGAAAAATTTACTTCCGACTTCATAAATCCTGAATAATTCATCATGAGTAGGGAGAAATTTAGTTTTAGTAAAGAGAGTAATTTTGGAACGAAGCATTAAGACCAAATAACTAACTTGGAAACAGAAATTTCAGCAAATTTTTACTTTACCAAATAATAAATGCCATAATCGTGTGACCAAGAATTACATAAAACAGCAATATGTCAGGACCGTCAAAAATGAGAATAGTTATAAAAAAGGCACAAGCAATTCTTCTATTTTTATGTACTAAAAATTCAAAAAGATTTGTCGATTCGTCACAGAGAAAAGTGATTTTACACAACACCAGCAAGAACAATTTACAAAACGATTCCATAGGTTCATTACACAAATATGTCATTTAGATTGCATGGACTCCAACTCTTCATTACTCTTTTTGAATCAAATTTAACACTTATTCATAGAAATTTGTCACTACTTACAGATTGTTTTTGATTCAGATCCGTTATTGATCTTTCGTATTGTTCACCTAACAATGCGAGTTTTCTCATTTGCTCTTCTTTCATTCTTCTTAAAACCTATTAAAAAATCATAAAATGAAGAACATTTTCATACGTTTCCAAATAATTCAATATATAAAAAAAAGAGTACGAACCTCTTTTTGCTCTTTTTTGGGAACAGATTCTAGTACATGATTTCTCCATGCTTTGTATTGCTTTTCTTGGATTTTGACAGTTTCGTGAAATTGTTTTTTGATCTGATTTTCTTTCAACTAAAAATTTGCGAAACGACGCGTCAGAGTCAGTAATGCTAACACCGATCACAATACGCGTACATCAGCTTCCGTTGCTGCCCCCCTAACTCAATTTGAGACTGTTCTGCTCGATTTCTCAAATAACACTCTTTTTTTGACCATGTGTTTTTGTTGACGAGGCCGAAATTTAATTTGGTAAATTGGCAGCAACAGAGCCGTGTTCGTGTATTTGCAAAAGGTATAAAAACGAGTTTACAAAAAAGTTATTATAGTATATGAGCATGTTAATATTTATTGATGTACAAATTTTGATTAAGGACAATATATAACTATTATTACAAGCACAATAACATGTAAACAAGTCCTTGTTTGTCGTCCACAAAAACACAAGGTCAGAGATAGTGTTATACTAAAGCTACGACACTGAATCTTAACACCTTAGTATTTGATAGCAGATAGCATGCATGGTAATATTTATTATTATCAATTAGAACAAAAAAAAGAAAATATCAGGCAGTTAATATTATCAAGCGCAACAATGCATGCAAAGCGGACAGGCACTTATCCAGAACAGGGATATGGTTTTCTTATAAAAAAATGGTAAAATTACTGCCATTTAATGTAATCACACAAAACGGGTTATCTCTGCTTGGATTTGCCTCAAGTATGGTCTGCTGATGAAACGGACATTCAAGTAACAATCGTTCATTTAATAAGGTCTATACTTAACAAAAAGCAAACTTGAAATCTCTGATTAGACATATCCTTAAATAGAAATACGAGTCATAGAATCCATTGTTTAAGTTGAAGCCACGACTAGAAGAACCACACCGAAAAATTATTGTCCTTCTGATTCTGAATTATCTTGCTCAACGCAAGAGAAACTATGGTGGCGCTGGTAATTTAAAAGAGCATTACAGACACAAGTTAATACCAGCAGACAACAGTCTCCATTCATTCCAAAAACATTGATGTATTATAGTGTTTTAGTATAGCAAGTGTATACCCCACCAACCACAATAAAATATTGATAAAACGGCTGGACAGCAGGGACGCACAAAATAAATCAAATCTTGGGATTGATTTGAAATTAATTCTATTTTATGTATTACCTGATTTTAAAAAGAATTCAGAATAGATTCATTTGAAAATTTTATTTGAGCAAATGAGGTCTCATAGTATGACCTTCATAGTGATACAATTTTTGAAAACTGTAAGAGAATAGAAAAGCAATCAAACCACTGTGTATCATCAACTTATTTGAATTACAAAAACAAACTTATTAAATATACATTGACTTCATTCTTTTCAACATGACTGAAATTATAATATATTTTCAATCCATGTTAAAATGAATTCGGAATAATACGTCAGTTTATGGTCATTCCTGCTGGGCAGGCTTTAAAAATTTAAGGCACAGAGTATAGTAAATAGAGTTCTCAGATAAAATGATTACTTGTAAACTTCATCCACACATAGAAAGCAAAGGCAAGAAGCATTGTATTTACAAAAAAAACACCAATAACATGCAAAGCACTAGTGAAAAGGCCATCTTTTTTGCAAGTATACTCTCAATTTATTCATTTCAACGCTTAAAGCATTATTGAACAAAACACTGAAACTGGATTAAAAGCATAGTACATGGGCAGTACAGATCATACAACTTGTTAAAACAAAATGACATCCATGAATATTAACAACAATATAGAAACATTTTTACCGATCATTTACAACAGTATATAACAAGGGTCCCTGGAACACAGAGGGGTTCGAGATATAGTTTTGAGCGGTCCGCGAAAATTCAATGAAAATTTAAGAATGGAATGAAGGGAAAAAACTTTCCCAAAGGATAACTTTTATTTTTGATATCGACAAGGGGTTCGTCCTTACAACCCCACAAAAAAAATTTAGGGGACTGTGTAAAAAAAAGTTTGAGAGCCCCTGGAATATAAGGATTCATGGCATAAGAAGCTAGTGTGAGCAGAAAAATTTACAAAAAAATTAAAGAAAAAGCCTGAATATTATGTAAATTCCTATAATGTGACTTTGATGCTAATGTTATTGATTTGCATGTCACAGTAAACTAATTGAATATTATCGAGCATTTGAAGTCAGTCTGTTAAAAATTGCAAGGTTTATTATGCTGGATCTTAAAAAACTCTGCAAAAAAAACTGCATAAATGCTGTCTTATAAAACAAAATCAGTGAATAAAGGTATAAAAACTTGGAAAATTCAATCAAATGTGGTTGAGTAATGAAATGGAGTAATAAATACAGAAATGTCAATGGCAGTACATGGAATAACAAATAACTTGAATCCTGAACAGATACTAATTCAGACGAGCTACTTCATAAAAATAGATCTTATGTTAAAATCCCATATCTACTGCGACCAAGGCCAAATTCAATATGGTAGACAATAATAAAAAGGAGAAATTTTGGTCCTTTTAAAAATAATGGCTCTAATGGCTTTTCTCAGATATTTTGCTGTAATGGAGCACTAAGGAATTGCAAAGAAATATCAATATTTTCACACCAACTTGCTCAAAGCAATAATCAAATACAAGCAATTACGCACAGCACAAAACGAGCAAAAATTCACACAGTAAGTAAATTGTCACGTTTAAATACATAAGGCACATTTTCATCAAGTAAATGTAAGCGGAAAAAGTTTCTTTTCTTTCTGGGTTCATATGGCATTAGATAGCATAGATAACTTGCAATCTTTATTATTACGAAAACATTCTGTTCTGGGAAGGTAAAATCCATTGCAATAAAAAGTTAAAAATGATGATTCTGGAGTAATATATAAATAGCAATGCTAAGTTTAAAAAAAAGGCATTTTGACAAAAAATATTGGTCAGTCTCTGGATATACTGTTTTCATCAAGTAGAATTTCAGCTAAAAAAATACAATACTTTATCGAGATCACTAAATCAGTTTTTGGTTTAGTTAATGTCCCATAATATTTCCTATTAATTATTTTTTATTGTGAATTCACAGTTTTATAAAACAAGCATTCTTAATCTTCATAACACTAGCATTTAATTAGATGAAATTGCTCATATAATTCAAACAGTTTGACCTCTGTAAATGACCTTGAATAACAGTTCAACGCAAGCGAGGCTACTCACAAACTAACTATATACAGTTCAATTAAATTGTTTATCTCATGGCTCTCTGGAATTATACAGACAGTAATAAAGGAATGAAAAAGCATTGCACTGCAATGGAAGAAATTAAGGAGGAAAAGTAGAAAAAATGAACTCTTAGGCATCACAAAATTACGCTGCAAAAATGTCAGATATAAATTACCCTGAAGGAAGAAATAATGAAGTGATTTGGTCTTTGAACTTTATATATTTTGATCCTTGTTAGAGCTTGAAGTTTTAAAATAAATTATTTTGTTCTTTAAATAGAAGAGTTACAAATTTTGGTGACGGGCTCCGCTGTTTTGACCCCAGTTTATTTGGTTTTCATAAACTTGAAGACGTTGAAGTATATATTTATATTCACAAATCTGTCTATCAGACCCTAATGCTCATATGGGGACCAAGGAACCGCGATAGCAGGAGTGCCCAATGGCCCCATTCTCATTTCATTTCAGATTTGTTTCTCAGGAAATGTTGAAAAGGTTTTGAAATGACCAATAGTTGACAAAGTTGGGTACTCCTGTAATGTGTGTACCAGGTTGTGGTAGGGCTATAATTTTACTCCAATTTTCCTTATTTTAGTTCTATTATCAGGTCAGGGACTGTCTGTGTTAGCCAAGTGAATATACACCCTGCCCATAGGTTTCAGTCCCGTTACACAACTTGTATGTAAATAGGCGTACAAAATTAGTCACCTCTATATTGGTACACACACTTCTGGAGCACCCAAATTTGTTCTTGAGAATATTATTAATATCGTTTAATATAGTGACACTGATTTATGTTATAACTACCGTAATATATAAAATAAATTTAGTACTCGTGTTTTCACTCAACAATAGATAAATAACCGAAATAACAACTCTTGATATGAATAAGCCAGAATGAATTAGTTGATAATATACCTGGCTATGCTCTTCAAGCAAGAAATTTTCACTTTTCGGGCATTCCTATACTACTTGTTGAGAACGTGGACCAGATTGTTTTTAAAAAATATATTTTTAAGAATGTTAATAGAAAATTCAGTGATTGAGAATTGAAGTGAAACATGGAATCAGTGTGCAGATGATAGTTGCTCCAATTACTGTATATTTAGGAAAGAAATAGAAAATAAACAGGATCATAAAGAGAAGAACGATTGCAAATAATTTGAGAATTATATTCTCAGAAGAACCCATTGATGAGAACTTGCTGATGATATGCTTTCCGCCACGACTAATCAATCCGATCCATATTTTCAAGCTGTTTCCGATACAGAACGGAATATTAGAAGCGCTCTCATCAAGATCTTGCAAACGTTGCCATGACGACTGAGCAAATTCTTTCCAATCGGTATTTCTTACATTGGCGTAACTTTTTTTTGCGGCTGAAACGAGCATTGAAAATTTTTCTTGCACAGATAGCGATTTCCACTTGGAGGCAGCAGAGTGATATTTGATAAAAAATACCTTATCCATTTCACCACTCGACAGACGTTTGAAAAAGTCGCTTTCGATGATCTGGACTGCAGCTGTTGAGCAAATCCCAATATAGGGTATCAAATAGAATGGATGATAAACTGTTATATAAATTAGGGACAGTAAAAACATCAAGAACATTACAGCAAAAAGAAATTTCTTTATCGGCTTCTTGAGATAGAACGTTGACATCCCATCTGGTGTATCATCAAATTCACTTGACCGCCGCGATTGCTCTAATGTTACTGTCCCATCGCTTTTCAAGTATGATCTTGGTCTGGTCAGAGTAAAACTTTTCCTGGGATTTAAAAGGTTGGGTATATTCTCTGCCGGTGTAATAGTCTTGGTGGTATCTGCGCAATGATGAGGTGTTTGTTTCAGCTTGTGACCCATGGGTGAACTTCTCATTGCCTCTTTTAAACGACACACTTCACATCCTTGGTAATCTGTTTGGGGCTCATTTGACGACGCGAAGGTTTGTGCTGGTTGGGCGTTTAGAGCTTTCGAAGAAGCGACGCGTCCAAAGGATGAATTGTTCAAACTCTGAGATCTGTAGGGTTTACTTTGGCAGCTGCCTTGCTCATGGTCAAGCACTTTATGTAATCCAAACTTGAGATTTTGTAGCTCTGACTTATTCAGCCCAAGTTCATGTTTGCGTGTAGCTTTTCTCATAACAAATGGCTTAATAGTAGGAAGAGGTTTCACTGGTGTTGAAGTTGTTGTAGGTCGCCATGGTGGTCGCTCATCTTGAGATTTCTTTGGCTTAGCTGGTGACATCCTACGTATGACTGTTGCAATGTTGGAAGAGCCAGAAAAGATTTTAGTTCTTTCCAAAATATTTTTACTAATATTTCGTTTTGAAGAGGTTTTTCCGGCACCTGTATTTAACCCAGCTGAATTCCTGGACCATTCTGCAGCCCTCGTTAACACCTTCTGTCTCAAATCCTTTGATGAATCTGCCATGGACAAACTGCCACTCGATCCTGAAGGAATCCATGGTTTCAATTTCGAAGACTTTTTCGGTTTATTCTCTTTAAGATGGCCTTTGGTGACATCAGGGAAACTCTTACTTTTCTGAGGCTTCTCAGGACTCTTCGGTTCTTTTTGTCTTGAATCTGCGACCCCAGAGCGTGATCTAGAACGCTCCGTCACTACTTCTTCAGGAGAAGGCATTTTAATACCCGGATAAGTTTTACATAATTCAGGAGGGAGTAAATCCAACGTATCGCTATCTTCGGCCGCCTCGCTCACAGTTGGTGATGTGAGAGATTCTGGGATAGAATCTAGAGTGTCAGAATCTTCATCTAAACCCATATCCTCATCACTTGTATCATCTGCGTGAAGATCTACTTCCGCATCATCTAAATTCGATTTGGAGAATAAAAGTTTTGATCGTAGTCTAAGAACAACCTCTTCCTGTCCTCCTTTACGCATTGTATTCAATCCGACGCAAAGATTCTTCTGTTCCTCCTCATCTTGAGTTTCTGCCGCGAGTTGCATCAATTCCTCTTCAGTAATGTTGATGGCATCAGTCATGGAATAAGATGATGATTCAGTGAATTCGTTTTCTTCATGAGTTCTCCCATTCTCTTTGAAATTCTTCGATGCTTCATCAAGTCCATCATCAAATTGAAAGTCGATCAATAAATCATTTAAACAAATAAGATTACTCAAAATATTGTAAATAGAAAAAAGATCATCCTCTCTCAAACAATCAACCATATTTAACAAACTAGCTAGACCACATAGTTCACACATCACATCATTACACACATCAACACAATCACTAAATTTGCTCGATTTGGAAGGTGACGTTTTGCTCTCTTTTTTATTGTCCTGTTTGTGAGTAGATTTCTTCTTAACAGCACTGGAACCACCTGATAAGAAGTTGGAACGACGCGAACTTGCCGATTTATCGGATGCGCCACTCACTTTTAAACTCTTAGGTTGTTGTCGAATTGCAGCGAGATGCTTTCGTTTGAGTTCCGATTCTCTTCTCTGTGAATATTCCATCTGATTCGATAATTCAGTTTGGTGCTGAGATCTGATGATAAAGAAAATACAAAATGAAAAAATGATTCACAGGTCCACTTCGTGTCCAATGGAAAACAATTTTGAAAGCATGTAACACATTTTCAAATTTAGTAGTGATGTCACTTTCTGAAAGGGAAGACCAAAATCTAAAATTATTATTTTTAAAACATTATAAAATAAATCTTTGAATAAGAAAGGATATACATATTCATCCTGGAGAGAGAATAGCCGATAAGACGGCTCAATCATATGGCGAACAACAGCCTCCAACCACCGGGTTATCAGTCCATGTTGGGTATGGGATTAGTTAGCCAGTTATTTGTTTCCAGCGCATGTAACTTTCATAGTTGTTAATGGCAACGCGTGAAATCCTAATCCTATGAGCTTCACTGAAGAACATACAAAATACAATGTCATTAGAATATAAGAAAACCTACTTCAAGTGTTCTATACGCTGAGTGTGAATGGCATGAAGATGTTTATACTCGAGAGATTGAGTGGCATCATGTTGTCTCAATAACATCTCGTGTTCTTTATCCTTATGTTGCTGCTTCAAGTTCAATTCCTGAAAAAAATAACTTTGTTTCAAATTTATATTTTTAAGAACGTCAATTTCTTCATTGCATACATACTCCATTTATTGGATACGAAATGTACCTATGGATCGTTTCGCAGCAAAATTGTTGTTTCCCTTTTTCTTCACAACTAATTGACCAATCAAATTCAAATTATCAGTAGCTAAAGATGAAAGAGATCGCTAAAAGGGCATTACTGTAATTTCCTATAAAAAATTTTCTCAGTTTCACAGATATTTGACCAATATTCTGCCGATTTTAGGAATTCATGGGCATACTTTCATATGGCATTCAGTAAAATTATTTATGACATTAGATATAATTTTTAATTTTTCGAATACTCGGCTGCAATTTATTACCGGATATAATACCGTATATCTTCGCATATAAACCAAGTTTAAAACTCATAAAAAAAAAATTGCCAAGGTCGGCTTATATGCGCATATCTTTGATCGCACTAAAAGTTAGGCTTACACACACATAACTCTGATTTTGAGACACTTCTTATCGTTATAAATAAAAATAAAACATAACAATAATGATTATCAATTCTCTTCTGCAAGCATTTGCTGTGTTAGGTGCCTACAGTGTGGTATTAATAGGGTCGATTTATATGCGATTTTTTTTTTATAAATTCACTGTTTTAAGGGGGTCAGGATATACGGCAGTCATATTTGAGTATTACCCACTTGGACTTTTTAAGGCAAACCTACAAAGAAAATAAAAAAAAAGAATAATATCAACTTCCAACCTCCCGTAATAAATCCTGTTCAAGATTGTGTCGTGACAAGAGTGCTTTTCTCCTATATTTTCGAACTTCTAATTCCAATGTTTGATTGTAACGTTCTCTGAGTTGATTCTCAGCCTGTGAGTGCATCGTTACAAGGGTATTGATCTGCCTTGTTAACCATTCATCACGAGCTTCTTTATTGCCTTGCATTTGATTAGAATCCTGTATACATTAAGATGTGTTTGAAAAACTAATAAAAATCGACTGCTTATTAACAATTGGTCAATATTATTGATTAGATTGGAGACAGGAAAACTTGTCAATTATTGTACAGTCAATAAAAAACTATCCACTAACTATCCACTAGGGGAAATTACAATTATATGTAGAGTTGTTTAACTTATTGCTTCCATGTGTAAATGGAGAATAGATATAAAAGTTTTGAATTAATCAATATGAATAAAGACAACAATAACAGTCAGGGATTTCCAAGATGAACCAAACATTCAAAATTGGTTATATTTCATATTATAAATTTTTTATGTTAGGAATAAGTTAAAAACTCGGTAAATACTGAAAAAAATAGTAATATGTAATTCTAGAAAATTTATATGATGTTCCGATCAATAAAAGCCTATTAAAAATCAATCAAAACAACTTTTATCTGAAGTCCTTCAAAACCATGGGTCCCAAAGTTGATTGACCGGGAGCCAAATTAGAAGCGGAAGAATAATTGCGGGCCAAGTAATTTGAGCAAATCAAATCTCAAATTACTTGATTTGTCATTTTCAAAAAAAACATTTAAAAACATATTCAAACTAGTAAATTGTTTTACCACTAGGTATAGCTTGAAGAAATTATTTCGATTTGTGGAAAAATAATATTCGTAAAAATTACCTCTTTGAGCTGCTCTTTCTTGCCTTTGTAATCTTTTTTCTGTTGCTGTAAAAATCCCTTGATTTCTTGATCTTGCATCTGCCCGATATGTTTCTGATATTTTTTATCGTCACCCTGTTGTTGTTTGGCTTCTTTTTCTAATTCTTGTTGATGTTTTCTTACCAAACGATCGAGCTCTTGAGCAAAAGCAGATCGCGTACTTTCCAACTCTTTTACAAGTTTTACACTGCAAGAAAATAGCATACCATACAAATGTCAGATATCAACGATGTAAAAAATTTCTCACAGAATTTACTCAAAGCAAGGCCACACACACTCCATCAGAAGAAAAAGACTCATCTCTGAGTAAAGTCACGGGTGATCAGTGAAATACTAAAAGCTACCGACTCTGTATAGATTAATAAGGTTGCCAATAAGCGCCAGCATATGCCGATTACATAGTATTTCACAAGAGAATAAATTCAAAGCCATAAAGAGCCATCAGCCAAACCAAAAGAAAAATTTTATTTGAATATTATTATGCTTTATAAAAACAAGTCTCGAACTTTCCTACCTATATTCATCCATTTCGTTCTTCAATTTCTGTTCAAAATTAATCAATTGTTTCTGGTGTTGCTGTCTCATGCGTTTATAACCCAGCATTTGTTCTCTGTGTCTATTGTCTTCATTATGCTCGTACATTTGCCGATGAACAACTTGAGCTGAGCGTATTGTAGCAAATCTGAATACAGAATTGGGCAATGTTATTGACTCTTAATGACAACAAAATAAAGGTAAAAAAACTTTTCACGAACAGACTTCGACCTTGCATCTTTCAGTTATTCTGTGCTGTATATGTAATCCAAGAAATTATTAGGAATGAAAAATATCAAAAATATATTATAATGAAAAATAGCTCCTAAAACTTATTTTATATGTAAAAGTGACTTATAAAACTGGTTTAAAAATAACAAAAGCATGACAGCTATTATACTAATTTGAAAAGTAGTATTAATTCCGGAATTTCGAATCAAATGGTAACAAACAAAGAAATAAATTAAACCAAAAAATCAAAACTATCTGCAAAAATAGGTTTATTAAATCGCAAATACTTTGTTTAAAATAAAACAAATACAAAAGTTATCAGAAAATATACCGTAATAGAAACAAGTAGCAATGATTTTTAATATTCGACAAAATTTGAGATATAAATAATTTTCTATCATTTTTTTTTCATGATGTGTTTTTTCATAATCAATGAACAGTAGAAAAACATATAAAATCATTTTTTGCAAATGACTGATGCCTTATTAACATACAGCCTTTTTATATAGGCTACTTCATACCCAATCATCATGCCAGCAGTTTTTATTCTATTTTCAACTTAGTAATGCACCACTTGGGGGAAAATGAATTAATTATGAAGGAAATGCGCTGTTCAAATCACCATACTAAAATCATAAACCAGTAGAGCACACTATTTTATATTAGCTGGAAAAGAATTCTTACAATAGCAGACCACAGTTTAAATCAGTAAAAAACTAGGTTCACTTTAATGAACTTGATAACCAAATCTGCTCAATGTTGATTTTTTTAAGTACAAGAAATGGGCTGAAAATAATCATCAAATGCGTATTATTTAAGAACATACTTCATATTTAGGCAATATTTAGGTTTCAGGCAATATTTTTCCAGGTGATGGGATGTTTATGGCAACCTCCCGATATAGTTGTCTCATAATTTCAAATATAATTTAAACTATAATTTTGAGACACCCTGTATATTGGACAATTGGCTATTCCGAATTCTTGTATTGGACCATGTTCAACAAGAAACACAACACATACAGGGAAATCAAAATAAACAGCGATTTGATTGTTTATTTTTTTACAGTTCTCAGAATTTGGGTAATGGGATGGAGGGATGGAGGCCCTCTTTGGTTATGCTCTATGAGACTTCAATAGCTTTCAATTATATTTTTTCCAGAGGAAATATTCTATATTATTTCTAACATCAAGAATTAAAACTAAAAAATTTTGAACGATTCGAATGATCTCTAAATTTGGGTCTTCATTAACAACATAGAAACCAAAACTCTGCAACTAATATTACTTGAAATCTGCAATTATCCAGACAAACCGAAAAAATAAAAATAAAAAAACCTTTATCCCAAATGATTATTTTGTTTTCAGAAATAAGTCTTCATTAAAAATAGTAATCAGCAATTAAACATTCAATTTCCCATTATTGAGTAAAACATGTCACTAATTAAGCAAACAAAACAAGCAAATTCTAGTAATTCTACGTCTACCTCAATCAATCAACTCAAAAAGTCATCACATGCAAACATAGTGAAAAAAAAATTCAATCAAAATAAAAAACAAGAATCAAGTCTATACTAAAAGACGTTCAATGCTCTCTCTCAATTAGATAATAAAAACCTATACCAATAATTATAAATATAACTTAAGTTGATAAATTCTAACAAATTGAAGTTCTTGAAATCAGAAAATTTAGATTCATTATTTGACTATTGTTTGAATATCTTTGATTAAAAGCAACCTGCATTCCATTTTTAATAGATCTATTTTTCAATCATGTAAAAATGTCACATGGCTGTGACAATCATTTGTCAACTTAAAAGCAAACCAGCAAACTAAACACAAGTTTGAAAAATCTCAAAATTTGGCAAATGCATTTTCTATAATACCCAGAATCATTTTTCATGAGTTCATCTCGTCTTTTGATACTCTCTGGGGTTAAGCTGTTTCGGAAGTTATATACGTCGGATTGCCTATAATAATGTAGCAGATATAGAGTAATAGCGACTAACAATAAGTAGGAAATAGAAGATCTGTTCTGATATTACAACACCCTTCTATGATAAGATGACTTCTCTCTGGAGAATGTTCAGCATTTATAAATGACTCCAGTCATATGGAGCATGATGTTGAATATTGGTTTGTGCGTTAGTTGGTATCACAAGTTAAAGATCTTGGGTTCAAAACCCATTCCACCATCAAATCCAGTGGATAATGAATTAGGAAGGCAATTCAAGCAAATATCTAGGGAAGACTAAATTATATATGCTTTCTGAAAGCACAACATAGTCATGAATCAAACAACATCATATTGTAATTTCTACCAGAGCTGGGGAGCTAGTTCTAAATCGCAGTGGCTCTGGAATCAGAGTATATTCAAACTGTGGCTCCAGCTCCAAAGCTTCATTTTTTATGTTGGAACTGGGCTCGAGCTCCAGCTGCATAGTTGTAGAGATTTTAAGCGAGGCCAGTTAACCACTACCATGAGGGCATGTGGGATTAAAAACTGTGATATAAGGGTTTTAAATTTTAAAAACAAGTTTTTTACTTTTGAATATAGAAATTCAAGTTGAAAGTTCTAACTTAACATTAAGAATTGAAATTTATAGAAAAAAATATAAGCTAGAAATAGTAGATTTTATAATTTGTATTAGGTTTTATAAATTATACTCTTTAAAAAATGATTATATGATTGGGAGCTGGAGCCACCAAAATTTCTGGTATTTCCTGCTCCATCTCTATCTAAAACAGCAAGCTTGGCTCCAGCTCAGATTCCCCAGCTCTGATCTCTACATTACACTTTACTTGTGAATTGAAAGATAGAAAAATTGTTAAAATAAAAAAGGGAATCTATAATGAAAGAGAAACCATTTAGGTAATCAACTGTTATTAAACTATTGAACATCGAAAATATACTCAGTGTAATCATGTCTGATAATCTATCAAACGCCAAGGGTTGAATGAGAATATGGATATTTTTATTTTGAGAATAAGCAGTAAATTTGGACTCGGTCAAAAAATTGGTCAATCCTACCTGAATTGCCCATTAAATTTCTAATTGGATAACTAACGAAATGTGGAAATATAGCAAATAAGGTACTCCTGTAGTGTGTGAACCAAGATGGTGGACACCCGATTGTAGTGTGTGTACCAGGGTTAAGGTTAGGCCATAATTTTATTTCGTTTTTCCCTATTTTAGTTCTAATTACGAGCTCGCCCACTAGCCTCCAGTAGTATTTGTACCTGAAATTATGGCCTAACCCTAACCTGGCACATACTACGTTCCGGTGTCCGCCATCTTGGTTCGCATACTAGAGGAGTACCGCAAATAAAACAGCAGTCAATTATTTTTTTTCTCAGTCATTAACTATCATAGTATGTCATCCAACAGTTCAAATAAGAGATAGCATATTTTTTTGCAAATGCCATGAAAGAGAGCAAAAATACTAACCTTTCTCTTTGAGTCTTTTGCTGCATTTGAGGTTTTAATCTAGATCTTGCACCCGGTGATTGAATTCCTGCTATTCTCGCAAGTTGTGATTCTTGCTGCTGACGGGTTACTATTGGTGATGTTGTTCTTCCCCCGCTCGGAGAATAACTTCTTTGCTGTTAATTGAGAATGAAAATTTAGAAACTTTCTATCTAGTCATAATTTTGGATATATATAACCCACTGAAGTGTTTCTCTTCGTGAATTCAATTTTAAGTATTTCATCAGTCTAGTGAGCATATTATGCCACTATGGTATGTGACCTCAGTGGTTATATGATCTCAGTAATTTTAGCATTATGTTAGGGTTTGGAACTGAATTCTATGAGAATGTCTTTATGAGAAAAAAAAATACCAAAGTGGCATCATCAAGTTTGGGTCATGACTCATAAATTGTACATAGATCATGATGTAGATGTACATAGAGCAAAAGAAAAATGCTATTACAAATGCTCTCAATTTTAATATGATGACATATGTAGTAATCACACAACCTGGAGGCATAGCTCAGTGGTGTCTAAACTAGGAATCACGATGCACTAATGTGTCATCATGAAATACTTTTGATTGAGTTGGGACATAAAATGATGAAAAAATGTTATAATTAACGCTGCGAGTTTTGCTGGTGAACATTCAGCCCATTATCCTTGTTCATGTGCACAAATCAAACTGCATATTGCATTGAATGCATTGTATTTCAGAAAGTAAAATAAATGGGTTTGAATAGCTTGGAAAACCTCGCAATGTGAATTTATTACACCATTTGGTATGCATCAGCAGAATCTCCACTTACAAGAGGTCCAAATTTTCTATTTCATACATCGGTAGAGATTATAGGGTGATCCAAAAAACAGAACCCTGATCATTTCGAAATATTCTAAAGTGATTTAGAAATTTATAGGGTTCTTTTTTTGGGTCACTCTGAAGAAAGAACAACCAAACAGCAAAACTCACAGGTCTGTTGTCAATAGTAGCAGTGGCAGCAGATGATGAAGCACCTTGTTCTTCAGATATTGCAGCAGTGGTTCCGTCTTGACTGTTCAAACTACCGGAATCACTCACACGTGATTCATTTAAACTACTGATGCTACTACTTTTACTGCTGCTTGCGACGGATATAAAACTGCTTGGATTTGATGCGATAGAATCTGTACAACTGACAGAATCCTAAAAAATAAATTACACATAAAAAAAATGAAAACAAGAAGTCAGATTCTCAAAACCAAATAATATACTGTTTTGAATAAAATTCAAAAATTTCTTTGAATATGAAATAACGATATATTCTAAATTCGGTCAACAAAGAATAATAGAACTCAACGAGTTTGGATTTTGATAGTTGATAGTAGTAGTTGAAGACAGCTGATAATTTCTCTATTTTTTACAATTTTCAAAGATTAAATTAATGTATTTTTGTAACTGTGAGACTTTAATTGCACAAGATTGTGATTTGGGATTAGTACTAAAATGAAGTAGGCTATTCACAATACTGAATATAATTAATTACGAATCCATACAAATATTTGATTACATTCTGGACATCACTGCAATAAGTATTTACTTATCTAATGAAGAAAATTCATATTTGTAAGTTTTGTAGCTGAAAGTTCTGCAACCCAAGTTATGTAAAGAAAGAATAATTCATAACAGTTTTCAGTTTATGAAGTGATCCCCCTGAACAGAGACTAATTTTAGTTCAAATTACAAATTTTGTTACTAGAAAATGAAAGCATTTAATTTTTCAGTTTAGTCTTCGTATTTGATTTCAAGTTTTTGAAATTTGTAATACCATTATTAAAAATTATTATTCAATGATATAATTATCTAGAAAAAAGGTCACAATATTTTTACAATTTTCCCCCTGTCTTTGTTTATATATATTGAGATAGTACACATTCCTTTCAATATCATTTAAACGAAAACTCTTATGCAATAATAAAAACCTTTACCATATCATCATCTGTGGTATCTGCTTTTTGACTTGCAGCAGTAGAAGAAATAGGATGCTGAAAATAGGAAACAAAGAAAGATAAATAATTTTATGTAGATATAGCCACTGGTCACAATGGATATAGTGGTCAAGTGTGCTCCTGAGTAGTGTGGGACAAAATGATAAGTTATATTTGGCATATAAATAGACATTTTTATTTATGGTGATTTCTGAACCTCTTGCCGGGTTAACTAATAGTCGCAAATGTACTAGGGAATATTCCATGAAAAATATATCTACTTCTCTGATAAATACACTTCTTTTTACAACAAAGCAGTTTTTGGAACAATTAGAGATGAAAAGAATATAGTAAAGAGCTTGATTACTTGTTGGCTGGGGGCGAGTCTTTTACTCTATTTTCAGCCATCAATATCTTCTTCATTTTCCTATATTGCAAATTGTCCAAGTCTCTGACGACATTTTTCGTTCTTTCAATCAAATCCAAAACACAAGTAGGTGACCGCTCTTTTGTTAGGAACGTATGCTGTATAGAAATAGAAATTGTATTTACTGTATGTTATAATCAAGAATTTCTGTTAATAATATTTCATATTTATGACTAGAAACGTTTTTCAGATACTGAATAGGCTTTCCATATGTGTGGTATAGTACAGCATGCATAACATGTTTTTTTTTTAACTTAATTGAGTTGTTTTTGTTTTTTATTACTAATCTGTCAAAGTATCATGGTGGATGAATTTTGTGCAATAAAGTATATTCTGCAGGGAAGGCTCAGCCTTGCAATTTCAAAATGTAAACCATGCAACAGACAGAGAAAGAGTAGAATCAAAAAAGGAAGCAAGAATATAGAATGCTCAAACATGATGGTTTCTAAGTTTTTCAATTTTATTTTGGGAATATCTGACTTTGGTCGGGTGAAATATCATAGAATTAATAAACATGTGTAATAAGAATTCTGAACCACTATGTTTAGCTGTTTTGATTCTAGCTGTAATATGCTAGTACTTAAAAAATGCATACAAATTTACACTAGGGAAAAGAAAAAAGAGTTGCTATGTTACTTCTATAGAGCACATACTTATATAACTATCATTATATTACGGTCATCATAAGGAGACATACAAACATTACCATTTAATACAATGAGACAACGACCTTTATTAGAAATATTGTTCTAAATATAGTCAGTTTAAAGAGAAAAGATCAACAGAGTTAATAATATTGTCATTTTGTTATATTTCATTTGCATAAAACTTGGAGTGTGTTTAAAAAAGAGCCTTTTCTGAAGTAAATTCTATATTGCAATACGACAATGTGTACATATTATATTGTATATAATTAAGAGGATGAATCACTGTTTATATTCAAATTTTCTACTGTATATTATTGCCGCCATGTTTGAAATGTTAGTGGTTAACAGAGAGCCTTCTTATATTATTGATAATTGAGTATATATATATACATGAGTTGCTAAATAATTCCAAATTATCTAATTATTCCAATAAGTACATAACTAATCAAAATTTCACAAAATGACTGAAGTCCTAATTAAAAACAATTAAGTTACATATAATGGTAATAAATTCTCATTGACACTTTATAATTAGGTGACAACATGTTCATAAGTAATAACCTGCTATAACCTATCTATGACACACAAAACCCTACAAGTGTATGAAAATTATTGGATTGGTAGTTCTTCTCAGATCGTACTCAAATTTCACTGAATACAAGTTTTCCAAGCCTAACTCATAGACCAGACAGACAAAAACAAAGTAATTCACTATAGCGATAAAATTCTACAATAATATTTTTGAATATGGAATTGGAATTTATTCCTAATTGGATGCCACACGTTGATGAGATGAATGTGTACAAATCAATTTACAATTATTACAAGATGGAATTTGTAATGCTTATTATTAATAGTTTAGCTGTTGATTTTCAATCTAAACACTGTCGGAAGTTAATTGAAAGATAATCGAATGCTTGAAATGACAAATTTTTCATTTTCATTTAATTTTCTTCAACTATTCCTAAAATCTAGATTTTACACATTTCAAATTTATAATAAATTGATTCATTCATTATGAACATTGTTCATAGCTCATATTCTTGTTTTATCTGTTATTATAGCCATGCTATGCTCTAGTTAAAGTTTGATAACACTTGTATAATATAGAATGAGATTGCCCTTTTGTAGCTACAAACCCTTGACCTTGGCTTGGTCAAGCATCCTTGTGACCAAAGTGCATGAAATGAAATTAACTTCGCAATCAATCATTGGGAAATTTAATCATTTGACAACATATCATACATGAAAACTTAGCATAGCCGAATGTGAACTGTAGGATAAATAAATAATCTTCTATTTCTGAACACATTCCATATATATTTGTCATCACCATCACCAATAACAAGATTACATAGTTGCATGATTACAGAAAGCCAAAATACTATTACAAAATCAGAATATTCTAGTATTTATTCTAGTATTTTATTCTAGTACTACCTCGAAATGTTTTCCTAATTATATTGACATGAACTGCTTTTAAGTACGAATTCATCGAATTTACTAATATGCAATTTTCGCTATAATTCTTTATAGTCTCAGTATCTAATGACACTGCTATTGTTGCCCTAACTTCACTCTAAGAGTGAGTTACGGTACTGAGTAAGTGCTTCAAGTTTCGAATCAATCGATGTTGACCAATGTGCAATTTGCGCTCTTAATTCTTTATAGTCTCAGTAGCTCATGGCACTGTTATTGTTGCCCTTACCTCACTCAGTGAGTGAGTTACTGAGTGAGTGCACATGACCTGTTCATGACATGTTTAAAAAAATGTTCAAATCAGAAAAACCAACCTGTAAAACGCCATCTGACGTTGGCCTATCTTCTGGTATTTTTTGCAATAAAAGTGAAACAAATTTAATGAAGTCTTGCGACCAATTTGTCGGAACTTCTTTATCACCATCTGGAAGGCTTTCAGAAAGTGTGGGTGGATCATTTTGTGCAATGTGATAAAGTGCAGACATGGCGTTCATGTTGAATAATGGAGGTTTACGTTCTGCAAGTTCAATGCATGTTATTCCCATAGACCATATATCAGCTTTTCCACTGTACTGGCCTTCATCCATAGCAAGAATAACTTCAGGAGCCATCCTGAAAGATAAGATCATCTCTTTAAATAAATGCATGTTTTCAGAAGCTGTATTCTGAGAGTTTGAAAAAAAAACTAAATTTGGATGAAATAAGAAGATGTTTTGTGGTTTTAAAGAAGAACTCCAATTCTTCTCTCCATTGCTAAAATTTAGTAAACTTCGATTTATCTTTCAACTAGATTTTCCTGAGTTCTAATTGACCTGAAGTCTTGTTGGTTGGTCACTTCTAATTGAATGGTTTTTAAGATGACATTAAATAAGAGTGGCTATGAAACATTTCACACCCAATCATGAGTGTTAGCTGATACTATGTGACTCTATCCTTAGTCTATGAAAATGAATCTATCAGATGTCAGGAATTGGCCAAAGGTAAGATACTGCAAAAGGATGATTAATCTGTGATTGTGAGACATCCCAAGACCAACCCCAAACATTCGCTAAATATAAGATATCATGTGACCACCCCCTACATATCACAAGGTATTTTCTCCTCTCAAAAACAAAAAAATAAATGCAGATTGTTAACCCAAGTAACAAAAATCTGCAATTATTGAGGACAGCCAATACTAAATTTTATCCAATGTGAATTTATATTACATAAACAGATAAAGATGAAACAAAAAATAAAAATGTTTCCCCACCAGTATGGAGTTCCAACAAATGAATTAGCTGGAGAGACTATAGATGCAGAACCGAAATCAGCAAGTTTAACATGACCGCCATCTGTTAGTAATATATTACCAGCTTTTACATCTCTGTGAATTTTATCATGCAGATGAAGATAATGAAGTCCCTGTGAATACATAACATAAAATAGAAATTGTTCAGAAAATATGAACTATTTTGAAAGCATAGTTTTTCCTATGAATAGTCCATTAAGATAGTATTGTCCACTGTTCAATCTTGCACCAAGTAACAGTGAATATAGGACTGTTGGAAACTTTTGCTGGTAATTTTATTAGGAATACTGAAAAATGAGGAATCAACAGACAGACAAATATTTATTAAGTCTAGCAGGACATAAAATATTATAATCATATTTAGAACTTTTGATTTGAGATCAATTGAAAATTCTAATTCTGTATTTATATAAAAGAGGCAATGCCTTTTGATGATACAGTAATTGATGTCTCCAGCTGTACAAAAAACCTGAACGAAGGATAGGCCGTTAGTTTGTCACACAACCATACAACACATCTTCTGCTTATTATACAGAAGAGGTTTGACACACACACTCTAATATGGGTACCCATAACTTCAATGTTAATCTATACCGAAGAAGGAAAGGACAAAGCAAACAACTTGTTATTTAAATAGACTCAAATTTTAAGTAAAACTTCACCAACCTGCATTGCGTCATGGATTATTCCGGCAATTTCATCCTCTTTCAAAGAATTTTTATGAACCTCTACAAGATCTGATGCCGAGCCAATACAGTATTCCATAACAAGCTTGAGAAAAAAACAAAATCACAAATAATCAAAAAAAAATTCTCAAAACCTGCCTATTCCCAAACCACCGAAACAAAATAGTCAAGGTTGTCCCAAATACATTCCAAAACAATAATATCAAATTAAGATTGCGAAATATATATTAAACTGGATAATAAAAATAATAAAATCAATGTATATCCAATGAGTTTGAATTTAGAAATACAGAAAACATAAGAACAAACAATGATTTGATTGGCTCTATATATTTTAACAGATTTCAGAAATTAAACAGAGGCATTTTTGGTCAGACTTGAAATGATTAAAATGAAACTTATAAATTATTTCCAAAATCAGGCTTACTTATATAGCCTACTTATGAGGAAAATTCAAAGTTTATGTAAAGATGCCCATATATGGAATAATATTATACTGATAATATTATCCATGGTTTTCCAGAAATCTGGGCTATGCACCTTTGATCCTTGCTATGAACGAAGATACACACAGATATAATGAATTTAAATATATTGATAGATTTTTAGTTCTGCATTGCTGAGCAAACTTATACCCGCCTTGGTAATACAGGGAGTGGGTAGACTGGCCTGGACCTGAATTGGGATCTCAAACATGTAATGTCAACTTCCATCTGCCAGAGACCGATACACTTCTAAATTTGTTTCAAAAGTTTTTTTGGAAATTACTTGCCACATTCAGTACTTGAAAAAATCAAGTGGAAATACACTATTCAGTATGGACATTGATTGACATGTAGATAATTTCTGTCAAAAATGAATTGAATCAAAAATAATTTCATTAACGCCACGCTAAAGTAGACCTAATATACACCGTATAAACCTTTAATATATTATAAAGCGCACAATAAAAACTGTAGCATACCCATGCTGTGTGTTCTTTAAGATAGCAGCCTTTATAGTCCACAGTGTTTGGATGTTTGATCTGTGTCAAGAACTTTACTTCTTTGATAATGTCTTGCCATTTCTGTGGAAGCAAATAACATTCCAATGTTGCATAAAGTCAATAAACTTTCTAATTGTATTTCCTGGTTGCTCATGACAACTAAGTAACATCATGCAGTTTTAAGCGACAGTAAAGGTAGATAACCTTAGTTACAAGATAAATGAATTTACCTAATTAACATCGAACTAGACTTTATTAAAATAACATTGGAAAGGACGGTTATAGCGTATAGCCAGTCGTACTACCCTCCCAAACATTAATTTAAACAAAATATGGATTTAGAATAAGAATTACACTTTGTTCCCGAAAATTGAAAGGAAAACCGATAGACAACTTAATCATATGGCGAACCATGTCCATTTCGGATTTGAGATTAGTTACCCAATTATTTCCTTCTTTCAAATGCTTGAACTTGATGGTGAAGAAGGCCGCAACTGACTAGCGGTTACATGGACCACCCTACAATGGCAAGCATTCCTCTAGCACATAATTATCCTCAAGAGATTCGAACTTGTGAACCCACGCATGGTAATCAAAGGTGCAGTGGCGAGCGCATTCCTAAATCTTAGTGCGATGTGCCACACCGCCGAGCCTTATTCTAAATGCACTCAAACAAAGAGTAGGAAGAAATATTTCAAGACGCAATGCAATGTACAGTTTGGGAACTACTGGCTTACAGGAATACTCTGTAATCCAAATCTATTTGATCAATTTAATTTTGATAATATGAAGCTAGATTGACTGAAAAACAAAAAATATTTACATGCTAATAAAACATCGAGTTATTCTAAAAATATTTGAAATTAGAAATAGATATAGGTTCTCTACTTTATTAGCATGTATTCAGATCTAAAAAGAATCGATAAGAATTACATTCTACAAGGTTGTTTACCTACTGTATTGTGGACACTATAGTGAGCTAATATGAATACAAGACAAACCTCTAAGGACTGTTTCCCTGAGTATGACATCTTCTTAATGGCCACGACTTCATTGGTATCAACATTTCTTGCCTGAAATATCATTTTATTTAGTGACAGAGATTTGCAAATTCAAAACCCTACCCCGCATTCAAATCCACATGCGGTACAGTAAAATAATGATTTACATTTTACAACATCTTCAATATATGAAAATTAGGCATAATAAGAACTTGGTAAATAATTTGTCAATTTACATAATATTTAAAATCAATATGAATTAAAAAGAAGAAATGTAATTGGCATTGTACATCAATATGAAGAATTTCACACATTATCTTACCATTACCATGAAGCTTGAGTTGGAAAATTTATCTCATTAATTTATTAACAGTAGCCTTTATGATGGTTTCCCACAAAACAGCAGAAAATGACCGATTTCAGAGAAACATTTTACTAAGATGTAAAAGTCCAATATATAATTTTAAAACACTAATTTTCATAATCATGAAAATTTTACGATTATCTCAACAAGGGTAGGGTAGGCATACTTAACATATAATATTAAAATAAATTACATAGTAAACTGCTCCGAAACTTCCATGTCCAATCTCTCTCAAATCATCAAAAAGTTTTTCTGGGTCTATATTGAAAAATAAACTTGCGATGTCTGGATCTTTCAAGCTTCCTGCTTTTGAAGCAGTGGCCTTGTCCGGAGCCATTACAAGAAGAAATTAACTACTTTCTCACATAATCGTCATAACATTATTGCTGTTAAAAAGTAATGATGAAATAGATTAGGAAAAACTTTATTTTTGATAAATGAAATTTTAATACTTAAAACCAAAGTCACAGAGTATTATCTTTGATACTAATAAATAATGACCAAGATCAAGTATTTATAATACTTTCCAAAAAAACATATGCCACGCATGGAAACTTTAAAATCCCAAACCATTTATGGTTAATTAATGAGTCATGGCATAAGCCTGGCAGAAGAGCAGCAACTGAATCATAGCATGATAATGCAGTCGGAGCGTGAGCTGAAGTTGAAAAAAACATATTACCATGATTTGTTCATTGAAACAACAGTGATTAAAACACAATATATTGGCAGAATGAAAAATACATTGCTACGAGCACTTTTTGAAAAAGATAGCTGTCAACTCAGAAGAATTTGCATTGAAGACTGATTTCAAAATATTCAAGAACATCATTTTTTTTGTATAATAATGCTGCAAATATTTGAATTTAGCTATACTTGATTTATTACAGGGGTTGCCAACATGTCGATCTCCGTATGATGTTGAGTGAATTTAATAACATACCCCCAAAAAATGCCTTGAACCAGTTTCATGCAGCGCCTGTTGTGTGTTTCGAAATCGATGAATACAATATTGTACATGCGCAAAATACTATCTACAGTTCCATTGTTTGAGTCCGGGCAAGCCCGAAAGAGCATATTATTATATGTAACAAATGCAAATTTCGCCGCTACCAAGGTTTAGAAATGAACATTACGAATAACGTGTGTCTTGATTTTTCGCTGTTCAGATAATACATGGATACTTGGCAAGGTGTTTTGAGGAATTTTCAACAATTACGACTAAAAATTAGGCAGGCCTCATATCTGTATGATTTGAATAAATCTTAAATAAATGATGAATCATTTACTGCAAGTACAATTACATAATATTAACAAAAATGCAGAGCTTATTGGAAGCAGTGGAATTTTTTGTATGAGTATATGCAGTTAGTTATCTGCATATTCAGTACCCATGCGTTTTTTGTATGACCTTGTTACGATCAGGCGATCGCAAGCTATTTTGAAAGCGATCGCATCTAAAACAGGTTGGCCACCTCTGATTTTTTATATAATTTGAACAGGTTCATGAAACATTTATATATAGGACTGATTGACTGTTCAACTTGACACCAGGCTTGGCAATTTATGGTATCTATATAAAGACTCAGAGAGCATGACCAACCTAACTATGTAACTAACAGCCCAACCACTGATGCTTCTGTCACTCTATTCTTTCCAGCTAGAAAAATTTACTTATATAAAATAGACATAATTAAATTCCCTAGTTACTATTATTAGGTTTGCTATTGAAATGTACTGATGTATAAAGTTGCCAACAAATATTCAACAAGCAGGCATGAATTTTTTAAAGTAAATATACCTAAGGTGACACACTGATTTATTTTTACCAAATGGCAATTTAAAATAGAAAGTTAAATTATTACTTAAATAAGTGCAATGCAAATTTAGTTAAAACTATACACACAACAATCGGCACTCCAGAAGTGTGTGTACCAATATGGAGGTAACTAATTTTGTTCACCTACTTTACATCAAGTTGTGTAAAGAGACAGAAACCTTTGGGTAGGGGGTATAATTGGCTAACACAGACTTCGAACTTGTAATAAAACTAAAATAAGGAAAATCAGAATAAAATTATAGCCTAACCCTAACCTGGTACATACAGACATACTAGAGAGTACTCAACAATTTGTCATTCGAAGTGCATTGAGGTTACACTATTTCTAAATTGAAAAATGGAATTAACATGTATCAACCATTTCTATTTTTTCCCAACATTTGGTTCAATAGAACAAACACCCTATTCATCTTAAAAAAAGGGGACGTCTGGCATGTCGGGAGATGCGTCACATGCCATGCTTGTTTCAAGAATAATCTGAATTAATCGTGGCCGTCAAACAACCAAAATTGTGTTTTTTTTTTGGCTAAATACTCTCGAATGCTATTACAAAATTTTGTTTCTTTCGATGAATCGGATTATTTTCTCCAAAGGAATCCAATGGTGACAATTTTAGATGGTGATTCTTCCCAGTTTATTGCACAGTGCTGAATTGCCAATTTTTTGTTGATATGGAGGCCCAGACTGTATCGTGAAGTAGGGCAGTAGGACACACTATCCAAATTCCAAGAATGTCCCGTCATTTGCTTCCATAAAACAAACACTCCATGTTTCTCACAAACGATAGGCGTCTGACACGACGACGGATGCGTCATATCACGCCATGCTTGTCTCGATAATAATCTAAATTGATCGTGGCGGTCACGTGATCAAAATTGCCGTTTTTGCTGAAACTCTCAAAAACCCACAGCGGAAAAATTTTTTCTTCAGTATAATCGGATTATTTTTTCTCGAGGAATTCGATGATGACGTTTTTAGATTGCACTTCTTTGTAGTTTTTTGCGCAACTTCATTTTACTGTATTTTTACTGAAATTGAGGGACAACAATGTCTAGACGTCCCCCAGAGGTGGGGTGTTTGTTCATCGGCAAAATGGGATTTTCTGAAGCGAGACAATGTCTCTCGATCTGTAAAGTGTGCCAGACTCTAGGGTTGGTATTCACTGTTATGATTGATCTCTTTTAATATGGGGGATATTCTTGAAATCTGGGAATTGTGTGGAACTGAACTATACAAGCGACAAGCTCTGAAGTTTCTGCGATTTAGTGTAACTTCAAAAACATGATCCTAATTGAATATCTCAGGTAAGGCAGAGTATAAATGATTTTTAAGGCTGAATTTAGGGTGGCTCACCCACTTTGCGGCCATGACCTTTTTGCGACCATCAACTTCATCGATTAAATTAATGCCGGGAAAATTAACGAACCGCGACGATATTTCTTACGCGTTATCGTCTACTTATCCCTCGTAACTCTGCGAAATTACACTAAAATGCAGCCATAAACAAAAAAGTTACGACCAAAAGCCTGACTGAAGAAGAAACAGACCATTTTTCCATGTCGCCAACTACTCATTGTTCCTTTAAATAAGCTTGAAAATCCATACAAATATAAGAGATAAAGATATGAAACTAGGCAGGTGGGTAGAGTTGTGTTTCTTTTAACCATCTTTGAAGTTTTGCGTTTCTACATTAAAAGGAGGGGGAATAGGGGGGTGCGCATTTCCAATACGGCGATAATATCTTTGTCGACCAATTTGCGACCACCGTTTTTTTGTCTGGTTGACTGCTGTGATGCGGTGCTTTGTTTATATTTTGACGAGTTTTGTTCGAAATAACCGTGTTCTTAAAATATATGACAGTTAGAAATGCAATTAGAAGCCCATTTTGTTCACACATGGCTGCGTATGCCCTAGTCTCGACGCAGCAGAAACGATGTTCAAGGCTTGAAATCCATGGTCGAAATCGAAATATTGGTTTTTGTTTTATAGTGAAGGAAATGGTCCGCAGACTGGCTACACCACCCTGAATGACTATAATTCAGTAATTATATCAAAAATCCTATTTTACACACAAACTATCTTTTACTGTCTTCTCGCAATAATCTATTTAAAACCAGTATCGTTAAACTCTATCATGATAAAATTAAGTTATGAAATGACACAGGATGTGGAGACATGAAGCTCTAGGCTGCTAGGCGTAACCCTGTGAACAGCACATTTACCCTAATTTACTTGTTTTGAACTCACATGGTGAATAATTTAATTTGTCAGATTGCGCGAACACAAGAATGACGAATTATGAATTAAAATACAGAAACACATGCCCGTACAAGCATTCATTCTTTCTCCATACAAACCGGCACTATCTGCCTGAAAAAAGCTGTAGCTAATTCCTATTTCCAACCTCGACGAAGGCAGCCAGTCTTCTTGAGGTGGCTGTCAAACTTGGGTTGGGCGTTGGTGGTGTTTAGAGTCCACTTGAGTAATGACAAAAAAAATTATTTGCGATAACCATGTCTCGTGTATATTTTTAAAATTTCTATAAAAAGAATCCTATTTTCATGAAAATATATAGTGCATTAGGAATCAATAAATTATTTTGTTCGTCACCGTGTTCAAACCGTGTCTAGTAATATTTTGTACTTTTTGCCACGCAAAAACAAGAGTTGAACTTTAAATACGGCAACCGGATATCCGTGCGATGGAGATCACGTTGTGTTGATCAAAAATGGAAAATCAAAGATTGTGTTTTATGTTTTGAAAACCTAACAGACTTTGAATTCGAATTTTGTGTCAACTATTTTGAACGATAGAGACAAATATAAATATTGTAAACATGCTTTGGCCGCATCAACAACTAACATAAAGGATCGCATTCTCCATAAAACAGACCAGAATGAGGAAGAATAATTTTGTTTCCTCATATAGCTATACAGATACTAAAATGACTACTTTTGATTTTCATAGCTAATATATATTATTCTGTGGTTTAATGACACAATTTTTTGCTTAACACGCATATTTTCCATATCTCAAATATCAAACAGCGCACTTCAGTAGTCAAATTCATGCATCTGAAACAAATAACTGGTGGACTAACCGCATGGGCGCGGCGATGTGGCTCAACGGGCTAAGCGTTAGGAGTACGCTCGCCACCGCACCTCTAATTACTCTGCGTGGGTTCGCAGGTTCGAATCCCATGCAGGGATGGTTATGTGCGAGAAGATTGCTGGAGTCTTCGCCGTCGTTGGGTGGTTCACGTAACCGCTGGTCGGTTACAGCTTCCTCCACCACCAAGTCCATGCTTCCGAAAACAAACAATACAGTAAAACTAATCCCATACCCGACTTGGAATGGTAACCGGACGAGAGGCCGTGGTTCGCCATATGGATAAGCCGTCTTATCGGCTTTCCTCTCCCCCGGGATAAATATGTAAATCCTATCCTATCCTTCCTATCCTATGCTCAACAAGGACTGGTAACCGACGAGAGGCGTGGTTCGCCATATGATTAAGCCGTCTTATCGGCTTCTGTCTCCCCCGGGATAAATATGTATATCCTACTGCGAGGTAAAAAAAACATAAATAGGTTAAATGACATAAAGTCTAGAAGTGGGACGAGGTTCGGATCCGGACAACATCGCAAATCTGCATTTTTGGGACTGGGATTCAAATGTGGATTGCATTTAATTTTTCACCGAGTGTTTATTCAATTTCATTTTTCACAAATTGGCTATCCGGATATGTACGTATACCTCTGAAAAGATTCTTCGAATCCAAATAATACCGTACCTATCCCATTCCCAATAAAATGATTTGAGTAGTTCATGTCCGAAAGATGCTTCGCCGTGAAAATTTGGTTTATGAGATATTCATGTTCAAAAAACACGTGTATGTATTTTCCGTGTATATCAAATAATAATTGGTCTATCAATTCGTATCTATTTTATTGAAATCTTCTATAGTTGGCAATGAGCAGGTTTAATTCACGGAGAGCCCGAGTTGGATTATGAACATAAATTGATGAGACAGGCAGAATATATTATACTTTACTAAATCGTTGGTAATTGGAAATAAAAAAACGCAGGCATAAATTTTCGAACTATAATTCGTGCTAAAGCACACCTCGCGATATGTGTTTAGTTTTAGAAGAATTGACTTTTTTAGACGTCAAGACGGACGAATTCTTTGTTTCATAACTTCACAGCGCCTCGGGTGAAATTATATTAAAACAGATTTTGATCTTCGATATCCCACATTTGTTACTTAGCTTCGCTTCTTAGATTTTAGTATTCAGCTAATCCCAAATTCCCATCGATGAATATAAGAAGTTATAATTAGCCAAAAACTGTTCACTCCGTCGTTGACATCGAACATTTCTCTTGCCAGTGTTTGTTTTGTGTTTACAAGCTACCGAGTAAGCATAACTTTATATCTAATCATAAGAAAAAAACAATTGATATGGATTTTTAAGAACTCTGAAAGGATCCCAATTTTGAACAAAACCACTGAAGTTCATAAGATTATTTGAAAAAACCATAATTGTCAATTTTAACAAACCTCTTGTTTCAAGTTTAGCCAAAAACACGGCTCGTTGGGTAATTCACTCTGGCCTGCCGGATGCTGCCACAACCGAAATGAAACCAAATTTTTATGTTTTAGCTAAAAATAGCTAAGGAATTTTTGAGATTGCGGTTGGATCTAGTTTTGGCACAGGCTTATTGTTTTCCACATTTGCTTTGTAACACTGTAGATATCGTTCATAAAATGTAACTTTTTACGTCACACTTAGATGGCCTGCCAGACTAGGTGGGCAAAACTTTTGGCCCGTAGTTCAAAAACCCATCCATGCCCATCTCTGAATTCTAACCCACACTTGAATGAGACAATTAAGGACATTCTTATATTTAGGAATGGTGTGCAAATATGAATGATATGCAGCTCAGCAAACACAGTCATTATAAACAACCACAAGAATATTGTTTTATCACTTATCATTTTATTATGTTACGAACAGACATACAATAACAAAAAGTATTACAGAAAAACAGCATAAATAGGAATTTCAAGAGAGAGATAGAGGGTGTCACATCTTACAATTTCAGACATTCAAAACAAATAATAATAATAAAAACTAAAAATATAAATGAAAAAAAATAATAATTTTGCACAGGAAACATGGCTGGATGAAATATTATAATGCTGAATAACGTTCAACGAATGATAGAACAAAAAGTGAAAAATGAAGTACAGAGAGGGTTACAGCCATTTCATAAAAGGTACCTTACATATATAACATGCAATCCATAGCCAACAATGTCATTTCAACAGTACTGCGTCCGTTATGACAAAACAATCCTAGGAATTACTGATAAAATTAGGTAATTCTTACAGGTTTTGTTAGATGTGATATGTTAAAAATAATATCACAGCAAAGAAGTAGGACAGAAGTAATCAAAATTAAATTTTTTTTTATCAAATTTTAGAATTTCCATAACTTCTTTATCCATCAAATTCATAGTATTTCTAATTAGATACTATATTATGATTCTGCCATATTGTCATTTAATTTGATAACATAAATTAAGTACTAAGAAATACAAATGAATCAAGATGTGACGATATATCTGGTATAGTTTAAAAATGAATATTTTCTCGATAATAAATATTAACAAAATTTGGAAGGACATATTTTTTGAATAAACAGTGATTTTGAATATTTTATTTTGATATCTATGCTTGAATTCTGTGAAAGACATTTTTACGTTCCGAGACCACTTCTAATCAAAAATGCGGTATGAAAAATCAACACATATTTTAATACTTTGTAATAACTTATTATTTTTTCAATGTTTACGTACATTAAATTAATATTCAAGGTAAGAGAAAAGGAAATTCCTAGGTATATGATAAAAATTCCTTTGCATTAATATTATCGCTTACTGCATTTAAATAATAGTTCGAATAAAATGTACCATACGAACAACAAATTGTACTACATGATGTACGAGATATATAAATATTATTATATGAATGCACAATTTTTGTTATAGCAGTCGAAAAATTTATCCATCAAGTTCAGATACCAAATAAATGTTACATCTATTTGGATCACATAAAAATGCTTCATACAATTTCATACCAGGAAGATAGTAGCACCATGACAGTTAAATGAGAAATGAATTCATAATTGGCAAGGAATATATTAAGTTCACATAAAATTTGTGTCTTTTTGTTAACAAGAATAAGTACGCAGTTGTGAATCAGCACCAATCAGTTTTTCGTTGCCTGTCGATGTTCCAGATACTTTAACACTGTTTGCTGTTGGTACAATACCATAAAATAAAGATTGATACATTAATTTAAGAAGAACTTAAGGATATTACAACAGGAGAATCTTACTCTAACTCTAACCAACTTTCAATACTTTAATCAAGTCCATGCTTCCATGGTTCGTCATATGATTAAGTCGTCTTATCGGCTTTCATTATTCCCGGGATAAATATGTAAATTCTATCCTACCTTAGCAAAAAAGTGGGGCCTTACAAAACTCATTTTGAAAGCCATATTTTTCTAAGAAATATTCTCCCATTCCAAGATTACTATATCTATCTATTTTAGAAAATGACTTTGGCATATATTAAAGCTATAGAATCCCATGCCCTGATCGAATGATCTAATTTTGCAATACCTTCTGTTTTTCCTTGGAATGGACTGTCTGATCTAGTTCCTGGTAAATAACCAGAATCTGCTCCACCGTGTGTTCGAAAACGTTTTCCCCATGGAGCTGAAGTTTGTTGAAAGCTTCTATCCTCGCCCTATTGGGTAAAAAACACTGAATTGTAACCTTAAACATGTTGTGAAGCAAAGAGAACAAAAAGTGACATAGAAATTGGGGCACTCCAGAAGTGTGTGTACCAATATGAAGGTAACTAATTTCGTTCGCCTCCTTTACACCAAGTTGTGTAAAGGGACTGAAACCTATGGGCAGGGGTATTCACTTGGCTAATACAGACAGTCCCCGAACTTATAATAGAACTAAAATAGGGAAAATTGGAATAAAATGATGGCCTATGGCCTAAGTATTTTTCATCACTTTACAACTCATCATGTTTTATTAGTAAAAAAAATTTATGAATCGTTTCTAGGGAAAACAATATTGCAAGAAAAATATAGAGAAGTATAATGTGACTGCAATATCAGCATAATTTCATCCGAATGTTAAAAGAATTGCATCGAATGTAATGTTGAGGTATTGTACTCATGACTTAAAAAAGGTTAAATATTTTTTGTGAAACATCGTAAACCATTGCAAAAAAATTTCATACCGATTCATCTTCAAATTCCCTACTGGTCCCAAGCGCCAGCAAATTGCTGTATTCTCTCTCCAAGACTTGTCGTGCCTGAAAGACAAAATGTTATCCAAGTATCGTTATTCAAGACTTACTTACTGGGATACTTATTTACTCGCTTGAATGTCTGTTGCCCATGATAAGTTAACTTTCATTAACAAAGGTAACAAAGGAATAAAATCAAAGTTGTCGGATTTGGCATTGGGTTGGTATATGAAGTTAGTGGGAAATGGAGCTCGAGTAGAAAGTTTCAAGCCAAGCCAAACCAACATTGTCACAATTTGGTTACCACAGAAGCATGTACGACTTTTCTCCTAATGCACTACCCTAAATAGAATACCACTTAAAATACCTGTGTATTCTGCATTGGAATTTGTAGTGCGAGTGCAAGGGCATCTGCATCAAAAGCATCATCTAACGCAATTACTGAACCATGTACGCCAGAATCTTGAAGTTTTGGTGCATATTCACGAAGTCCGATATTTTGCAGCCAACGTATCACACGTTGATTACTCCACACAAGAACGTCTATAAGAAGAAGGTGGTTGATTTAACAAACTTCTATTGGAAAGTAAAAATAGACACATAAAAATCTGAATGATATTTTAGAACGTCGATCAGAGAGTAAAAGCAGGCACATACAATTGTAAAAAGGAAATTTCGAAATTAAACAGTCGAGGTAAAAGAATATTCATAGATTTATAAATACATTCTAAATTAATCAAAAAAATTTTGGTTGATGAAATCTATTATAATTTTGTCCATTAAGACAGATTTACTGGTATTCCCGTAGTATGTGAACCAAGATGGTGGACACTGTAACTTAGCATGTGTACCAGGTTAGGGTTAGGATATAATTTCAGGTACAAATAGTACGGGAGTCGCTTTGCTAGTCTCCGAACTCGTGATAGAACTGAAATAAGGAAAATTGGAATAAAATTATGGCCTAATCCTAACCAGGTACACATGCTACATTCCAGTTTCCACCATCTTGTTTCACATACTACGGGAGCACCGAGCACAAATGTGTACAATAATTAAAAAGTTTTAAAGGAAACAGGATAATATCAAACCTTTCACTTCATCAGATGAGGCTTCTCTTCGAGTATCCAAATCTTTTCTGTTGTAATTGAGCCTTTTCAAACACAGGATGCCGTATTGCAGACTTGCTCTGAAAAAATAAACAATATTGAACAGACCATATTTTTTTTGTCATCAATTTGGCCCCCAAAAATAGCATTTTCAGAAAATTTACGAATAGTGAATAGAAGTAAATTAAAAAAACAATATATAGAATACTCAAAAAAAAAAAGCCATAAAAATCAAATGCGAGACATGGGATTAAGAATAACAATATTCCGAAGGCTGCCTACGTGATCTTGAATTATCATAACTACCCCACTGTACATCTCTTCTATAAGAATCAGAATTTTACTACTTCAGAAGTACAAGGGATTAGTTGGAGTGACATCTGCACAGCGTAATAATACAACAGATCATAAGTTACAGTTAGCAAACAACAGAAATATCACTGAACACAGTGGATAAGTACTTCCAAGTTGTCTCTCTGAATTTTCAAGTATGAATATGTCACGGATTGCAAATACTCAAGTAGAAATCATAAGAGGTTCATCACCTCTCATTATTATAGTCAGTTAAAAATAGATTACAACGAGTTTGTGACATATTTTGGAAGGTACAACAAAATGCAAGTTAAAGTGCAAAAGTTTAATATCAGTGCGCTGTGCAGTTAAATTTAAAGAGCAATATTTTGCAGAGCAAATATTAAAAATTATTATTTTGGTTCATTCAATATAATTCAGTATTTTATCTCTAGTCTGAATAGCTTGCTTGATAGTACATGAAAATGCATGAACGTTATGAAACATAAAAAAAATGCTGTAGATTTACAAATGTACGAGAATACAATATGATATCGTATTCATCGATAAGTCATGCAACAAGATCGCTTAATCACATAACAAAGCCGTATGGTTAGCAGTTGGAACAGTTGTCAGGAATAAAGAAACTTTCGAAATAATAGACATAAAGAGGTTTGTCTGAAACGTTTGAGTCTGGAATGGCAAGAACGAATCGAATGAAAGCTAAATATATAAATGATTTTAAATATAATTTAGAACAGTTTTATTAAAAAAATTTATTCCAAGTTAGCTGTAAAATAGAGAACTTATCAAATCATTGTTTTTTTAATCTTACTGAATTTCCAAACTGAAACTTATTGAACCAAAGTGGCTATTTGTTCCTTGCTCCTTTGCCAAATATGAACCAATTTTGAAAAAAATTCAACATTTCATATTTAAAATTTTATCTTTGGATGTATTCACAAAAGTAGATCACTCAATTTTAACATCCCCAGTCAAAGTGAAACAGTATAAATTCAGTATAGACAGGAATTTTTACCTGTGAAAACCGTCGAACATTTTCAGATGTTGTCGCAAGTCTTTTTTCGTTAAATGATCCAGCATTCTGGCATCGACTAAACATTCCATGAAATAAGAGCGATACTGAGACAATCCGAGACTAGGAAGCCACTCGTTTCCAATCCATTCATGGTTCATATCACCATACGCAAGAGTCTGTGTATTTAAAAAGAGTATTCTTTTAAACTTAAAATTTGTTTGTCATAATACTAGACTACTGGAAAGCTTAGAAATCTTTTTTATAACTCAATCTATGTTTGAATGTTGTTTAATAGCTTATATTGAAAAGCAAATTTGTATATCATAAAATATTAATGAGAATATTTTTGACAACCACATATAATGAAATTGTGTGAAAATGAGAATATTAAATAAGATTAATTCTCGCTAATTATAAAAATTGGCTAATGGCTACAAAGTAGTAAATTTCGAAAAAGACAAAGTCTTATCAAAATATTATTTTCATTTTTTAAACACTGAAAAGTTAGTGAAGAATAATGATACAATAACAGACAATCTTGATTTACAAAGCCCTAGTTCATTTTTTTATTTCATTGAAAAAACAATTTCCATGTAACAAGGTTAAGAATATTTATCATCAGTGTCATGATTAGAAAGTTGTGGAGTAAACCTTTGTATGTGGTGGTCTCAATTTATAAAATATGGAATTTCAAATAACCATTTTCGAGAATTGAAGTCCTATGTGGCAGGATCATTATACCTTCGTTTTTGCAAAACTTGATGAAAACTATATTTAGAAAGTTAATTGAATGGCATAAAATGAATTTCAAACTTTTCAAATTCCTCATAGATAAAATTTGTTAATATCAGTGCTAATTTTTTTTTGTAAAATCGTTTTAGAAATTGAATGTTCGGGAATAAAAATTCATCATAGCTCATAGGCATTACTATTACTAATTGGTCATATTGTAATCCCTAAAATACAAGTTTAATCTTGATTGACACTTTGAATGGATATGAGGTTATAAAAATTTGCTTCGAATTTTCAAATCATTAAATTAGGATTGTTGATTGTATGCATGAATGTTCAATATTCAAAAAACACCACTGCAAATAAAAATGTGAATAATAAAAAATGAACTGTGAATATATTTATCACTTATGTTGATCAGTATAAATGTGTGAATGCATTTAATTAGAGAGCGCTAGAGCGCTGAGTAACAGCAAGAAAATTCAGCCAAAAATAAGTGAGGCGCCAACAGCTACAGAAAATATTAGCAGAGCAAGGTCACAGTAAAATAGTAATTTACAAATATTTAGCAACAAAATAATGTTACCATCTTACTGTGCATAACACAGAGGAATAACAGAGGCCCTGAAGGCAATCAGTGGTCAAAGCGGTGATGAATTTTTTATGTTTAGCAAAATTTCAAAAACAAAGATAAGCCAGTATTACAAATTGGACTAAGTAATAAAAAAAAACTAATTATACAGTCACAGACATAGGGTACCATGAAAATTTCTCATTTTGTCTTTCCATTAAGTGGAACATTAAAATAGAAATTTTTGTTTATGGAAGAAAATCAGTTCATGTATAGTTAAAACCAATATTAAACTCTTATATTTTTCCTGTCTTACTGAAAAAAGCAATTTACCTCAGCCCAACCTCCCTCTTCCTCCTTGTGAAAGCAAGCATGATTAAAAAAAGAGTTTTGCATATGAAAAAAATTTTGCTCAAAAATCCCTGAAATCTCACACTGCACATAACAACATGTAGTCACTACACTATACAATAAATCGGCGCTCCTGAAGAATGCGTACCAAGATGGCAGACACCATAACGTAATATGTGTACCAGGTTAGGGTTAGGCCACAATTTTAGGTACAAATACTACAGGGATCACTTGGCTAGTCCCCAATCTCAAATTAGAACTAAAATAAGGAAAATTGGAATAAAATTAAGGCCTAACTCTAACCTGGTACACATACTACTTTTCGGTTCTAACCATCTTGGTTCACATACGGGAGTACCAATAAATCTATATTAACGGTATTTTAAATTTAAAGATTCAGTTCGTTTCTGAAAAGAGATTCATTATCACATTCAAGAAAAGGAAGTTTTGAAAATTGAAAATATTTTAATCTAAAATCATGCATCCAATCATCAGTTAATAAAGGAAATAGGAAATGCCTAACTACAGCATAACATTCTATTTATATATATTTTAAGGAACTAAGAAAGTTTGAGAAGAGAAGCAGATAACTACAATGCTCAAATGTGCCCTTAGAAATAATATGTTCACAAATTTGAATTAGAACGCTGTCTTGAGAGCTCAAACCACAAGAAGTCACATTTTTATTTCAGAGCTCATTTGAGGTAAAAAAATGAAATTAAATAACAGTAATTTTTAATATTGGCAAAGAAGGATTAAATTTGGTCTCTCACAGTTATGATCACGATTTTTACACAATTATTACATAACAAATTACCCCATCGACAAAATAATTTTGTATTTTTTTAATGTTTGTCCAATAGCATACATGCTCAATTTTATAATTACCCAATCTAATCAATACCTCCTTATAATTGCATTACTCCCTGTTCCAGGACAGGGGTTGTGAACATTAACCACACGACAGTCACTCAACAGATTTCAACAACAATAAGGCAAATTTACAATGTTTGAGATAATATTCAAAATGATAAAAAAGTTAGGCTATACATCATGAAAAGCAGGGTTTTCGAGATAAAATTTCTAAAACTGTAATAATGAATACTAGTATTAGTTTAGCTAAATGAAATAACCATTTATATAAATTAGAGTAGAACTATTTCGAGCATTTCGAGGGCTTTCACCATGTCAGCCAACTATAATTGACAAAAATGAAAATATTTGTGCTAGCACTCAAATAATTCACGAGCATCATGCATGCAACGCGTCATAAGAGAAAATGAAACACGACTGAGACACACTATCATACCGTAAGAGGAGTTTGACTCGATAAACTGTTGACTTCCTCATGTGTCATCCACACATTTCCAGTTGTCTGATGATAGTTTGGTAAGCAAAATTAAAATTGAATTCAAAAATTAAATTTTCTCAAAATATTCTTAAATTGTTTAAGCAATAATAAGAATATCTTCATTATTGAGCTATTTGAAAGCATATGAAGAAAACTTTTACTGTATTAAAAATTGACAATTTCAAAATGTAAACTCCAGGTCTACAACTAAAGATATTACAATCCACAACGAAGAACACTACAAATGAATATAGTAACACTCGATATAATAAATTCTTGATTTTAGGAAGAATTTAGAATATTTTCATTAAAAAAACATGTTTTCTGCATGTGGTACACCTGATGTTCATGTCAATTTGGGTTTATTTATAATCATAAAAACATCCCTGTCCATTACAAAAGTACTGTATATCCTCACATAAAAAGCCGTGTTTAAAACTCAAAAAAAAGTTACCAAACTGAGGGGCGGGCATTACACAGTTCACCATGAAAAATTGGCTTATACGCGCATAACTCTGATCGCACTCAATTATGCAACAACTCGAACTCTCGAAGAGCGTATGATTTGTATAATTCCGTCGTTTTCAGGGCCCGGCTTGTATGCGGGGATATATGGTAGTCAATTCCTTGGAATAAATATCATTAAGATAACTTTCAAAGATATGCAACAAAATTATTTGTTTGAAGCCCGGGAACTGGAAACAAAGAAAGCTTACTAAGACTGTTCTAAAAACAATACCCAAATTTCCTTGTCTGCAATGTAAATAAAAACCAGAAAACACATTCCTATCGAATCGAATAGCCCATCTGTAAAGATAGTAAAACAGATATGAAAAAGCATACATGTTGTTTCATACACATTTCACTGTAAATAACCTGGTAGTTTAAAAAAATGTTCAAAGCAATCAATATGCATTTTTTGTAACAAAATTATGTACAAAAACATTCAAACACACACGCACAGAATTTTAACTCAAAATTAACGTTCATTTATTTTTTTCTGATGTATCAAAAATCCGCTTTAAAAATGTAGTGGGGAGCTGCTGGCCATGAAATAACCTAGATGTACATATGGTCCAAGAATTCATATGCCGCTGATGAGTGGGGTTACATTAATATATCTTTGTTAAGTTGGGTTAGGTTTGACAGTTGCAAAAGTAGTCTATATGTAAAATGCATTTATAAAATTCATAATCGATAAACTATCATAATATATCATTTGTATTTTTGTATTTATAAATAAGGAAAATAGAAAATATACAATGCAGTTGCAATAGTAAGCACAAAAAGTTGACATGTAACGTACCGTTCTTGAAGTGGGTGGTGCTGATGGGCTTGTCAAACTGATCATTTCATGAATCGCCAGTCGCAGTTTAAGTCTGTGTAATGGATTACTGATGCCGATCTCCCGTTGTATTTCTGTGTCTGATAAAGCAGACATGATGGCACCAGACTTGACGTTGGCACGACATGCAGCAACATACCAAGCTGGCATTCCGACCCATAACTATAATGGAAAAAGATTTGTTAATAAGGATATTGGAACATAAAAACCATTAGGCATATCTTTGATTCTGCAATACGTTTTTAAGCAGTATACTCCTCCTGGTCGTTTCTCCGTTCGTGGCATGCGACAGATTGTTGCTGTTGGAGTCATCAAGGAAACTATCAAGAAGGCCCGGAATGTGGAAGAAACCAAAACATCGGCAAAGGCCAATAAAACAAACAGGAAGAAGTGACTGGTAGCATCTAGCGCCCAACAAACAGTCTAAACCTAAAAACCTAAATTTAAACCTAGTTTAAGAAAATTCCTAAATCATGATTGTCCTAAAAACGAATCAAATATTTAAATACACTTGAGATTGGTGATATGCAATATGGGAACTTCTTAATTTTGGGAATAATTCAGAATATCTCAATTGGAAATTTGTTGTCTTCGACATCTCATGGTGAGACAAAAAATCTTACGACTTTCAAAATTTAAAATTGTCTAACGTGACAGTTTCAAAATGTATTTAAAAAGGAAATGATACAGCTTTGCCATCCCTGTTCGTAATCAAAATATTTTGCCAGTGGATATTTCACTTAATTAAATTTATTTACCCAGAAAGAATAATGGGCTCACCTCAAGCCAAGCAACCACTGTTGGACCACTCCATTGTGCAAAGGTTGTACCGTTTCTACGAACTTCCTCCAGCATTTCATATCTGGACAATTTGAAGGGAATATAAGTCACTATTAGTACACAGATATTTATGTAGTTTGCCAAATACAACTCGAAAGAAACAGTCCAAAAGCTTAGGGGTCATAATAGGGTCAATAAATATAACATTGAAATGAAAAAAATATGAGTATTACGCAAAGGTTTGTATGGTTACAAAGTCTAAATTTTGCATTAATTGTTTGGAGAATTTTCAAGATTCCAGACAACCAATTGCGAATAATGGCATTTGGAATCCATAAGTTCAAATCCATTATTCCAGGTGACAAGCGGTATCAAAATCCAATCTCTTCATTACCTTATTATCATCAAATTTCCAAAAGGAATTGTTTTACACTCTAAATACATTTTATCATTGTAATATATTAGCTAGCTTGAATGTCCAATGTGGCTAGCTGTATTGCTTTTCTTATTAGCAGGTTTGATTATTTTAAGTCAAGATCTAATCATTCTTCATGCCACATTCAAATTTATCTTGCAAAATGGTTTGGAGACAGCAGAGCAGAAATGTTATATGTGATTCGAGTTAGATAGACAGAGTATAATCTCACTTTTTTTTCATTCTTCTTCCTTGTTCTCTTTGATGAACAGAACCTAAAACATCCATGGAATCAGATGATGTAGTTTTATCATCTGTATTAGATAAGTTCGAGCCAGATATTGAGAGTTGATCGTTCATTGAAGCGTTTATTGATTGTTGTTGACGTTGCCGTAATCTCAGCTGTGAACAGGAATGATAAATATTGTTGGAAAAATTATAAACTTTCTTTTAATTTTGAATATCGCTGCAATCCATGTTGTGTACATTTTTGAGATGTAACAAAGTAGCTGTTTTGTGGAGTCAGTGATTGTGAAAAAAACTTTCAGGAGTAAAAAAAAAAAAATCTTTTAGTTACAAAACTGGTGCATGACCCTACCCTGCTTTGAGCAAATTTGAATAAAAAATTAAATCTATGAAACATTGTCAAGCAACCTTATCTTTCTTTCCAAACAATCTTCCAAATGAAGACTTTATTCCTCCTTTCTTTTTACTACCAGCAGGCTGAGATACAGATGTGGTATTCTTATGTACTGAATCTTGACTTCCATAACTACTGCTTGTCGGTGTTCCACTTGAATCATCCAACGACCTTAGATTATATACAAGTCAAAATATTAAGATGGACGTTATATTATCTATAGATGAAATTGACTGTAAGGTAGAGTTTCGAATAAGGAACTAAAGGGTGTGGAGTATGGGGGAATTTATGATCGACTTTTAACTTCAAATTCAAGGTTTTTTCAAATAACGACTCCAGCTTGACAAGAATTTTAAATTTATTTTAACTTCAAATTCAGGGTATTTCCAAAAACTACTCATTCTTGACGAAAATTTTACCCCTACGCCAGGCCTAGGCTCAGACTCAAATTTTGAAATATGACTTTGGCTCCGACTTTCTTGTCAGAGGAGTTTGTAAATACAACCCTGGCTCCACAGCACTGAGAGAACTATTGGTATATGGTCATTCAAACAAATTGTTCATTACTCATCCGTTTCTTTCCTGAAGTGTTTTTTTATTTTCAATTTATAATATGTTCTAAATACATACCCTTTAGTATCATCCAAATCAACTGGAAAACTTCCAATTCTTTCAAAAGCAGATTTTGATGAAGGAATTGATTCGAGTTGTTCGATGCTGGAAAGTGCCTGAAGAAAAAATAACTTCATTGGCATTGAATAAAAAATGATCAAATGGAGAAGTGCAATAGTTCAGGCTGCTTTTTCACGATTGCCAGCCGACAGAACAATATGAAATTCTATATCAATTTCACACTCTAGAAAGATTGAAAAAAAATGATATGAAAATAAACTTCAAAAGTTTAAAACCTGATAATCATCTAAAACGATGAAAAAATATAAAAATAACAAGATAGTCAAGGTGAGAGGTCAACGTACTTTTCAATGTATTGACTTCTTTCAATAAGCGTTGAATGCAGGATGCTATTTATATACAACAATAATAGCCATCGATGTATCTTTCGGGAGTTATATACAACAAGCATAGTCATAAATGTATTTATTATTCAACGAGGTATCCATGAATATTATTGGAAGAGTCATATGAATTTTCATTAGCTGGTGTGGCATTTATTTTCTTCGAAATATATATTGTGTGTCTTAAAATATCCAGATACACAAAACGCAAATTAGCCTTTCTCCTGACTAAAATTTGGAAATTTCCAAATCACATCAACACAATTTATGTTACAATATTATATTCTTAAGGAGTACCCCTTATGAAATCAAAGATATCTTTTTTATAGTTCAATTATATATGGCAACAAATAGGCACTAATCTAATAAATATTGAAGAGGACAATGTTAATTGACAAGTGAAGACAGATACACACAATAGTATGTGTGATATACTATCAGTTTAGTGTGAGTATCTGACCCTTTGCCTTTCATATAGAATTTTAATCATCTGTTGAGTGAAGTGTTGTTTTCACATATTGTTACATTGGATCCATTGTATAACATAGAGAAAAAGATAGAATCGAGTTCCAATATGTTTTTGTTTAGAAAGAACAAAAGCATTTTGAAATTTAATACTATCTTCGTATTTTAAATACCATTTGATGGAAGAACACTCATAAATAAAGCATGAAATGCATTAGAGTTATTAGTTAGATGGAAGCAGACAGCAAAATTGGACCAATTTAATTAAGAAAGGAAATTTATTCAACTGCATTTTTGAGTCTTATAAAGAATACAATAAAATCTTCTTTAATATTAAAGATAATAGGTTTTTATGTTTGTTGTGAAAACGTTTTACCTATTCAATTAAAATGGATGTAATGACTGAAAGAGCAACGCTATCCCAATCACAAAATATCTCGTCTGTTTACCAAACAGTAATCGGAATGAAGGATATATTTTCAGTAACTGACAACACAATTCCCTCAGTGTTGATTACAAAAGAAAACCTTGCCAGATCAAAAGAAAACTTTAAACAGAGAATAAAAATGGGAAAAAACAAGTGGAGCTTGCCAGACGCGGAACATAACAATAATATATTACATATGCTGCAAACAAACGGACAACGGAGGGGAAGAGAATTTCGAGCAAAATCTAAACGAAGGATTGTAACTCAGGATTCATCACGATCTTTTCTTCCAAACATCTCTGGGACTATTCCTCAAACTGCAGGTTGGTGAAACATCAAGTGTTTGTATAAAATGTCAACCTGATTTACATGAAACTCAGAATGAAATATCAAATAGGAATACATGTTTAGATAACAATAAACGCCTCATAGCATAGTTAATACTCCTTTAACCCAAAACTGAAAAAACAGTTGATTTCCACAATGCTTTCGCAATTTCATGTGGAAAAATCATCATTTCTCATCAAGTATCTTCCAAAATTGAATCATAGAATTTTTATAAATTCCTTGAATATCTCAGTATAAAAGTAGAATATATTGGATTTTATCTACATTTTTAGCTATGGGAAATAGTATAAATAGAAATTCGTACATTAGGGAATCTTTCCTTACATGGTTCAAATTGAAATCAAAGTATATGGGCAAAGAAATCTCATTCAACTAATTTCAATATAATATATCTTGTACAATATAAACATTAAAACACTAATATATCATTCAGTATATTGTTCCTTCTGTTCTAACCACAGGTGGTATATCAAGGAAAAAATCATCGAAAAGAAAAAGTCGTTCAGTCCTTTCAAATCATGAAGTTTTATCACAGCAGGGAGTGCGTACTCATTTACCAAAGTTTCGAAAGAAGTAAGATTGAGAATAATAATGATGATTTTGTGACAAAGGTTGCCAAACCACGAGAAAAACAAAATATAACAAGACACATTCTAGAATGGAATAACATTATTAAGATTGGGTGGCACGTCGCTTCAAGCTCGGATCTTACTTAGTTGGCGTCACAGATCTCAGGTTCAAAACTCCATGCCCACCAGCTCTCCCAGGGTTTAATAAATTTGGTAGGCAATGCCTGACCAAAAAGTTTCTGCTTCCATTGTGAAAATTGTAGTCCCCGATGTATCATTATCCGCTTGTACTACAGTGCCTTGTTTAAAGTGAAATTTAGAATTGAAAAAAAACTTCTCCTTTTCCTTTTCCTAACATTTTTTGTTGATGATAACCAAACTTAGGTAGTTACATGTTGATAGGTATTTGTCTGTTGTTTGTTTGCACTTTCGTATGTTACACGATATCTCACGAAAGCGAGGTTGAATATGCTCAAAATTTTGTATGTCGTATAATTAGCGAGTTATTAATTAATTAGTGATAAGACACACAGTGTCGCTATTGAGTCAGAGCGAAGGAATCGAAACCGCAAGATCGATAAGTCGGCGGTCCCTGATCGCTATCTACCGTAGTTAGTTATTTAATGCACAGTTGAAAATTTCATATGACCAAACTCATAGTTCAATTGGTTTTTGTAGTAGTATTATTGAATAACAGTATGTATTGATTTGTCTGTTAAAGTTAGAAATTGGTATAAATACCATTGAAGTTTACATCTTGACTGAACCCTATAACTGACTAAACTTTCAGCATATGACTTAGATAAACACAATGATAGATAAAAGAGTCTTTCAATTGAATTTACACATAGCCCACAATGAAAAGTACAGAAATAGAAATTGATTGAAAATGGAAGATATACAAAATTAAATAACACAGGCAACCAAAATATTTGTGTTGGTAATACTAGAATGCTGTTTTTACAAAAGCCAAGCACAGTTATTAATAATCACTACCATCTCATACATTTGTCATATATTATATCATAATATTTCATTAAATTTCCAGACTAAGTTCAGAAGTGAAATCAAAAGACGAACAAAAAATCATTAGAAATATAAAGTTTTGGAGGGAAACAACACCTATAAGTAGAGCTGGAATTTACGACAATATTCCACAAATTGATAAAGATACTGCTGAAGAAAGTAGAGACATGATAGCTCAAGAAGAAAGTAATGTTGGGTGAGTGTGAAGACAAATCAGATAGATAGTATCCACAAATACAATAAATACAAAATAGAATTTGTTCTAATGTACAAGGTACTTCTAGTGCAATTGAAAATTGAATAAAAAAAATTTGAAAATCATGTTATATGGTAGTTCAAATATTCAAATTCTGGTTTTAGTTATTTTAGATAAAATAATAGATTCTTTTGCAGCCATTATTGGCTCAACAATGTTTCATGAAGTAGGTATGTTTCATTCACATAATGATAGGGACTGATTTACCAGCGTTTTATGTGATATCAGCCTAATGATAACATTATGTGCATAATATATGGATAAAAAAAGGAAATTGAGCCCAAAATTAATAACCTAAAATTATTTTATATATGCTTCGAAAAATCCCTATTAATTTGTTTGTTTTGATCAGTGTTTTAAGTATGCAAAATGACTAATTATCTGAAGAAGGTATGCATGATTGTGATTAGAAATTAATAAGCAAGATGATACGAAAAGAGGATTTTAAAATACCACATAGGTAATAGGTATACACTGAAACCACTGGGAGACTATTAAATACTCAGATGTGACGATATTCATTTCTATTCCAAGGAATTCACAGAATCCAACTTGGTCCAACAAATTTTCAATGGAGAATGACACACAGAAGACACAGAATAAATTCTATGCAAGACATATGGCTTTAAGGGATAGACTAATTGAGTTTGAAACAATGCACTATAGAGAAGCAGTAACAAGAATAAACAGATATCGGTATGCCAATTTTTTTAAACATTTTTTTAATACCTCAATAAATGATAAAATAGTAAATAAATTCAAAATAAAAAAAAACTATTGAGAATAAAACTCCCTATTTTATTGAAGGATCTGATCTTAAATAATAAACCAAAAGTTTAAATTTATAGTCCATTGCACGATATTTAGTATTAAACTCGAAATCTCAGGAAAATGAGAATGTGAAAAAATCAAAAAATACTGACATATCTGTTATGATTATAGAGAGAAACTAAGAAGGCCCCAAGCTACTAGAGCTGGAAAACTGAGACAAACAAAGGAAGCAAGCAGAGAAATGGATCAAAGAAAAGATAAAAAAGAAGTTGGTTGTTCATTAAGACTAATAAGTGGTCTAATATACGAGATATCTTTGAAATATTGCATGAAGTTCAAAGACAACACATCTAATTCTAAATATTGAAAACAATTGTAATATTATTTTAATGACCTACTAAATACAAAATATGACAGTCCAATCACTTTTGCTTTCTCAATTTGTATTGGGTCATTCTAATTAATTTTAGGGCAAGTAAAAAGTATTAATGCTTCTGCATTGTCTTTTAATTTTAGCAACAGAGACAAGCTATTGAAGAGGATGATAATAATAACAATGGTGGGATTTCACCACCAGGAATCAGAATGTCACCAAGTAAAGAATGGAAACCATACATTGCAAAAAGACATGCTGGAGGTATAGGTTATCTTTATACTGGAAATCTTAGTAAATTTGTATTTTTATATACCATTTAAATCAGCTATTTATATTTCATTTTGAAAAATCATTGCTTTCCATTGGCCATTACAAGAGAGAAATGCCAAGATATGATGACCAGAGCATGACGGTCAAATGACCAATATGGTGGTGTCAGTGTGCATGAAAAACAATAAAACTTGGTGACATAGCGGGCCCCTGAGGAAATAAAAAGTAATAGCTTTCTAGCAACTTCCTCCAATTTTAAATAATAAAAACCTAAAATTGATTGAGCTATTAGTTTGTATTTTTTTTTTTCTGTATTTCATCAAAGAACATCAACAGCAAACTAGCAAACAGAATTATAGCTATAAGTTCACCATATAACCAATGATTGTTTTGCACAGATAAATGTACCATATATTTCACTTTTTCAGACTTTTATACAAGACTAAATTTCTATTTAATGTTAATGGAATGACTTTGGTCTTTACGATGGAACGTCTTTTCAATTCTGCTGATAATTTTACTAATAATACTAGTTGAATCCAAAATTTAAAAACTACACCAAATCTATTCAAGATAACCAGCAAAGTAAGAAGCACTCAGTGCTTCACAAATCTGGAGGAAAAATTGACAAAAAACAAGGAGACAAAACCAATTCCGCCAGAGTTCCACAGACAACAATTCCATCAAAACATCGCAGTACCAATCCAACGCCAGATGAAGACATAACATATCCGATACATATTGAAAAACTATTGAGAGACTGCACACCTCAGAATATAAAAACAAGCGACGTAGATAGAAGTACACAAGATAGAGTTTCGACTCGATTAAAAATGACAACAGATGTGGCAACGGGGTTACCAACAGTGGAAGGTGTCAATGAATTTAAAGGCAAGATGGAAATTTCTAATCACAGTAAAGGAAAGTCTATCCTCATTGATATAAGACAACAATATAACGAAGGACAAACTAGAAATGATGTTGATACTAAACAAAAATCAGAGGAGTTGGCCGAAGCTGGAAATACTGAAGATGTTGCCTCTGGTAGTACACGAACAATGCTGGGCACGAAACTACGTCTACTATTACAGAAAAGTTCACAGTCAGAAAGAGAAAGTAAAACAGCTGGAGGCAGCAGTCAATTGATAGAAGAAACAACAATTGGTAATAATCATCCAAAAACGAGTGGTGGTAAAAGATTTACCCAGAAGTGAGTATCAGTAGTATCTGATTGCTAATGTCTAAAATAATTCACTATAAATTTAGCACATATAATCAAAATTTACTATTTTTTCATATAGCTTCTAAAATATTTCATGAAACAACAATAAAAACAAATCCAGTCTTTGTGAAAAGTCAATTAGGTAAAGATAAAGTTAAAATTTAATCAAAAATGCTGCTTGAATGGTCAAAATGGGTCATGTTCAAAAAAAGCATTTAGAAGTCAATATATGTTTGAGTTTATTTTGAAAATGTAGGAAAGTCACAGATTCAGAGCAACTTGATAGGTTTTCTATTTCCCATAGTTGTTAAAAAAATGCAAGTTTTTATGATTACACTGTAAAACTCTCATAGCCCAAAATTAAATATTTCATTTGTAATTATTCTAATTCAAATATTTGAGAGTCAAATATTATTAATTTTAAATCTAATCTAATATTCAATTTTTACTGGACCCTCAATATTGGATATACTATATCAACATACAGTTCTGAATTATGGGTAATTATAGTGATTCACCATTAAATCTTATAAATTACACCAGTACAGTTTCCAATCTGACCTGGCCTTACTCTCTACTTATTATTTCATTAGGACTTCCAAGTTTTATCCACCGGGATCGACTCGATTTCCAAATGTCACTAAGATCGGAAGTCTATCGATGTCATTTCAAAGAGATGGTAAACAAGAATTTATGATGAGAGGAATAAAAGGAGAAAAAGATAATTTTCGTCCAAAGCTAAAAGATATTATAAACAAGCATAACAATGAAGAAAGGTTGGAAAGATCTCAAGCAAAAGTAAAACAAAATCAAATCCGTATGAATGATGCCAATTTATTGATGTTAAGGAAGGGAACGCAAGATACAGAGATTGAAAAAGACAAGGCAGATGACAAAACGCAAAATCTAACTTACAAATCATATTTGAGAGGAAAAGTTGTGTTTAAGAATGCTAGCTCAACAGTAAATGAAATACAACATAGAGGCGGACTGAGTGGGTAAGCATGGGTGATGGGGGTAAATATTTTGGATCGTCAAAAGTGTATAAATATCTCCATTTGATGTCTAATCAAATGTATATCCAACTACAAGAGCAATTTTATTGGGTATTGTGAAATACTGAAATGTTTATAAAGCTAATATGAACATTTTATGCCAAAAATAAATTATAAATTATATTGGAGCCAATATAACATAGAGATTCTTATTTACTATTATAGAAAATTCAATTCTAGTTGGGATAGAAAAAATTTCTAATGGACAAGAGAATAATATGGATATCAAAATCGCCTTTGCAGACAATATTAACAAAGCTTATATATTTCCAGGATAATAAAATAATACAACTTCATTCCAGACTTTCATTTGCAAGATTATCTACAAATATGAAACAAGATGGGAGAGAAAAACAGAGAACAACAAGTTCTGTGAAAGGTCCAAACTCAAGAGAAGTTGAATATTCAACAATTCCAATAGCAGAAAAAAGAAAAAATGGTCAGTAGTTACAAGCGTGAGATCCATTTTCCTGAGTCAACAAATGGTGCAAATACTCAATATAACTGAATAGAATGAGCTATTGTTTCAATGGCAAAACACCAATAAAAAATAGACATTGACAAGAATATCCTAAATATTGCACTGAATGAAAGTGGAGTTTTCAAGTTTCGCAATTCCTGTGGCCTCGAATTTTTTTCTCAACTAGGCCTACGAGAATGTTTATGTATGCACACTGAATATGTGAACAGAACAATCATTTGTGATTTGTATGAAATTCAAAAAATATGTCTCTAATTATTTTCCCTTTTAAACAAATTTAGGGATTCTGAATAAAGGGCTAAACATTCCTGTAGTTGTTGAAGGGCCTGTTTCTGAAAAAGAATCTGCTAAAAAGGAGAAACTAATACAACAACAGAAGGAACAGTTAATGCAAGCTCGACATATGTTGTTTGACCCAAGTAAATTGGCAATTACAAGTCTAACAGCAGCTATATTAAACAGGTAATACATAATTTATAGAAATATTTCCGAATGAAAATAAAACAAATAGTTCCAATATGGCATTTGATGGGCTTTATACAGATGAATATTGAACAGCAGCACTTCTGTGCAATGATTTAATGGCTTGATCACAGACTGCTTACCACTATCATAGCACCATACAACACAGCCACACTAGCAATAATAGTAGTTCTGAGATCTGGATTCAAGTATATTCAATTTTGATAAGTGGCGATCTCTCCATTAGCAGACGATTCATTATTTTCATTATTTTTTTCACAACAACCCTTAGCAAAATGATCCATAGATACACATTGGTCCAAAGATTATAATATTTTATAGTGAATTGGCACTGAGAGCTCCATCAAGCAGTCCAGTTGATTTTACCCGTGGATTTCAACAACGAATAGCAATGACATCTCAAGGATATATGCAAGGTCTAGATCCAGCAGGTAAAATAGTAACAAAAATATATATACAATACTGTGAAGCTCATTTAAATGAAGTGCAAAATTGTCACAACTAATTTTTCTATTTTTCATAGTGTCAGAAGTTAATTGAAGTGTAGTTTAGTCTGTCTAATGCCAAATGCTTAAAATGACAGACAAAAATTAGTAAAATTATTCGTATATTCACATATTCATTTCATCAAGTATATCTTGTCTTGAACATATTCGAATATTAACTGTTGCGTCCATGGATTTATACTTTCATTAAAAAGCAAAAAATACTACAAAAATTTGTTTAGCATGAGTTTTATATGATAAAGTTTTGTCAATGCTATTTTCAAAGATATTAAATCACCCTAAAATGTATTATCCACAGGTCCAACAATGAAAGGATCAACAGGTAGAGTGCCACATACACCAATGAATCAAGCAGATGGATTATCGCCACTACTAGACCAAGGTGATGAGAGACAGAGAAGTTCAAAACTACCACTCCCCAAAGTCTCTGATCTAATTGACCTCCAGCGTTTGTATGAAGCCGTGCGACAACAGAACGGTACTGCACCTTTTTATGTTCCGACTTCGTCCATTGAAGGAATTAAAGATTTACAACGAAAACATTTTCACAAAGCGCAGCTCAAAAGACAACCATTTTATCACTATCCGTATCCTTACCAAAACGTGAACAATTTAAAGCAAGACGATGGTATACCTTTATATATAGTGACTAGCGCTGCAACAAAAGTACACAAACCGATGAAATTCAATCCAAAGTCAAATACTACGGAATCAATGTCATGGAAATATAACTATAACAAAGGCAAAGAAAAGCCTCCAGTTCCGCCACCCAAGAAAGAAGAAATCAATCTGGTTTATAATTCTCCATTCCATGATAAGCAAATCAAAAATGATCAGAATAACCAGAACAGTATTGCGACGGATAAATACAAAGGATATACTGGTGTACGAGGTGTTATCGTCTCAATGTCAACTCCATCTAAACCACTGCAACAAATTGAAGAGAATTATGCAACTTAACAATTACCACCAATCCTAAGTTTAATTTTGCGAGAAAAAAAAATCCACTGGTGACAAACCACACTTTGTAAACATTATACACCAGTAATCCCCAATCAGTGCCATTAAGTCTTTTGGTAATATTCCTGAAAGTTGTGGATCATTCTGAATACAATCTGTCAATAATGTTATGTACAAATGGTATCTACCAAAGAGATGGCTTCTCATCAGATTATAGAAAATCGCCTTGAAACTGGAGGATGATATAAGATGTGCCATGATGAAAATAAGCTATCACATGCAAAAGCTTATGAACTAACCAGAATCTCTTCGGTGTACCCCATGAACTGAAAACTACTGCTAATAGCGATGTTGATGATATTGAATGCTTCAATCTTTTCCTAAAAAATACCCTACTCCTTATCCTACCTTATACTTTTCTATAACTCTAATATAAATAGCACTGCCTTTCTCCTATATAATATATATGAAAATAAATACCGAACAGAAATCTGTCTGCGAAAAATGTCTGATAAACAGGAGTAAAATAGTAATTTCAGAAGACCAATGACAGTATAATTATTTGATTGTAAGTAAACGAATAAGGTGTTTTCACTTTTCTTTTTTAATGGGTCTCTGGATAAGGAGTCAGTAGCAAGCATGCAGCGATTTCGTATTTTGAAATGCCAGTTCTATATAACAGACCAATCGTATAACACTCGCTAGAACTCAAAGCCTAACCCAGAGATACTAACATACATTGGACCGGCATATAAACCGCTAAATGTTATCACAATCACAAAAATTGAAGTCGATATTAAGAAACAATTGCGTGTATATGTTGTTATACTGATGCAAGGCTAAAAAATAATATATATATATACACAGTACAACCACATGTTCGTGATAGCCATGAGCAGTTTCAATAAATAAATATTCCTTCTTGTTATTAGCAGACAATTTTTAAGTTTCCCTACAAAAAGTGAACAATACAGGGGCCAAACACTTTGATTAGTGCCTCACCAAGTACTATAAAATAAAGTTTGTAATCCACTACCATACTTACCTAAAGTACATTATAAAAAAAAGGTAAAGGCTTAATATATGAATCCATATCTCCCAAATCATTTGTATTGGATGAATAGCATTCATATCATAACTTAACTAAGTCATCTCTCAAAATACATCCGAGGTGTTTCTGGCCACTATATTCAGAATATGATAATCACATAATCATGTAATCTAAGTATGCTTGTTTGCCAAAAAATTTTGCATGAAACTTCAAAAATTTCAATAAACTAAGAACTCATTGAGTAACTTTTTTCAAAGATTTGGTTTCCTTTATTTTTGAGTGAATGAACATGGCCGTAAGCAAATTTCCATTAAATTAGAATGACATTAATAAGTTGACAGAGATATACAAAAAACTCACATCATGTTGATGGTGTTGGTGTGGCAGTGTATGTGATCGGACCTCCCTATCTCCAGGATATGCGACTGTTCCTCCATCAAGTTGAAACATGGGACGACGTGTGTGTGGCAGTGTATTTGAACCAGCTGAAGAAATATCTGATATCTGTCCTCCTACTACATGCTTAATTTCTTCTGTTCTACGTTCCGTAGTCTGCTTCTCTTTTTGAAGAATACTGTAATTGAAAGAGATGAAATATTAATAATAATATTAAGAATTGCTAGAGTGAGAAATAAAAAGTAAATTTCTTGTTAATTACACTAATCTAAATTGTTTTGAAGTTTCAAATGGTCAAGTCATCACTAGGATAGAAAAAAATCCTGAACAAAGAAAAGAATTTCCAAGAGAATGAAAATGGAGAACTCGTTGCTTATTACTACCGTTTTTCAGGCCCTAATATTGCATTACAACAAATACTATCATACATGATTTATTTGATGATTTACGACTTGACTACACACTTGCTGTTTCTCACATAATAAGAACAAACACAAGCAATACAGAGACTGTAATGTAAGACTGAATGGGGTAGCAGTCCAAAGAATCCCAAGAAGGTCAATGATTACGACAATGCATCAAAACGATCCATTATAAACATTATGTATATGAAAAAAACATTTACTGTATTTCTTTATTGATCATATCAAGTTGATCTTGCAACATGGTGGCGAGTGAGTGAGCGTTAGATTGAGCAGCAGGAGACATATCAATGGCAGAAAACACATTGTCACTCAACTCATCTAAATGGAAGAGTAATAGTTAGAAATAGCAACTAATATCTATCCCAACCAATATAATTATAAGGTGAAAAACTTGGGTACTCCCATAGTATGTGTACCAGGTTAGGGTTAGGCCATAATTTTATCCAGATTTTCCTTATTTTAGTTCTATAATGAGTTGACGAATGTCTGTGTTAGCCAAGTGAATACAACCGCTGCCCATAATAATCAGTCCCTTCACACAACTTGTTGTAAAGTAGGTGAAGGAAATTAGTTACCTCCAAATCGGTACACATACTTCTGGTGTGCCAAAACTTGTATATCTACTCACAGGGATAGCCAAAACCGAATAATTCACTAATCCAAATACATTCTAAAAAAACTTTTTGAATATGAAATATCAAATATATTCTGAAATAGGTCTCTTCAGCACAAAAAATTCTTCAAGACAATTATAAATTCATAGAAATCAAAATTGGTCATGCAGAATAATTGAGATAAACATTGTTTTAATTAGTATACTTTATTTTATTCCGTCAAAAGTTAACAATTTTTTTTCTATCATAAAATAATAAATGCTTAAAAATACATATTCAAAAAAAATATATGGGGGAAAAAAATACTTGTACTGTTGGTAGTTGTGTGAGTTGACAACGTTCCTTCGAATGTTTGTTGAACTTTATTCAGTAAAGCATTATGTTGATTTCTTTCCCAATCTGAGTCGATATGATTCTGAAATATAATACATATATTTTAAAAAATCAGTCACAAATAAGGAGTATTACAGAGAAGATATTATGATGCCTTAGTTGTCAAGGTCAAGTAAAATTTCAGTCAGCAAAATTTTAAAAGATTGTACTAAATGTGTGTGTATGCTAGGGATGCGACAAGATTCGGACTCGTGCTCGGATTCGTGGCCGAATCTCTCGTAATTTGATACTCGGATTCGGCCCGAGTCTTTGATGATTTTACCCGAGTCCGGGATATCATACGTCACGCGATAGTCAATTGCAGACTGGTGGCGTATTCGACGAGAAATTCAACTTTTTCGTTCTGTTTTGCCACGAGACTGTCCAGTCTATTTTCTCTACGGTGAAATTAAAACTAGGCGCCAAAACTACAAATTCACGACGCCGTAGGAACAAAAAAATGTCAGCGAAAGTCAGCTGAATAAATTCCAGTGTTGCGCGTGTAGCTTGCCTTCCAGTGCCAGACGTCGTTTAGTGAATGTTTACCACGTCCTATTTCAAGCATATACTTGCTAATCCTCTAACAGTGATTAATCCGTAATCAGCGGTAACCATATCGCGCTGTTCGCCTTCTATCGTTCCATAAATGATCTAGCTATTTCCGGAGAGAAACAAATGTTAGAAATAAAACGATAAAATAGTGAAAATTACGGTCTTTTAAGAGAAAAGTACAACTCGCAGATGTCAGTGGCGTTACAATAGTATGTATGTACGAAAACAATCTCGCAAGTCGCATCGATTAAATGTGCATAAATTTGGAAACTATTACTCGTGGTAATTGAAAGTTAATCGGGCCGACTTTTTATTTTTATTCAATAATTATTTAAATACACTGCGATTAGTAACGGGCAAAATCGAATTTTTCCTGATCGAATAATTCGACTACCGTATTTTTTTTAATTTACCGATAGTAGAAAATTACTAGAAGACTGGAGACTCGATAACAACGCGGCGTCTTTACTTTTTATCCGTAATTTTATCACAATCGTGAATTGTTTTTTTGTCACCGCGATCGGTTCGGCGACCGACATTCTAATTATGGTTGGTAAACTATATTTTTAAAGCACCCTTTTTCACTATCAGTTCTCACGCAACACCGGACATCGAAGTTTCGTTTTTATATTTCTGGCAGAAGTGTGAGTACAAATCGGCGAAGATATTAAAGACAGCTATTAATTAGTGAATTCATAAATATATTAATTTTATTCTGGCCTCATCTTCTGGATTTGATCTTCCATATCACAGTTTGTAAATTACGGTCCCTATTTTAAGCGAACAATACCTATCGTGGCTGTGTTATTTTAATATTAGATAATAAATAAAAACTCCGGAAATTTACCATTGCGTGCTGTTTCGAGTTATGGCATTTCTACCTAGTCGAAACAATATTTCCATATAATACATAATTTACCTGCCTCACTTAATCTGATTTGACGTTTCTAAATGTGAAAAGGTGTTGGCGCGCTTTATGCAAAATTGACAATTGTTAAGATAACGGTAGGCGCAGAAAGAAAACCATAATAATTCTCATTTATCGTTTCTGTCTGTTAGCGAGAGTCGTATGTGAATTCTTACTCATAACTCTCACTTCTAAATTAATGTTAATGAAATTTGATTTTGCTTTTCAAAGCGCCGTTATTTGTAATAATGAAAATGATTGTGTCATACAGCCGTAACTTAGCATATAACACATTTCGCCTTTTGCGTCTCTCTTATTGAATCAAAATCAACAATTACACATTCTTATTTTCCGCGGATTCGACAATAGCTATTGATGGTTTTCAAACGAAGAATAGCTAGCTATTTCGTTACGATATATTTATAAGATACATTTATTCGATGCTTCCACAGTTGGCAATTCTTTATTAATATCTCAATTATCACGAAGATGGGCGTCTGTATCAGCGCTGACTAAAAAAGATAACATATGAGTAAAAATTTCCCATAAAAAATTTGTTCCAAACGTGTGGGTTATGGCCCGTATTTATCGTGACAGGACACGAGCGCGGCGTCTCCAGCAGTCGACGCGGCGGTCGATCAGAGTTACGTAACAAAGTATTCCTTCGACGAGGAATATGACCTATTTATTCTAATTTAAACTAGTCGCTCAGAGAATGATCGCCTCGAAAGCAATAGTGTTTATGTGCAACGTTTTTAAATTACATAGTCTTTTCATACAGAATGTTTAAATTACGGCCAATATACGAGAACAACAGCATCACTTTAGGTATTTGTTTCATAGCTATGTAAAAGTATTGGACTCGGGACTCGGACACGAGTCCAGCACAGATACTCGGGATTCGGCCGAGCCGAACCTTTTTGGATTCGTCGCATCCCTAGTGTATGCATGACGTATAAAAACAAAGAAATCTGGGGTGTCAAATAATACCACAACAGTAGCAGATTGCTGTGTGGACCTATTGTTTATAGGAAATTTGATTGACCACAAAATCATAAACTGTTTTTATTCCAAGGGTTGAAAACAAAAAATTTGAATTTAAATTGAGGTCCTATTACAGAGTTATCATATAAATTCCAGATAGACAAATATGATCGTTTACATGAACTGTGCTTTGCTGAATATTGTAGTTTTCATATAATAAAGCAGCAAACCTGATCATTTTCATCTCTTTGATGTAATTTAGAAGAATGAGGTGATATATAAGGTTTCCCAACAAAATCATTTGACCTGAAATAAAACATATTAAAATAGTTATTAAACAAATATAGTATACACACAAGACAAAACAATGCTGATACCGAGAAAAGCCCAATAACTCAAATTTCAATAGCTGATTGAAGACCTTTCTGAAATGAAAGTGTATAATACTAGGATAACTTATTTAAAAAAGGGGATGGTTTTCACTAGGTCTGTGTTACAATTGATTGCGCATTTCAGTCAAAAAAAAAATTGACTCAGGCTTTAATATGAAAAGAAAATATATATTGAATAGCTCCTACTGCAAAGAAAATGAAATTTTGATAATGAAAACTTGTAAACAAAAATAAGAGTTTGGCTGCAAATTAGACAGCAATAAGATATTGCTACTGTCAGTACGGATATACAAACAGAGTAATTTCATGTGCAATCCAATTTAGAAATACACACCGTAGCCCTGTGAAATGACTTGTTGTGGACGGTTGAGTAATTGTATGATTGATTGTAGTGATAGGTCTAGTACGCATATCTGGAGTGCTACTGCCTTTATTCGATTGTTTCCACGAAGAAGAAGATAATGAAGCTGAACTTGAAGAAGATGAAGCAGTTGTTGATAGATGAATACCAGATGTTGAACGATCGAAGGACATTAACTAGAAATAGAAAAATTTAATGACACTCATAACAGATGAACAGAAACTAACCAACACTTTGACTAAAAAGTATGTTTGATACACTCTTTCAATCAGCCTTTAGAAAAATTGAAGGATTGTTTTGGACTCCTGTTTATATTTCTGTTTTCACATGAAATTAAATGTAAAATAGGCTAATCCTTCTTTTTCACATTGTATAATAAGGTGGCTAGGCTGATCATGTACGTAACCCATGGAGATGCCATACCTAATTAGTTTGAAGAAAGGTTTTTTTTTTAATTAGGGTATACTGGTTGTCTTTTCTATAAATTCATCAATTTTGTAGTTAATCACCACTGATTTGGTCAAATTCACTAGAATGAAATTTGTTATGCATTATAATTCAGCTTGAATAAAGCCATTCGCAAAATATAGCCAAGAGCGCGATAAAATTGAAGAACAGTAAACCAATAACAAATTATCCAAAATGTAGACTTGCATAAGGTTATACTATATATCCATATAATGCTGCAAAATACCAAACAGTAGATTTCAGTCACTATTTCTAAATTAGTCAAATTTATTTTCAACAAAGAATAGCAACATCGAGGCATGTAATCATTCAAGTGAAAAATTCTATACTGTACATGAATAGTCTGTGTTGATTCCTCCAAAATATAACTAGGGGAAAGTGTCAAGAGCTCAATTTATAAATAACATACAAGACCGTAAATGGTTGTTCTAAACTTACCTTAGTTTTATACAATGCAAGTTCTGTTTCGACTTTTTCCAGTAATCTTGTGAGTCTGTCCTGTTATGATATAATTAAGACAATGACATACAGTATAATAAACCCAAATATTTAAATTACACGGGAAAATGTTTCGGCAATTGCAAATTTAGAAAGAATCTGTATTTCCAGGCAAGACGGAATATCCGATATTCTAAATATAATCAGAAAAACTATTTTTGAATCTTGAAGGGAATGGAATATTGATTATAATCCTAGAGTATTACAAAGAAAATCATAAATTAATATAAATCAGAAAATGTAAAACTCGAAATAAACGCATATAAAATATTAGTTGGGACTAATAAATTAATTTTTAACTTATATTATATTATATGTATACTTGTTTTCAAAAAGTAAAATATATCACAAAAATTTCTTAATTTATTAGAAAGTGATACTTTGCTTATTTATAAACAATAACTGCTCATTATTCGTTTTTTCTTTGCATTATTTACCAATTCAATCCACTTCTAACTCAATTTTTTTTTTTGATAATAAAAATTATCATGTCATTTTGGTCAAAAAACTTTAATAAAATTATTTTAAATTGAAGTATGAAACCACTTGGTCATTATCATAATTGATGTGAGTGATCATTAAATGCAATCATACTTTATCTAGTTTTTGATCTTCAAACTCTTTCCTTATATCATCAACTTGTTTGTTGAGGTAGTTCTAAACAAAACAATAAACATAATAAATTTAGTATACTATCTAGTCTAGAAAAATCCTTTGGATTTTTTTAAAACGCTGGAATAATCGCCAGCTCTGTTAATACTTCCATTGCGATTCACTTAACGGCATAATTATTAAATAAAATTCAAATAAAAAAAATAAACAGGCAAATTAAAAGTGCCATAAAAACTCTCAAGATAGATGAATCCTTATTTCAAAGCATGAACTGATGATAGGTTAAGAAGACCAACTACCCACTGAAAATTGGAGAATTTAATTAATAGACAACTATACAACTGCAATGAATTTACAATGGTTTACGTAAAATTTTTCTGTTAAACATAACCAATTTTACAATACATTCAATATTCCATAATAAAATTTCATATCAGAATGTATTTGTAATAGTAAATTATTCGGTTATGGTCACACCTGCCAACATTTTAACATAATTTACGGACCACAAGCTGCACTATGATAAATCCTATTTTTAAATCAAAATCTATCGTGCGCATTATAAGCCAATGCCTAATGTATGGATCAGATAATGCTTTATGATTCATTGCCTACACTCAAAATGGTACCAGTACTATTGCTTTATAAACAAATCGTCGTATTCAACTTCTTAAAAACTATACCTTCTCTTCCAAAGCTGACATTCTTTCTTTCAAATGTAGTTGCAAACGTTCGTTTGATTCTGCCAGCAGACGATCGACTGTGCTAGATAAACGTTGATTGTGTTCTTCATTCATTTTCTCGCGCTGCCGAGCCTGATACAAATTGATATGAGTCAGAAGCAAATTTCATCTACATACGACTGTACAAAAATATTAAAAAATTGAGTACCAATATTTGAGTTTGCAAAAAAGTTAATATTAATGGAGCATGTTTTCTCAAATTCGAAACAACTTCCCAGCATGCCAGACTTTCACATATTAATTCTCAAAAACGCCTCAAACTGAGTATGTAGTCATGAATTCCTAAAAAGTATTCATAACCTACTCTATTTATTTCTTGTCCCTTCTCTTCTAATTGAACGTTTAAACTTTTTAATTTTTCTTCTATATTTCCATGTCTTTCCTCTGCTTTGGTCAATGCTGCAATTCTTTGTGCTAGTTCTGCTTCAACCTTCAAATTGAAAATTTTTTTTAGTTAATGTATGTTTTTTCGAGCATAGACTTCCTTGTTTATATCCCTACCCCAATGAGCAATCAACAACAGGTTCAATGATGATGTAATATTTGAAATTTGTCAGTCACTGGGATGCAATTTTTATTTATGCAGAAATACTTCCAGGTATGGTTGTAAACACTGGCTCAATTTCGTGGTATTGCATTTGTCAGTTTTCGGTTTTAAGTATAAATCAGAAAACTCAATGGTTATTTTGTCATCAAAGAATTTTTCTGAAATCAATGGTCGGAGAAAGATTTAATATGATACAAGTCAGATGGAGGTCAAACAATCACCAATCATTAATATTATTCTGAATATAAATAACCAGCGAAGCAAAAAATAACAAATCAAACCTCAGGCAATGCCTCTGCACGTCGTAGGGATTGTTGAAGCTTAGACTCCGCAACTTTGATTCTTTCTTGAAAAAGGGAATTTCGTTCCTCGGTCTAAAATGAAAAAAAAATCAGACTGGTAAACACAACGGAAAAAAATAAGATTGGCGACTCTAGTTTAAATATATTTTAGTGGTTTGCTTGCTTGTAAATAGCTTTCTTGTTGCCATGTATCATGTATTGCATTCCAGATAACCATTTTGGCAAATTATTTTTACATTGTTTGCAAAAGTTCTAAAAGGCACTTGCCTTAATACAATTTATATCCTTTTTTATGTGAATTTTTACAATTTAGAAAGTTTTTTTTTTAATTTCCTGTTAATGATCTAGTTAATGATGGTGTATATTTCACGAACATTTTGTTTAAACTCGCATTGTGAGCTACGCTGCTCTCTTGGGTTGCGCATTATGTTGTGATTGTTACTTAAAAATCAGACTTCAGCCATTATCCATCTCTAATTGTGATTGTTTCGTGATGCTTATTTCCTAGAAAAACAAACCCCGCTTGTCATTATCTATGAACACGTTTAAATTTAGCTTATATCAAAAAATTACATGATCCATGGAATGAACTATAAAATAGAGAAACGAATATTCACAATATGGGTCAATTTGTGGAAGAAGAAACATGAAATTACGACAGCAGTCAGCAGAGTGCAGACAAAGAGCATATACTTCCTGCTTTAATAAAAAAATGTCATCCAATTGACGAACTATAAGTGATCAATTATATACGCATCATGTGCATTGATTAGAAGATGTTTAGTTATTTATTCCAGTTGATTACTTTAAATCCTCAATCAATCACAAGCTCTTAAAAATGTTTAAAAGAAGTCATTACTACTCATAAAAAATAGATTATAAAGGAAGAACTCCATAATAGTGAAAATAATTTGGGAAAATAAAGTTTTAAACTTCCATTGTTAAATAAGCAATCAGTTTAGTTTTCAATACGAAAAAAATTTTCTGTCAAAATTACAGCATAACACTGCCAACAATAAAATTCTACTAGAACGATCCATTCCACTTTCTATCCAACAAATCTTATAATCACATCAATCATAACTTTTACTCTACATTTCGATATCATACTTCATTTGATATAATAGTACAACCCAGCACTGGCAATGTTGAGTAATTTGAATTATTGATTTTTCCACCAAATAAAAGGTAATTTACAAAGACTTACTTGACGAATCAAAGCGTCTCTATTGGCTAATTCTGCTTCTAATCTATCGTTTAACTCGTGTACAGAAGCAGCTTCCCGCTGAACACTCAAATACCGACGTTCCAGTGTTGTGACTCTTTCTTCAATTTCTTGTTTTGTGCATTGACTCTGAAATTCAGTCAGTAAAAAAAATAATTTTCACCCACATCAACAGCTATAAATGTACAGTGCTTGGCAACATAATATGAACCAGGGCTACTCAACTGGTGGACCGCGGTCCGAATCCGGTACCTTTGGGGTATTCGATTCGGATCATGCCTAATTCTTTACTTTGGATCATTAGCCCCACTTTCAAAGTTTCCTTTTATAAAATCACTTTTATAGATTTGAATATATATGAAAATAACTATACCGCCATAACAAACAATATTGATTAGCTAATAATCATTAGTCGGTCGAGGAAGTGGGTTATTGAGGATGCCGAAATATAATTTCTGGACCCGAATATTTTTGAAGTTTTGTATACGTATCTTCGGTAAAAATAGTTGAGTAGCCCTGATATAGACTATTACATTGTAAATTAACTGAAAATATTGCAGATGAAAATTTTACATCAGAAGAATGAACATGGTGTCTTGGTGGTCATAGCATTATGCCTAATTTTGTCAGCGTCGGAAGGTAAAAATTACAGATTCCAATCCCATACCCGCCCTAAAATAGTAGCCCCCTACATGACAGTGCCTATTCAAGCCTTGTTAGATGCATCATAAAAAGTTTCAACTGCATTCACCTCCTTATTTATTTCTGAAAAAATGTAGAGCCTAAAATAATTATCTCATTAGGATACTCCACGTTTATACATCACAAGATGATATCAATCCAATTTAAATCATATTGACATTAACTACTGTTTGTATCTATATAGCAGTGTTTCCCAACTCGACGCCCTGACCCCATCACTACAGATCTCTAATAAAAAAACTTAATAAAATTAACTTTATTTTAAGTTCGCCGCAATTTATTTTGATGCGGAGATAGTCCGCAGACAAAAAAGGTTGAAAAACACTGCTATATAGTTTCAGTAGTCATCCTTTGAACCTGAGTGAATTTTCATAACCTTCGTTTGAGCAAATTATTCAAAAAAATTTTAATTTTTATTACATTGTTCAATCTAGGTATGAAGGTGTATAAATAATTGCACTAAACTAAAACATACATCTTTTATTTCTTTTTGTAATCGGCTGTTGACTTCTTCCGATTTTATTAAATCTTTTCTTGCTGTATCAAGATCTTGTTCTAATTCTGATACTCTGTAAAAAAATAGGTATCTTTGTTATTTCCTATAGTTTTTTTTTTATAAAGCATAAAACTTTTTTGGCCAACACGTACCTGGCAAGAACAGTGTTATTTCTATGTCGCATATGTTCAATTTCAGTTTTTTGTTTTTCTATAGATTCTTGAAACTGTACAATACGATTTGCTTCTTCCACTGCTTCAGCACTTCCGTTCAACTCTGCATTCTATAACAGAAATAAAATTAAACTTAAATTTATGAAAGTTATTAAATTGTTATCAGTATCACTATCATGAATGAAAAAAGATGTATGGTATGGTAGATCCAACTATTTGGGAATGACACCAAATAAAAGTATCTTATTGAAGAAAATTGAGCGCTCCAGAAGTATGTGTACCAATATGGAGGTAACTAATTTTGTTCGCCTACTTCACATCAAGTTGTGTAAAGGGACGGAAGCCTATGGGCAGGGGGTATATTCACTTGGCTAACACAAACAGTCCCCGAACTTGTAATAAAACTAAAATAAGAATGAAATTATGGCCTAATCGGGTACACATACTATTGGTGCACCGAAAATTGCAATACATCACTTATAAAATTATTTCATTCAATTTTTTTCATAAATGTATCTGACAGTATATTTCTCAAGAATATTTATGAATGTACCCTGAACCTAAATTTATTTTAACAATTTGATACGCCTGGTTTTACTTTGAAATTACATTTTTCAAGTTGCTTCTACATTTTTATTAACTTGCTTAACCTTTTCAAAACAGGCTGTCACCAAATGGGTTTTGCGCAAACAAGTGTGTCCAACTGCTAGATGACGCCCAAATTACAACTTCAAAATAACAAATTGAGCATCCTACTTTAGAGCAATATATATCTCAAGCTAGTACCGTAGTGCTTTTACATCCCTAATAGATATAACTTATTTCTGATCCTAACCTAGGTAGGTAGAAGGATGGTAGAAGATCCCATGTTACATTAGCACCAAATAATGAGCTTACTTGTGAAATACTAGTATCTTTTTGTACAGAGGATTGAATTTTTTCATCTGCATTCGCACCAGACTTTTGCGATATATTTAATTTGAGTTGACAAACTTGTTCATGAAGATATTTGTTCTGTGAATGAAAGAAGAATATTATCATACCGGCATGCAAATAAAAAATCATTCTTTGTACTTTTCAATACAAAAATCTTTAAAACCAAAAATGTAATCCTGTAATGATTTGTCTGACCTGGGACATGTTCAGTTAAGCACATTCCAACTATATACTTCGAACGTGCTTATCTGCAGAAGTCTGACTTTGGTGAGACGAAACGCTACAGAAATATATTTGTGTTAGTGTACAGCAAGTTTATTGAAAAAACAGTTATCCTCATTTTGCTATAGAAATTTTTTTACAAAACATTAGTATTCTTCTATTTCTTGGGAAATTTTTTTTAATTGAAACTGCAAGTTTTACAATAATCTTTTTTCAAATGAGGGGTGTGCGGCCTACGGAGAAGAGTCAATTTTGTATGGCATGCGACCCGCAAGATAAGTTGTTAATTTATTTTAATGTGGTATGTGCGAGTATTCAATCCCTTTGTGTTGCAAAGCCTATACCAGAGTCCAATTTATTATCTATGACGTTACAATGGCTTTTTTGTGCCTGCAATTACCGAAAAACCTATGTTAAATTAGGTGTTTCATCTAGTTATTCGTATCTGGCCCTCCTGTATTTAAGGTTGCACACCCCTCTATCAAATTATTATATATTATTTATATATCAACTAGCAAGGTATAACTTAAACAAACACAATTCAAATTTCTAATCTAAATATTTGCCAATGACCTATGTTCAGGAATGCCCAAAAAAATTTGAATGTTCAATTCGATTTGAATTTATTTTATTCAATATTTTCAACCATTAATTTTTGGAATAATTTGACATGTTTTTACCTAAGAAATTACAATTTTGTGCAATTCTAGCAGTATAACTAAACATTCCTCTAAATAAATTCTGAATTCTGTAAAAATAGAGAAACCAATCAAACCATCAGTTATCCTAAATTTCGAGCATTTCTAAATTCAACTCATTGAATTTACATTTACATCCACATGTTCTATGTTAAATAGTTTAACACAGGGATGGGCAATTACTTTTCTGAATAGGTCAAGTTCAGATAATAGACTTGATTACTGGGCCGAAGGCTTAAAACTCAAGTTTATTCACAACAGCTGGTCCATCAGCTAGGCTGACGTTTATAAAACAATAAGAAGCACAATGGAACAATCGGGGTCATCGTGACATTTTTTTCAACAGAAATTTTGTATTTATAAAAACTATGGTCGTAATTTCCGCAGACACAAGTGGGCCAGATGAAACACTTCCACGGGCCAGATCCGGCCCCCGGGTCGTAATTTACCCACCCCTGGTTTCTTATTTCACATTCATATTATTTTAGATAGTATACAAAATAGCTGATTGAACTGTTTTGGCATCCTTGTATATATGTTACAACAAATCTTACTTCACGATTTGATTTCTCTAGTAGATCTTCAAGTTGCATTCCTCTTTCTAATGCTGTCTTTAATTTTTCTCGAACCTATGACAAATTGAGAAACAGCTTGTTAATAACATGATACAAAATTATTTATCACAATGAAATAATAAATAACATGAAGCTTGATAACAGATCTATTCCCTAAAGTTTTTTAACAAATTTATCTTATAATATGATCAAGAGACTAATGGCATGTTTGCACTCCAGTGCTAATGAAAGTGAGGGCCATAAAATACATCAACATACACATTCGAATTGTTACTAAAATAATGTCACAAACTAACAGTTTCTAATATGAAGTTATATTAACTCCACCAAATTTATCTTTCATGAAATTTTCACTAAATAATATTATATCATAATCTTCAAAAATTTAAGTATTTATGTGAGTAATTTCTGGTAAGCCACCAGTTTGATATACCAGTAGATCTCACAGAAAAGAGGTTAGAGTTTTCACTTTCCACAATGGGTGCAATCGAATGATTTTATACAGAAAGGATATCATACCAAAATCTGGCATAATGAACTAACTGCACCGATTAGAATAATTTACTATTCGATTTAAAATGCCCAGTCCTATTTATCAGTCATTGGATATGCTTACTATCAAGAATTTCACCTTTGCAGCAATAACATGAATTGAGATTTTGACATTGTTTATCTCACAGAAATATTGTTTGACACAAGCTATTAATAATACAGCAGCAAAGTTGCAGTAGCCAGACCTTGCCTCCTTGACTGTGATATGTTAAGGAGACTCTCATATCATTTTGAAACTATTTCAAATCGATCTGTACTTGTTTTCAAAGTTTATATTGTCTGTGTGTTCTCACCTGTTAAAAGCCTGTGCTGATATTTTGCAATGATTTTATCAATTTGTTTTCAATTAACATAATTCCTAGGTTATGACAATTTAATAAAACAGAGGTTCCCAAAGTTGACAAGGGGGCAAAATTAGAAGCAAAAGGATATTCGCGAGTCAGGAGAGGAGAGCGACCGCATGGGCGCAAAATCGTATGTAACCCTAATATCCCTTTGTATAATTAAGATATCGATATAACTGATTTGTTTAAATATTTCACATGCTTGAATTGTGATAATGACATAACAATTGGAGGTATCTGAAACGCAAAAAAGTAAAACATGGAGTGTTCAAAAGTTCGGCGGGACATATTAAATCGTTACGTGGGTGTAATTGGCCCGCAGGTTGCAGTTTGGGAACCACTGTATATAAGATTATGTTAGATAGTGAAAACTAGACAAAAATATACTTATCATGAAATTAGAGTTGTACAATTGCACTATTGCACGCATATTTCCACGCTAAGGTGTTTACATTATGACAAATATAATAATAGAAAGTCTTTCTATATCTAAGTCATTAGAATAATGAACATTCAAGTAATCACAACATGCAACATTCACCTTCTCATCGAGAGCTTTATGATGTTCAAAAAGAGATTTGAGAGCTTTCAAAACCTCAACTTCACTTGACACTCCAGTACTTTGTTGCTGCTGCCGTTTGACGACTGTCATACGAAGGGAGCGCTCATGACGAGATACCAATGCTTCAAGATGTTCTAACAGCAACTGAATAGATTTAACAAAAACTTGAGCATTGAATTATTCTCACTTTCTATTCTATACGAAATTGGTCTGATAACTGAGTAAACACATCTAATATATCCATCAATAAACTGTACAATTAATGATATGTGATAAAGATTGCTAGCTTTTTTAGTTATGAGCCAAATTGGGTATCAATGTACCAGGGGTGTGGAGTTTACACCAGAATCCGCGCCAATCAAAAAAATGGCTTTGGCTGTGGCTTCTGAGTGATAACAATTTTGACTCCAGCTCTCTCTCCAGACTTCAATAAAATCTAAATTTGATAGCTTAACGACTAACATATTAGGTTCATGAAACTCATGATATCGAAAAAATGAATAACATTAAGCAAGGTTACTTGTTGTCACAGAGGATCAGAATATTCAAAAGGGAAAAGGTTTTCAATCAGAATCGTAAACTATCATGCAAAGGCTCTTTAATCAGTCACCACAATTACACAAACTACTTGTTACAAAACAATTTTTTGCTTGCCGCGCCACCTCATATAAACATCAAAATTGATTCAGTACTTAAATCATGAGAATACAAATACATAGATACCCGTGTATTATTTCTTTCAGCTTTTAATTCAGAAATTTCTTCCTCATGTTCTAAAATTCTATCGCGAGATTGATTGAGCTCTTTAGACATAGCAGCATAATCCTGATAAAGCATGCATACAATGCAGATGAATAAAGCATCTAAGTTCAAACTTAATAATACAATAGTACATCATTGATAGGTTTGATTTTTAAACGCTAATTAATACAAATTTTTAAGTTATTTTAATCACATATTAGACTATTAAATGGGCGGAATCAAAATCAAATGCTTTAGTTTGAAGAAAATTTCAGATTCCAACTCCAGTTCTTAACTCTGTAAAACTTTGACGTATGTATGCAAGTTCTCCCTTTTTCCATTGGGAATGCCTAGTCAACCGAAGTTTCGTTGAATTCTTCTCGCAGAAAAAACAGAAGTATAATTTGGCTTTTGTTCACTTATCAGCAAGTAGCAGTCCGATGCGTCAACAGCAACAATAGGCAATAATAGATAAGAAAGGCTCTTCCTGTTTTATACTGTTGTTTATTAACCTTTTTGGATTAAACCTATAAGTAAAAAAACTACTTACAGATGGCATCGAATTGGTCAGTTGTCTGTTGAGAAAGTCTCTTTCATGTGAAACCTCTTCCAATTTCGCTTTTGAATCTTCAAGTTCATCTTTCGTTTTCTAAAGAATTAGCATGAATACAAGATTAATTAATTATTACAAAATCTATCAATGTTAAATATATTGTGATATGTGTAAAAAACACAACGGCCATCGCAACAGTGATTACATTGATTGAGTTTCTCAGTTTGAATCCAGCAAGAAATATGTGTGAGAGGATTGCTTGATTCCTCCCTGTCAGAGGGTGGTTCATATATAATCACTGGTCAGTTACGACTTTCTCCAAGTACACGCATATCGAACAATTCACTAGTAACTATTACCATACTAGGCATCAAACTGGATGAGAGGCCAAAATTTGGGTACTCCTGAAGTATGTGAACCAAGATGGCGGACACTCCGGATGGCTGGAGATCGTCAATGCATAAATACATTTACAAAAATAAAAATTTAGGAAACGTTGTTCAAAACATGACAGGGTTGTTCGTCGATGAAAATAAAATAACTAATTTCTTGTTGAAAGGAAAAATTTTATAAAAAGATGCCAACTTCAATTTATAGTTTCTTGAAAAAATATATTTTTTCTAATAGAATTTATTTAGAGTTTGGTAAGGCTACAAATTACAAATGTTTAATATGACAAAAACCCCAGAATCTCTGATGCATCTTGCATTTTACCTGTAAAGTATCAAGAAGTTTATCTCTTTCATCCAGTATGGTTACCATCATGTTTTCCATGTTTGTCTGAATAATAAAAAGAAAAATGTAAAGTGTAAAATTCACTAAAACAAATTTGTTGAAAGCAAGGTCACACACACATTCATTCAGAAGTAGAGGAGGCTCATCTCTGTGCAAAGTTATAGCGACTACAGGAATGTTAAGATTTCCTGAAACTACGAAGATTATGATGGTGCATAACGCACAAACATATGCCGATTGGCACAAGACTTCAAACAGTTCAATTCAGTGGGTTCATTGAAAAGATATCGGGAAGTAAAAAAGTATTTGGTATTTGTCAAGGGGTGGGTATACTGACTTGTTAGTTTTCCTGGAGGGACAAGTACAAAAAGTCCAGAACGCCACAGTAGATTATCATATCAGTAAAATAATCAGTGAAGTGAAATTTTGTCAATAAAGAAGAAATCAATAGGACATTTCAACATCATTTAGTGATTACATCTTCAAAAAAACAAATTTTTAACAACAGACAATTCGAAGAAAAATTCAACAAAATCTATTTTAAAAACACAGGACATAGCAAACAAACATATTAATTCACAAAAAAACAAATCATCAAAATTAATCATAAAAAATAGGAACGGCTTACCATAACAAAATAAACAAAACTACAATTTAATTTGAGAAAATAATCAACATATTATCAAGAAGCAAAATATTAAAATATCATTCTTACTTGATCTTCTTCGCCATCACTGTTATAAGAGCCGGCCCGACTGATTTTATCTTCTGAAATCGTGGGCATAACATCGCACATCATTTTGATATGTTTTTGAAATGTACCGATATCCCAAATGAAAATAAACTGGGTGCATTTGCATCTGTTGACTATTATTACCTACACAACAGCATAAAAGAAGTCGATAGTACTGGCTTGTAATTACATTATATGGAGATACAAATAAAAATAGAGTTTAGCTAGTATCTGTTCAGAGAAAAAAGCATTTAGATCAGGGATGTGCAAGGTTTTTAGACTATGGACTAAAAATTTTGCTCACTCAGACTAGCGGGCCATCTAAGTGTGACATAATAATTGAGCTATTAATTTCAACGAATCTGGGTCGAGAAAAGAGATGCAAAACAACGGATCATTAGAAACTCTCGGGAAACGATAGACAGTTTTATGTAGTAGGCCTAGATGCAGAATTAGTTAAAAAGCAGAAATGTATCGCAGCATCAGACGGGTCAGATTGAATCACCCAATGGGCCGGATTTGTCCCGCGGTCCATGTCAAATATAGATAAAATACTAAATTTGAAACATAACTGCTGGACTAAACATTATTAAAATGTATCAATATAGGCTGGTATTTCTTAATAATATTTTAATTTGCAATTTGAAATATTATGCACTATTATCATAATCAAATTCTTGGAACTTTTGAATGTTGATGATTATCTGACGCCAAAATGCTTAAACGTGTACAAATAAAACCTTTTCTATATCAATGCAATTCAGTTTTGAGCTCATGTGCAAAATCTAATATATGGTAAAATTACAAATTCATTCAATAATTCATTCAATATTTTCAATTCTGCAATTTTTTTTTTTTTTTTTGATAAGTTAAGTTAATTTGAAAAATTATTAATTTGGGCAGTTCAAGTCTAGCGTTATAACCTAAAAATTCTTTCAATTTGTTCAATATTCTAAGAATAGAGAGCCAATCAAAATTGTTCATCTTAATAACTTCCCCGCATTTCCATATTCAGGTATTTGAAATCATCGAAAATGCATAGACTTTCATGAATTCTCTGTTGAACATCGTCCAATTTAGAATATTTCATGATATTCCATATTTTAGAATGTAGTTGGAATGGTAAATTATTTGATTTCGGCTCTCCATTTTACATTTGTATTCACATGCAGAAATAAATAAATAAATATATATATATATAGTCTATATACGGATATATAGAACATTATCCAGAAAATCTGTAAATTGAATGTATCGTACAGGCCCACAAACATCATGAACCAGCTGTGACTATATCATTTATAGACAGGTACCGGTATAGTCTAAAATAATAAAATTGATCAAATAACTTATAATCCAAAGTATCAGTAATAAATTAACACTACTTGAGTATGACACCCACTCACTGCTGCACTGACTTAAAAATATAAAAAAATAATATTACGGTGTCAATTGCGATTCGCCAAAACACTGGAAAAGGAGCGTATGGGCGACACTGATCAGACTCAATAGGAATAGTTTATTAAGATCTCAGGATCCTGTGTGGATGAAACTTCTGGTCCAAAACCTGAAAACGTCCATGGACTGAAACGTCAGTCAAGCTGTCAGTCAGTCGGCACAGACTAAGAAAGTTACTGTGCTGTTATCGGTCATGCCCTAGTATAATGACTCACCTGCCCTAAGACTGCAAAACGGTGAACACCTTCATTAAAAGTTTTAGACTATTTCACGCTCAATCTCTGAACTAGCCTACAAGACTAGGTTCTGGGCTAAACTGCTGACTAACAGACTAAAGACTGAAAGACAGAAAGATGACGAGTAAACGGTAGATTTAGCCTACCGGTATATATTGAAAATAGGAATCATTATTTTATCAAACGACCAGAATAAACACCGGTAGTGAAGTCCCATATTAACGAATGGGTACCTGTACCGGGTTAGTTAACTTATTCCTGATATGTATGAAGGCTATACAATAGGCGAAAAATCGGGGCAGCAGGAGGCCCTTAAGAAGCTGAAAACAGCCAAATTAGGTAGTAGATGTGAGCGGAGTCTGAACGTAAAGCTGTTTTTAATCGATATTTTATTTAATCCCGCTGCAATAGTGGAACTTTCCCCGTGTGGTTAAGACCGGGAAGATTGAAAAATTTGTAAAAGTTAAAAATGAACGGATTGAATGAAAATTTGCGAATTGTTCTGGGTCTCTGAGTTTAACACTGATGTTATGATTTATTGAATTTTACTTCTGTCGTAGGCTTTCTTCGAATATTTGATATGTTTGTTTCCGAACCCTTATACACTACTGTCTTTTTCATATTTTTTTGTGGTAATAAAATTCATATATATATATAAATAGAGAGAGTGAGAGCGGCATTTCACATCTACGAACTTTTCAAATTAGACTTTCGCATTCTTTTTTTTTTCAAATAAAAAATAACTGAATTCAAATGACTGAACTAAGTTGTTGATAGAACAATATTGGAAAAATCGAGCCCTGGTCTAGTAAAGTTGAAACGACGAATAGAAGAAATGGGACAGGAAATACCTTCCAATAAATTCAGGATGAAATAGAGCCATGAAGCATTGTTACCGGTAACACAAATCTCCAAATACCAAATCAATGAATCGGAGGTAGTAATTTAAATTGACTACAAATTCGCATGCAAGCAAACTATCAGGTATTCGAATAGATTTTGATTTTAGGCGTAAAGGGCAATCATAAAAATGAGAGTGAAGAAAGAAACTAAATGCTATGTCTATCGTCGGATGCGAAATTTGATGATGAACTCCACGAAAAAGACTGCTTGTACAGCACAGGTTTTACAAAGCACATGAATTTTAATTGCTACTGTTCAAACTGAAGTTGGAGGCCAGGGCTTGGAATGTTTTTGGTATATTTAACTTTGTTGGTTGTTGTTCACTTTTACGCTGCTACTATTGCTCGGCGGTGTGGCGCATCGTGCTAAGCGTTAGGAAAACGTGCGCCCCACCGCATCTCTGATTACCTTGCGTGGGTTCGCAGGTTTGAATCCCATGCGGGGATGATTATGTGTGATGGGATTGCTGGACTCCTCACCGCCGTAGGGTGGTTCACGTAACCGCTGGTCGGTTACGGCTTCCTCCACCATCAAGTCCATGCTTCCGAAAACAAATAACTGGCTAACTAATCCCATACCCGACCTGGACTGGTAACCGGACGAGAGGCCGTGGTTCGCCATATGATTAAGCCATCTTATCGGCTTTCCCCTCCCCCTGGATGAATATGTAAATCCTTTCCCATTATTGTTGTTTAGCGTACAGTCAACTATTAGTTATGTGCGTTCAAAATCACATCAATCACCACATGCTATGTACCGCTTGTTTATTCGAGTGGACTACATTACTGTTATGTTTTTTTGTATACACTATAGTAGAAATTGTATTTTAAAACTCCACACTCATGTATTCACGTCCGAATTGTCTTTCTATTTTTTATCTTTCTAAAACAGCGTTTCCCAACCTTTTTTGTTCGCGGATTATTTTCTCACCGGCAAAAACCTTTGTGGACTCAAGGTCCGTTTATTGCAACCGTACACTGTGTAAAGAACCAATAAAACCAAACACAACGGAATTTCAGCGATTTTCAAAATAGGAAATTCGCTGCAATTATGCGTTCGTTAAAAGAGTCGACTTTTTAGTGTATAATGGCCTATGCTTTCGCACAATATTCAGTCCGTGACAACGACGAGAATTTAAAATGTCTTTCTATTTTAATTTAATTGTGTTCATGGTAACTCGCGGCTGCGTCAACTTACGGAAGATTGAAGCATTACTTCTTTAATATACTACGACAATCTGCGAACATAACAATGTGAGAATATATCGCCCGATTATACTTAGTTTTGGTACATATTGTTTGCGATCTTGCGAATTTTGTTATTGCCTCAAGAAAAATCTTACTATCGGCTATAAATTTCCAGAAAGTACAACTTGATTTAGTACTTATTAAAAATATATTCAAAGTTTAATAGTAAATTAAAAATACAATCATCGCCTTGCTTTATCATTAATTTAATTGTGATCATTTTAATCTGCGGTTGTGTTGACGAAGTAAAAGCAATACCACTCAGAAAATATCGTGACAATCCGTGGACACAATGCGATTACATTTTGTTTTAATTCGTCGTTTTTGTGAATTCGACAAATCTGAGTTGTTCGTACAACACTTACGGCGCTCCAGCACTGTAGTACCAATGTGAAGGCGGTAATGCAAAGAATCTTAAGGGAAAATGCCCTGGTACGTATACTTTGGTGGCACCCGAAATTTTGTGATTCGCAATGTCGGAAAAGGCGTTTTCAATCGGTCGCGTACAATCATAAAACAAAACTTATGCTATTCTCCGTTTTATGTTCCGGGTCGAACCCCCCCTTTTGAAATGTGTAAAAATGACGACTAATAGACGCGACTTGCCACGCGCCGAATAAGCGCATAAAACGTCATGGCTCCGGATGCCGTCAAGTAGAAGCAACGTGATTGTGACTGAATAAGGCGATTTATGGACCTTTCCCCGACCTTTGACCCCGTAAATTTCTTCCTATAATTTACTATCGCAAAATTTTCGGTGCTTATTTAAAGAGTGGTTTTGCGAGTTGGCGCCTGTAAAATGGGGTATTTTGCTTCAAACCATTATTCTGATTCATAGCATTCAACAATCTGTTTTTTAAAAGTACCGGTGAAGATTTTTAGCCTAGTCTATTGCAGCTATTTCTATACTAATTTTTTATTATACTGCAGTTAAATTGAAACTTCTAAGAAGACAAAGTGATCATTGAATTATTTGATTTATATAAATATCCGAAACAGAACTAAAAATTAACGAATAGATTTCAAAAACGCGCAAAACGAGGTAATGTTTACGACGACGCCTGAAAATCAGTCTGAGCGAGAAAAGTGTCTGAGCGGATGCGAAACACGTCACTCTTTGCATCTTGCTGATTGGCCAATGTCCCGAAGTAAACAAGGAAGTCGATGCTCGGGGAAACATCCATTCAGTCCGCAAATTCCATTTGATGCCCTTATTCCTGGCAAATCCCGACATATTCAGTTTCGATTTCTAGAAACATTCTGTATCACACATAGCAATTTTTAGAACATCAGTTCTCTTAGAAACTCGCGTTTTGCGGCCTCCGGCCAGACCACCTGTTGCTGTCAAACTTGGCAATTACAAATTTCGGCGCTCCGAAAGTA